ATATATATATATATATATATATATATATATATATATATATATATATACCAGAAAAGCCACAGTAATAATCAAAAAACCCTGATGGGTATATATACCTGTATACTGTATTGCCGTCAAAACGCCACATTTGGTTGATACAATATAATGATTTTGGCAGAAAAGACATTTTAAATTTTGCTGTGGTTGGTAATCTTGAGAAATTAGCAAGAGTAAGCTAGATTTAAAGAAATTCCCATCGGAAAAACCCAGCTCAGTGTTGCCAACTCTGGGCTAACAGCACTAGCTCCAACAGTTGCCAAGTGGGCAACACTGACAGCTCATCCCTAAAATCCTCATCCCCTAAAATTATCATTATAAACGTAAACAATGAACATTGCTATTGTTAATACTCACAGCTGTTACGCTAGCAGCTTGAAGCAGACTCCGGTGACATGCAGTGAGTGCACGTGCAGGTGGGCAGACAGGTAATGAGTGCAATGAAGGAAATTATTGGACAGACTTATTCCAGTCCTGCGAAAGCCTGGATAGTTTTATTTTCTTTGTCAGAGCATTTGATTTATTGATGCGAAAAACAAATGTTTTTTGAAAATGACCAACCCTGGCTTTAACTTGCCACTCATTATTATGTAAGACCCAGGCTGGCTTGTTGGACTGCACTGGATCTCTGAGATGAAAGTTGAAAACGAAAGATTTGCTTATTCTTTGACTGAGTCTACGACAACCAGCAGAGGCTGTGAAGTCTCTTTTTAATACAGTTTCAAGTATGCGTTACAATAACCTCCGCTGATTATAAAAGAAACTTTTGGGGGCCTTACCAGTTTTCATTTTGCAGATAACCTGTTAACACTGTGGAGAGAAGAATCGTGAATCGTAAGCAGCAGAAGTACTTTGATGAGTGTGTGCAGTGTTTGCTGAAGTGAAAATAAATGGGAAATGTTTTTTTCACACATCCAGACTATGAAATGTCATTGAACTCAAACAGCGATGGGAACTGTGTCGCCATTTTAACAAATTGAAGCCTTTGCATTGCTCCCATTGATGTACAACATATAGAGTGGCTCAGCACAATCCTTCTGCAATTCAAGCTTAGTAATTGGAAGCATATTGGTTTTCCCCTTGTATTACAATTTTACAGCTCTACATCCTTCGAGATTATAATCACAGAGACATATTGCTTGTCTTACATATATGGGGCGAAGTTTTTACCCATCACAAGTCGCAGCTCGACCTCCTCATACATTTCAGCATGGTTTGCCCCGGTGAAAATCGACCCATTATTACTGATCGTGTGAAAGCTGCACTGAAACCTACTGAACTATGCAGGCTCAGGAATAGCTGAGAGCTGGATGTAATAGATCACTTCTGCAGACAGTACAGAGGTTTCACAGTATGGACCTTGTCGCAGGTTTGATAAGATGCCACCATTAGTTTTAAAGATGACACCACATGCCTGTTTGGCAATGGAAGTACTGATTATGGATAACTGCGGTCTTGGATTTTAGATAAAGTCATGTGATAAAAATGACATCCCGGGTGCTAAAAGCTGCACATCAGTCAGGACCTGCTGCACCAGAAGGATGTAAAACTGCCCGGCAGAGCTTTCATTGTAAAGTATTGTGATCACTCGAAAATTTGTGCAAATATTACAAATGTAGCCATGAATCAAGATGTCACGCTATGTAGAGTCAATTTTTTTAATACTGTAAATGTGGACATGTAAATCTACATTCATTGCAATAACCAGACGCAAACAGTAGGATATGATCTACAAGTCCACATGGACAGATGCAAAACATGTATTTGCTTCTTTTGCAAAGAGATAGAAGCTCAATATCTCTCTTATCTCTGATTGTTTTATATGAAGCTAGAGCCAGCTAGATCCAGTTAGCTTAGCATAAAGACAGAAAACCATGGGAAACAGCTAGCCTGGCTCTGTAGGTAACAAAATCTGTCTACCAGCACCTCTACAGCTTAACACGCGATATCTCGTTATTTAGTTTTCCCGGTAGTTATGCTGGTGTATTTTGTCCTTGTTAAATTAATCTCTCAACATTCTGGCTTATTTGCTTTATTACAGAGAAGGCTTTAGCATAAAGATTGGAACAGCCTGTCTTATGATTTTCATAATGGAAACAGTATATATAGCTATATGATTGATAGCACTGCCAGCCATGCTGCGAGAGTACCTGGAACTTTTAGTCTCACCTGTGAAGCAGTGCTGAAATGTAGTTCCATGAACTCGCTCCCAGATTTGGCGGGTTGTTTATTTCCTGCAGTGGAAACAGCCCATATATTTCATAGCTTCCAAGTTTTAGTCACCATAGTACAACCTTAAAGACCTCAAAGAAGCATCTTTGGCTTATTTATACAGAGCTTCTGTGTACTATTCATGCCATAGGCTGCATTCACATCAGATCCGGCTGTACGGCGAAATGACTGCCCTCCCATGCGGGTAGTGCGTGTGGACTGCGGCGATGGGGGCCGCAGGGGGTGCAGAAAAGAATGCTGAGAAGTTGAAACACAAACCTCTTTTGGAGAAACGCAACCAGACACTGCAACAGTGGCCGATCACAAAACTGGCAATCCAGAGCTAAAAAACCCAGCCATTAGGGATCAAAAGACATTAATTGTCGTGCAGTCACTCTGACCATTAGTGCCACTACCACACCGTCGCCTCAACACCTGATCTGGTGTGAATGCAGTGTCATGCACACGTGAACATGAGCTGGCTTATTTGCAACTCCTTATTGAGTCTGGCTTTGATCTACAAGGTGCTAAATTGCCTGATCTGTGTGATCGTGTGATTATGGCTTATTAGTGGCGAGATACATTTACACAACCCTGTGAGGCAGAAAGATAAGTAGATAATAAGATATTCGAACACTTGACTCATCAAGTGTTTGTGCTTAACAGGAAAATGACTGGGAAGTTATTATGAAGAATTTATAACAAAAAAGACGATTTGTTCCTCTTCTGTCTGTTTTTACAGGTTTCAATAGGAATGCCATCTAAGTCTTCTTTTTTCACATTCGTGCCAGTGGTGCAGACATTACCAATTGAAAGCATTGTTACTGAGGAGGAGAGATCTGGAGCTCTGACAGGAAAACCAAGTAAGGTACAGCAGCAGCAGCACACACACACACACACACACACACACACACACACACACACACACACACACACACACACACACACAAGCAAGACAAAGAGTGATATTATTGCCAACTGGTTTTCATTATCTTTAACACGATCATGACTTTGATTACAAGGCATTTACCAGAATGCACGTGCTGACTTAATATATGCTGTTCACTTAGCTGATTGACTTTTCCTTGGATTGTCACCTGATGCTCGAAGTGTTATTTTACGTCTCATCTCTGTTTGCAAACTTGCTTGTGTTTTATATTTCGTCCAGTTTATCCCATAAATTGATGTAATCTAGTTTTTAAGCCTGCCACCTTGTGCTACGTGCTAAGATTACCAGTTTGAATGCACCCAGACTGTCGCTGTTTAACGATGATGACAGCATATGTGACAATTTTCTACCTATATTTGATGTGGCAGATATGCCTTTCTCCTCCTCACTCTCCCTTTATTCTCTAAATTACATTTATCATTTTTTTTATCAAACTTTTGAGCCTCGACTTACAGTACAATGAATCTCTTAATAAGGATTTTGACCAACATAATGAGTGTGACATAATGTTATTTCCTTTGAATAGAAAGTGAAATTAAAACTATAATAAGTCTATGAGCCAGAACATATCATTTGACTACTTTTAAGCCTTTTCAAATGACCCTAGTTGTTAGGGACCAATCATGTCAGTGGCTTAAGGGTTAAAGGACAACACTTTGCCTCTGGGCAAGAATCAATCTCACTCCTACCTGCAGCATTTTAGCAAACACACCACAACTTTCTTCTCAGCCGGTGAAACAGCTGTCAGTGTGACTCATCCTCAAGGAGAAATAAGCGAAATAGATTCACACAAAATAATAATCGACTTATCTTGAGTACGTTTTCCACAAAGGTTTTAACACTAGTGGGAATGAACATCATTGAGTAATATGATTTGACATCCAATTATTTTGTATTCCAGGTGTCTGACTCACACAGCACATATCAATACATAATGTTGTTTCAAGATGTGTACATCAATATCAAACATATTGCTGAACAACCTCAAGGGATCAAATTTGGTTTGATAATCAGATACTTAAGAGTAATTGTGGACCAATCTGATTTCTTAGGTCACCGTAGAAGAGTGCATTATATAGAAGAGAGTCTGTTCTAACACTACAAAATAAATAAAATAAAATAACTGATTAAAAGGCAACCACAATTTTTTCTCTGATCTTGGGCTCAACTTTATGCTGGAACTTTAATTCTGCGACAACTTTAATGCACCCAAACTACAAATGTTCAACAGAAAGTTACTGAAAGCAACCATCGTGGGGGCTGATGTAGACCCTCATTAGTGTCGATTGTCGAAGGGGTTAATTTGCTTTTGGATGTTCATCCAGCATCAACATTACGGCAGCAGCGCATCTCCGGGTGCCTCGGGATAGCGGACTGCGTCTGCTGTCTGATGTCAGACTTCAAAGGCGTTCTCACTGGCGGGGTGGCACCATTACTTCCCCCACTGCTTTTACCTCAAGGAGTGAAAGACCTTCATGCTGTGAACCGCCAACACATGACTACTCAAAACGCTAAACAACACCGTGTTTCAGCATACATAGGGAGTATTATCTTTCATAGATGCACAATGTTAGATCGAGTGTCACTATGCATGGCTTTGTGCTCATTTCTCGCTGCCATGTCTTCATTTGAACACCATTTCCACTTCATTAGTTCTTTTTCCTTCTAAAACTCTATCTCCATCTTTCTCTCGTGGAGGGGTCAAAGTACTCATAAGGCAGAATGGTCCCTTTCAGAAGGTTTATGTTACTATATTAGTATATTATAATGTTGCATTATTATTGCACAACATGTAGTTTAACCTGGAGAAAATGTCATCTATATGCTACTTTATATAGTGATGGGCATTTTCATCTAATACCATGTGGCTGATTTTATGACATGCTATGTTTTATGTTAAAAATTAAAAGTAGAAGTAATACGAGTAATATGTCTGTAGACAGATTTTGTGACCGCGAGAGAGTGACAACCGTGCAAGATGCAGTTGAAACTTTACTGGTCTGTATTTGAGATCAAATTATTTATTTTTGCACCTTTTTTTTGTGGGGGAGTTTTTCCTTATCCGATGAGAGGGTCCAAAGACAGAGGATGTTGTTTGTTGTACAGATTGTAAAGCCCTCTGAAGCAAATTTGTGATATTGGACTAGACAAAAAAAATTGAATTAAATTAGATAGAAGTAGGGAGTAGAAAGCTGGGTAGGGGCCATCACAAGATGCTCATAGTTCACTCTGAAATGTAGGTGAGTATGAACTAGCATAAAGTAGAATTACTCAAGTAAAGTAATAATACCTCAGAATTGTACTTAAGTGCAGTAGTTGTGTAAATGTTAGACTTAGTTACTTTCCACCAGTGATAAGTAGGACTACATTATGTCAGCATATGAGGATTGTTTTCCATATTCTGTTGCTTAACATATTAAACTGTATGAATGCAAAAAGTGTATTTCCCAAAATGTTAAACTGTCCTTTTGACACACTATATATATTTAAATGTTCTTACACAACTTTCAGAGTTATTTGCTTTGTATGAAAATGCTTTTCTGCTAGTTGGTGCTGCTGAGGTAAGTCTCTTCATGATCACAAAACTGCAAATTTAATAATAAATCACATTATTGTACAAGTAGTAGGCTAATTATACATGTACTATGCAAGGGTTGCTGGGTTCAGTTGGCATGTTAACTATCAAACAGAGCAGCCTGACGTTCGCCTGCTGTTACTCAGAGTCAAGCCAGGAGAGAACATCTTGTGAGCTGTTTGTGAGCATCACAAACAACAAGCCAACACTGCACCGGATCTGTGTCTGCAAACCTTATCTCAGCTGTTGCAGTTGGACTACACAGAAGTTTTTCCTCTGATGGAATGGAATTGTGGCACAAGGTGGATTTCGTGCTTTCTTACGCCTGTTTTTTGCCGTTTTAACGCATGAAGGATAAGTAGCACTCCCTGTGGAGAGCCAGCTTCCATATTTAGTTACAAAACGGCAGAATGTGAAGAATTACCTTTCAGACAATTGGCAGCTCATTATTCCACCACTCTAATTCACAGCAGCCTGTGCTTTTCAAGATGTCCTATTGAGAGGAAATAAATTGCAGATGCTTCGTAGCAGTATTTCAAATTAGTAAGTAATGATGTAACCTCAAGTGGCCATTATCAGTTTGCATACTGAGTGGCCACCATTGATTTAAAATATGAGGTACTAACTAACATCTTCCTGCTTCAAATGTGTGGGTTTCTTTTCTATTCCTACGCAACCCATGTGCATCACATATCTTCAAACAGATTAAATTAGTTGAAGTTGTAGCAGATATTCCTCTCTGAAATACACTGTATGACTATTCTTTATGAGGTATTTTGTTCAGTTTCGTGCTAGAAGATGCACATCTCAGCTAATGAGAAACGACCAAAATAAATGAATCACATCTTAATCGTCAAGAACTTTGCCTAAAGCTAGAACCATACCAAATGGGATTAAATAGTCAAAATAATGAGTTCATGATGAAGTAGCTGTAATTTATCTCTCTTGCATGACCTTACTGTGCATCTAAATTACTCTAATGGCAAGTTTTAATTTGATTGTGTTTTGGAAAACTTTGATTCCAGCAAGTCGTCCAAAGTTATAACGGTATCATCACATGTGCAGTCCTAAGACATGTCAATAGGTTTACACTGCATTTGATTTCAGTGCTAAATATAAAACTGCTTTTCACACATAATATGTAACGATATCATTGACATGAGCTGACATTCATGTTAAATACAGTCCTAGGAACAAGTGTCATTCTAGTTGCCTTTCATTTGCTTGATTACTGCTTATCTACAGTAAGGTAACAGGAAAGCACTGAGAGAATTATATAATTCATTTCAAAAACTGAAAGGTGTCTTTATCATGTGGTGTCATATATTGTTTTTCGGATCATAATTACTATAATTGTGGGAGTTCATCTCAGTAATGATGCATGTCCCCGTAAATATCACTCATATTACCCTAGAATATTCCTTTAACTCCAATTCATTCTCATACAATAAACCACGACTATTTGAATCATATCCTATATAATGTAATGGCCTGAATTTATGTTTTGGTCAAATGATTTAAAATTGCAGTCACAATCGTTGACAATGTTGAGTTAAAGTAAATGATGATAATCTTGAATAATCACTTTGCTTAATTTAATATTAAGACTGGCAATAGAAAAAGCCGGCAACATAGTGAGCTGTAGCGCTGTAGAGGTGTTGGTAGGTGGATTTACCTTAATCTTTCGTTCAGAATTACCTTTCTTTGCCGAGTAGGTGTGCACATACCAGGAATTTGACTCTGTTTTTTGCATATCTCTGGATGTACTTACACAGAAATAGAAGGACAACAGAGCTGGACAAACAAAGGTAAAAAATAGATTGAATAGATACACAAGTAGTGAAAAACATATATTATATAATATAAAAAGCAGCAATGACCAACAATGAAACGAATAGTGCAAAGACATAGATACTGAATTGATACATATTGGCTGGCGGTATAGCGGTGGATATTTTGGTGTTAGAGGGTTGTTGACGGTGTTTGACTCCGTTAGTTTTGTGTACTGTGTTCTGCCAGAGGGGAGAAGCTGAAACAGGTTGTGTCCAGGGTGTAAAGGGCTTTTTTCCTGCCAGTTTCCTGACTCTGGAGGTGAATACAGTACGTCCTGCATGGAGGGCAGGCTGGCATCAATGATTTTCTCTGCAGTCCTGTCCATTGTAGTCTGTTCCTGCTGTTTGGTGTCTGATCCAAACCACACAGCGATGGATCTGCAGAGAACAGATTGGATTATTGCGATGTTGAACACACATCCTTTGCCTTTTTCCTGATGGTGTCTATGTTGGAAGTTCACTTCAGGTCCTGGGAGACGATGGATCCACGAAACCTGAAGACTTCCACAGCAGACACAGTGTTGTTCAGAAAGGAAAGGCATGTTATCTTTAGAACGCGCTAAGCTATTAGTTTCCCCCTGTTTCCAGTCTTTACGCTGAGGTAATCTAATCAGCTACTTGAGAGTGGTATCAATCTTCTCATGTAACTCTCAGCAAGAAGAAAAGTATTTCCCAAAATTCGAATTTCTTCTTTAGATTTTATATCCAATACATGTTTTTAGTTTACTATATGCTGGCATATTTTTTTCAGTGCCTGGTTATCAAAGCAGGTGGAATGTAACTAAGTTAAATGTTTACTCAATTACCATACTTAAATATAACTAAGGTACCTATTACCTTTTATACAGTTCTTATACTACAGTAGGCTTTATTTCAGAGGCAATACAGAACAACTAATTGAGGATGGTCACTGGTCAGTCAAGGATATTTGTATTGTTTGTTCTTGCTGTTTACACAGCGATACCTTGTGATCACATCACACGTGTGACTCTGGACTCTCTGTCGTCTTGGTTAAAGTTCAAACATCATTTCAAGCACATTCATCTTGCAGAAAAACTTTTATTTAATTTCTTTTGGGACACATAAAATGCTAACATTTTCACGTATATTTAATTTAGTTGATTTGGGTGGACCAGGAGGAGCATGGGTTAAATGATGTGTATCGGCAAGCCTCTCCTCAGTTGTTCAGTCCTGCCCATGCGGCTTGTACTACTCTGATGTCAGCATGAGCGTGTCCATGTGAATTATATGTGTTCGGGCATGTGGTGTGGTGAAACCAAGCACACCCCCTGAGCTCAAAGAGGCTCACTGAAGTTCACCTCAGGTTTTCTCAGGTTTCACTTGCTCAGTTCCTCCTAAACATTTGCCTGATTTTCTCCTGTCAGAGCGTCGCTGTGTCCCACGAGAAGACAACCGGGCCGACCACGTCAAACAGGGAGATTTTAAAAGCAGAGATTGTCTTTATCAAAGACTTTGCAGAGAGAGGAGCAGGAAACACAACCCAACCAGGGACAAAACATCAAGTAAGTACAACATGAGCACTCTCAATGTCCTCTGAAAACTTTGACAACAAGCTTTATGCTTGCCATGTTACAATATTAATATGTGCATGTGTCAAATACTGTGTATCTGTGGATCAATACAGGGTAAATATACACTGATCAAGTTGGCGTACATCTAACATTGTCAAGAGATAAAATAAATGAATGAGGCAGTCCAAGGTGGACATTTATCGCTTTTCAAATCTTTAAGATTTTGTAATACTTCACTCTGGCTTTTAAGAATTTAAAGTGACAATAACAATAACTTTATAGTTGCCATTTATTTATTTATAAAACTTTGTTTTTATTTTTCAGCCGTCACTGGATCACGTGAGCCTCTCTCAAACCAAAGTCTCTTCTTCAGTCGCTGTTCAATCTGAAAATATCCCCAACCACGTAGCTGCCGGGACAGCCTCTATGGAAACAGCTGCTGATAAACACAGGGGCATTTCCCAGCAGCAGTGTCACGATACCTCTGGACTTGCTGAGGTTAGCTCTGGTTACTTTGTGAATAGAGCGCATGTGTCAGAAGACAGAATGAGCCCCACACACTCTGCAGACCTGTTCCCCACCCCGGCTTCCTCCAGAGAGTCCATCCTCTCAGAGTGCTCGGACGGAGAGAAGAGCTGGTCGGCTGTGCAGCTTTCCTGTGTCACCTCTCCTGTTTCTTTCAGCCGAATCGGTTCTCCCTGCTCATCTGTCTGCTCTGGCATCTTCTACCCCGCTGTTGTCCAGATCAAGAGGCACTTTCTCGCTCCTGGCTCTAGTCTGGTTCACACCCCTGGTTTCTCATCCTGCGAGAGCTTGTCCTCTGTCTGTGCCCAATCCCCTCCTCCTCCTCCTCCCCGGCACCGGCCTCCTCTCACCCGACTCTCCCTCCTCACAGCCATCCTAAGAAAAGGCCGCCTTCCTGTCCTGTCCTCTGCAATTCAGAGGCCTTACACCCCCTGCTGGCCTGTTAACCCTGTGACCCTATCCTTCTGTAATGCATGCTCAGCAGCATCCAGTGTGGCCTCCATTCCCTTTGACTTTTCCTCTCAGTTATCCTCATCAGCGTCTTTAGATAGTCAGAGCCATGATCACAGGGAGCCTAATAGATGCGTCACAGCTCCTCCACCTGTGCAATCAAATGAGCTCCGCAGAATGTGCCCTCCAACCCAAGTGAAAAGATGCTCGGAGCAAATTCGCTCAAGCTGTGCGCCTCGATGGGAGCAGGTTATTTCACCCCTGGCAGTGAAGAGCACACTACCCCGAGCTCCACCTCTATTTTGCTCAAACTTTAAATCTGTTTCTCCACCTAAGCATGAAGAAATTGACGATGCAATTTCAAAAAAGCTGCAACGCACACACAAGTCCCCTGAGCTAAAGCTCATAAACATTGACAAGGGCCCTGCAGATAATAACCTTAAAAAACTCATCTCCCCGTCCACTAAAGTTATGTATGAGCAAGAGACCTCTGCGCCCCACAAATGGAGTCGCCCGCCAAATTCATCTTTCACAAGGCTTCACTCTCTTTCTCAACAACTGAGATCTCCACCGGTCTGCCCCCCTCGGCTTCAGCCTTCTCAATCACGCTCACCCGGTGACACAGCATCATCACCTGCACAAAATACCACAGGGAGGTATGAGTCAGGGAGGAGCTGCCCTGATTCCAAAAGTCCCTCAGCATTAGCTGCTTTTCACAAAACTCACTGTCTGTCTCCTTCCCGCTACACAACCATCGCTTTTCCCGGATGGCCGTCACCCACCAGCTCCCCGACGCCTACGCCCTCTCCTGCTCCACCAATCAGAGACTTCACCCCCTCCCCTTCTCTCTCCATGCGCTCCACGCCCTCCCCAAGGCCCGGGAGTGGAATATCAGACTGCAGTGACAGGGAGGGTAAAAAAAGAAAGGTAGCCGCTCTGCTTGCCATATGCGTGTTTAAACTGAGAATATTATTTAATATGCTCCCTGTGACATACTCGTCTCCCACATTATGGAGTTAAAAACAGACTTTGCTCACTTGATAGCTGGATATCAAGTGCTGTTCTCTGTCTGTAACTGTTTTTAGATTTGCATTCCTTAGTTGTTGATGTTTTTATAGATCTTTGCTTTGCAGATATTTCAAACTGTTTGCTGGTTTGTAATGATTGACAAATCTGAAATGTCATATGTTGAAGCAGGAGGAAACCCATCATCAGTAAATCAATACAGAAGCTTTTCAGAACTCTGGTTTCTAGGCCAGACATACATGCCCGACGTTATTAACCACCAGGGGTCCAATTTATTCAGTGCAAGCAGGGAAATATAATGTGGGACTCGGCCCTCTTGCCCGTCTGTGTGGAAAAGTTGGTTGTAACTGAACTTTTACAGTCGGTCAAATGAGCCACCTGATTAGCTGTGACAGCAGGCAAACACACGTCAGTATTGTTCTTTCTGTAGAGCGTCTCGAGCGTGGCTGACTGTTTTGCATGATTAGCAGCCTGCGGCAGTGTGAGATAAATCATGCCTGAAGAAATGTAAAATGTTAATCAATTCATGTTAACTGTCTGCTTTTTTCTCTCTATGAACTCCAGACACACAAGATTAAATTAAGCTACAAATCGCTCGCTGCAATTCCTACAAACACCCTTCTATTGGATCAGCAGGTAAGTTCATTTGTTTGACTCTAATCCCACAAACTCATCTCTTTATCCTGTTAAACATCCAGACATATGAAGCCCTAATGGAAGTTTGATGGAGGCAGTAAAGCTAATTTTACTATGTGGAAATAGGAATTAACTCCGAAGGTAAAGTGTGTATTCAAAAATGAATATTCTTTAAAAAAAAAAAAGAAGATACATGTCAAATCTCTAATCATCAGGCTTTAAAGATAATTACATTTAGATTTGTATTTGAAAAAACTTGTTGGCAGAAATCTCATTTCATAAGGACTAAAAAAATCAAATCAGACTCAAAGAGAGGTCAAAAAAACATGGCATATTGCTCTGTTATCACTGCAGCATTGTACACTTTGAGCTGCAGAGGAGGGAGATCTGTGAGAGTGGATGAATATAACTTGTCTGGAGGAGATGTTGCAATGTTGTCTAAGCCATCTGTGTAATCCCTGATGGAAAGCACTAGCAGCAGTCGTGGTCGTGAGCTCAATCTGTCTACTCTGCTTTGCATTGACAGGCAATAGATGAGCAGGTAGAGAGAGAAGAGAGTCCATGTGACAGTTTGGACGGAGGTGAAACATTTGACAGAGGTATTGCAGACACCCACGCTAAGGTATTAGTGCTCACATCACTGCTGGTTTTCACTGCACAATTCCAGTCCACTGACTTCAATTATTTTCCACAGATGTGTTCACCCGCTGAGCTCCGGCAACAGTCAGAGGAACTTTATGCCGTTATTGATGAGCTACTGGCAAATACCACTCCAGCAGTGAGTTCAGTTACATTATTTAAAAAATAAACATGTGCAAATGTTGAATTGTAATATTGATTATGATTTTATATTTTTTCAACCTTTAAGAGCCAATCATCCCGGTCACAGCAGCCCTCCCGGTCATTAACTACCGACGTTGGTCTAAAGGTAAATTATGATGCTTTAACAGCATGTGACATGAATGACAAACTAACAAGAGGATTTATACCACTCTCACGTCTGTGTGCTTTTACAGGGGTTGTGCCTGACATTTCATGTATTTTTACACCAGAAAATGGTCTGGCTTACACCCCCCATGAAACCACAGTTTGTCATTTTTACATTTGGATTTTTGTATGAATTAAACAATATATAACATGTTAATCGGTGATCTTTAGAGGTGTTTAAAGGTGAATTTTATTGCCTTTGGACAGAGCCTGGCTAGCTGTTTCCAGTCTTTATGCTAAGCTAAGCTAAATGGATGCTGATCGGTATCTTGTTTTCACATTTACCTGACATATTTTGACATATCTTGTACTTTAAAATAAAGTTTGACCAACACTTTTCCACACAATTTGAGTTTGTAAATATTAACCCAAATGTAATAACATCTACCTACTTACCTACCCACCTACCTATAAAGAAGAACCCTCGATCTGGTTTCCACAAAAACTAAATCCACATGATTTTTTTCCCAATACGTGGTTTCTGTAACTCTTCTGTTTTGTTTCAAATATTTCTCTCTTTCTTTTTTTCTTTCAGCAGAACAACTCATCATTTACAAAAACCTTGGGACGTGAGACCAAATATGTGAGTAAGAGTAGTTTTGTCTGTTGAATTAAAGGCAAAGGTTATTTTATTTGCTCCCAATGGCCGAAAGTGACAAACCAATTTATTTTTACATATTAACTTTCCGACCATTTTACGTTACGAAGAGAATATTTTCCATCAGGAATTTTACTGCTAAACAAATCTGAACACAGATGTTTGTGTAATCATCTCATGATGGCAAATATTTCTCTCTCTCTTTTCTTTTAAACAAATGTTGTCGGCTTATAAAGTATCATTCCTAATTCACAAAACTGACATGAAGCTCGATCATTTCATACTTTTGCTTGTCTTTACATAAAACCTTCAGTACTTCAAGTGTTTTCTTTTATCAGTACGAGAGCAGATTGCTTGAAAACGCTCATCCAAACAACTTCACACTCCATTCTGTGCTTCCTTGTGTCCTGATCAATCCACCTGCCATGACATATAGCTGCAACTAGTGGTGCAACGAAATTAAGTACATTTACTGAATTATTGTACTTAAGCACAATTTTGACATACTTGTACTTTACTGCTTTTTGTCCTTGTACTTTTCAATCCACTACATTTGTTTAATACCTTGATTTACTACTTGACATATTCAAATTTATAATACAAAATATGATTTACAAATATATTATGATGTATAATTATGGCTAAAGATAAGAATTTATTGATCCCTTGGTGAAATCCACAAGCTACCCAGCAGTAAAGTAAAACAATGTAAGCTCCACCTTTCCCAACTGCAACATTAAAGCCACGCACACATCTATGCATTGATAGTTATAATCGATAATATAATAAACACTTTTCTGAAATGGGCTATTCTGCATAATCAGTTTGTTTACTTTTTGTACTTTAAGTATATGCTTTTGTACTTTTACTGAAGTAACATTTTGAGAGCAGTATTTCTACACTGTGGTATTGCTACTTCAATAAAGGATCTAGTATTTTAGTATTCTTCAACCACTTGATCCCCTAGCATTACTAGAGTTGAATGCAAAACCGCAAACAAACATTTACAGGGTTGTTTCTAGATGGTACCCCACAATTCTTGAAACGCTTGCTAGATGGTTACGGTTAGTTGTTGACCTCGAATGGTTAGGACAAAGATAAGTGATTCTCGGGAGAGTTTTCGCAAATTGGGGTTTACATTCAAGACACGACCCATCAACGGAGCTGTACCCAGGTGTAACAACTAGTTGGGGTCACCTCTGGATACAGTACACAGTGTGTACAAAATGCACTTTCAATAAATACATTGTGTAGATCTCAAGACCTCACACTCCACACTGAACGTCCTTGGGTCAGCAATACACCTGCCAAGTGAGAAGTCGAAGGACAGACAGACATACAGAGACTCGTTCCATTTTGTGAGAGACTATGTTGATACTTTTCTTCTACACTGTTTACTCAGGCATCTGTATGCAGCTTGCACCCATCTACCGGTGTGGAAAGAAAGCTCATGAATCCTAAAAAGGTACTGTACATATTCAATTATTTTTTGACCAAGTTCAGGCTACTGGATTTGCTTTACTAATGATGTGAAGGAAGCAGGAATGAATTCCCGCTCTGCTGTCAAACTTTTTCCTTCCAGACAAAGCCCGAGGTTATTCGCCCAATGACGGCCATTCCAAGACTGACAGTGGAGGATGAAGAAAAATTTCATCCGAGACCTTTCCAGCAGTTTGTCGTCAAACCGACTGACAACAAAAAGGTAAGCTGGTGGAATTAGCTCATATCACAGTGCAGGAATCGGTGTCTGCGCATGTAGTGATCACATTAGTTTTATTTTAATTTTAAGTAGTAGCACCCACACTCCTCATGGGTTAAAAATGTTGCTGTTTAAAGAGAAATGTTTTAACTGGACTCCCTCCCACTTTGACAAGTTTTGACAGCAGAAGAAATTCAATTGACTGAAGAACCTTCTCAAACTACAATCCACTTATCTGCTGTCCATCCATATGCCTGTTATGTTCCAAAGATGTCTAGAATTTTGCCAAATACAATACTGTATATTCGCTGACATCATGGTATCCGAGCAAGTTCCATCTGCCGAGGAGGACTACAGTTGAACGCTGTAAAATCTAGTAAGGGAAGCTTGACTTAAAACATTTGATTACAGCTAAACTATTGCCAGTTACCGCTCTGGTGAAACAGACCTAATCATGGGTTCATGTGAATAGAAACATACCTTAAAAAATGTATATCAAGTTGAACAGGCCTTTCTGTCTGTGGTACATGGTGGAGAGCTCTTTGTCTCGTCCTTCTCCGTTATTAAGTCACAATTAAGCAGGTAATCAACGCCTCCTGATTAAGTGAACACTGCAAAGGGAATTGGAAAGTAAGTTAGGTGGAGATATTAAATTAAGTTTGAGCAATCAAAGCAATATTTTAAAATCAATTTCCTCCACCGCACCTTCTTTGTAAACCACTTATCCTAATATACTCATACTGATTACTATTTTTCCAAATAAAATCAGACTCATGTTTGAGGTAAGAGCAAAACGAGGAGTTTCCTCTGAACTCAGGCTTATGGGTTGAAAGGTTTGTTGTTGTGAGAGAGAACAAATCTAATCATTTTCAAAGAAGACGCTTCACACTCTGCAAAATCACGTCTCTCCTCACAGCTCATGCTTATATATTAGTTCCACAAGGAATTTTCAGAAAATAGTATTGAAAACTCCCATCAGTCATAAATTGATGTTTTGAGATTCAATAAAAAATGTTCAGAACTAACCTTCTCGTGCTTTGTATTTTAAACATTAACATTTTACCATTTACCATTCATTTGAGTGACAATTTTTAATTAAACTGCAATATTCATACGATTTGGTAAGTTTTCACTAATTATCTCTTACATATGATACCCCCCCCCCCCTCCTGCTTTTATTATTTTCAGCTTTGTGAAACGATAATGACTTTGGGGTCTATTCCAGTTTCAAAAGCCCTATATGTAGAAAGTGTGAGTAATTATAACGTAATTCAAATTATTGTGATGGCTTACATTCAATTTAAGTCCAATGTCCAAAACTTACAAATACTACACATAGAGGCATACCTACGTTATAGCCCAACCCATACTAAATTATAGATTTGACAATACACTTTAGAATAAACCAAGTACATTGTTCAGTGCCTCTGTGGAGATTAAAAATGTCTCTAAAGTATAACAAATCAAGATCTTCACTAAAATGATTTATGATTGATGTTGGGAAAATGGGGACAACTTCCATCTATTTAACTGAAGTCACCTCATCTCCAGGACAAAATCAATAGTATGTTTAGCTTAAAGACGATGTTTTCATTCTGACTGGAAGAAATTGCAAACCTTCCATACGTTGGCCTTCAGCTGTCCATTGTAGCTGAGTAGGCCATGCTGCTTCTTCTCCTCTTGTTTTGAATTTTCCCCACACCGCTTGTCTCGTCAGTCAGCCTCAAATCCTCTGAGAGGATGATTCCTATTACTTCACGAGCTGTCAAGGTCCTGTCAGTTTTCCAAACGTCTTCTTGTCAAACTACTTTAAGCGGAGAGCTTAAAATAATTCTGCTCAGCTTTCCATCGAAGACGTTGAAGCAGTGTAGAGTGCAGAGTGTTTGATGAAACATCATATTAAAGCATTCAATAGAGAAGAACAACATGAAACTGCTTGGCTCCTCAGATGATGTGCTCTTTACTCAAAGCATGTCTTGGAAAATGACTCTTCGCTCTGCCTCAGAGAAAGTCAGTTAACAGCTTCAATTTGCCTGCTGATGAAGGAAAAAAAGTTTGAAGAGCCATCAGGAGGAGAAATAAATGCGTGGCAATTCATCTGCCAAGCCTTTCATCATACAATGAAAGATGGTAAAATATGCCCATTTGAACTGCAGAAGAAAGGACACAGGAGATCCCGTATTTATACTAGGATAGCTTCTTGCAGCTTTGGTGCAAGACATGTATTTTCTCTCTGTATGTGTGTTATTTACTGAGTTTACACATTCAACTGTTGTTCCACATCAACATTGTTATGAACATTTACTGCAATGCAAACGTATTTATGAGGCCAGTTTTCATTTCCCGGCTTCTTTTCACACAGAAGGTGAAGTGAACCAGAAAAAGAACAAAACTCAGTTTGACAGCAAATTTGCACGATCATTATTACTGAAAGCTCCTTCAATGGAATTCACAAGGATAAGCTTCTTGTGTAATTCTGAGCTGTATGTAAAATTATAGTCTGAATGTTTTTCATTTGTTGAATATATAAAATGTCAAGGTCAACAAAACAGACTGCATACAGATATACAAAGAACTGATGCGACTGTGAACACTTAAACCATAAACATGTCAACAATCTTCCGCATGAGAGAGATCTTGACATGTTTGACGCTACAAACACAATTTTTCCTCTGAAAGGCTGCTATTAACCTTCAGAATGCAATCCATTCACTATTTATGATGCAGAGAGTATTGTTAGCTTTATTTCTAAGGCCGTGGAATATCTAGCTTTGTAAATGGTTTGTTGTGATGTGGAGCATAATAATGGAACCATGTAACATTGATATTCAGTGTGTGATGCAATCTGCTTCTTACCTTGGCATGGTCGACTGCGCGTGGTTTGTCCTGCTGTTGTCATTACACCTCAGATCCACAAAAACCTGTGAGGCAATAAAGCATAAAGACTCTGGGGAAGAAGCAAAGTTAGAAATGTGCATTAATGGGACATGAATTCATACAGAAGGAGAGAGAGAAGAGGAGAGAGGAGCTCAGTGTATCCTAGGAAGTCCCCCGGCAGTCCAGGCCTATAGCAGCATATCTAGGGACTGAGCCAAGGCAAACCTGAGCCAGCCCTAACTATAAGCGTTGTCAAAAAGGAAAGTCTTAAGCCTACTCTTAAATGTGATGAGTGTGTCTGCCCTCTGGACTGAAACTGGAAGCTGGTTCCACAGAAGAGGAGCTTGATAACTGAAAGCTCTGGTTCCCATCCTACTTTTTAAGACTCCAGGAACCACAAGTTACCCCACATTCAGGGATGCAGATATTGATATTATGGCATAGTTTCATATAAGAAGAAACACTCTCATTTAGAATAGATGAGGAGGTCGATACCCATCTCATGTTTGTATAGTGAATATGAAGCTACAGCCAGCAGCCAGTTAGCTTAGCTTAGCATAAAGACAGTAAACAGGGGGAAACAGCTAGCCTGGCTCTGCCTGCCGGTAACAAAATCCGCCCAACAGGACATCTAAAGCTCACCAATCAACACATTTAATCTCGTTAGTTTTATTGGTACAAAGGCTGAAGTGTAAAACTGAGACATTGATAATGACATAGCAGTTTTCAGGCAGCCGGTGGAGACTCTAGGAAGTGACTGTTCCCAGTCTAGAAAACGTCCAGCACATAACTCTCTGTAAAACAAATTTAACAAATGAGATAAGAATTTGAATGTGTTGAAAGTTATAATAACTGACTGAAAGTTATGCCCTCTCTCTCTTTAGACTCTTTTATCACAGCAGCTGAAATAAGATAAGATACAACTTTATTGTTTTTTACATGAAACTGTGGCTTGTATCGCATGCTCCAAACAGAATAACATAAAACATCTGGGGAAAAATAACATAATTCCAAGCAGAAAGCAGAAAAGCAGTTTTCCAGTCTTTGGTAGAATTAATGCTGCAGTGAGGATGGGGGGTGCTTGTGAGCACACATTCATCAATGATTAGGATCAACAAACATGGATATTGATTGTGTGAGCAGCCAAGACAAGTTGCTCATCAACGGGTTTAAGTGTCTGAATTTGATCAATGTCAGTAGACATTGACAATCACAACCCTGTTGAAATAAGTAATTGAATATGCAATCTGCATGATGTGACAGCCCGTTCATGCGCTCTGTTGTTTATTCAGGTCTTTTGCTGTTGTCATTGGTTACACTGATTTCTCTGTCCGCGGCCTCTTTCCTGTCCCGGTTTCTTTTAAACTCCTGATTGTGCCAGCATCTCAATCCTCATTTCACAGTGTGTCTATATTTCAAATGTCAGCTATGTGTCTTCTGGGTTTAGTTTGTCCCACGGAGCCGTTTTATTACGATCTCTGCAGACCTTTGGTTGTGATGTGACTTGCACCTCATGTGCAAAATACAAGAAAAGACCAACTCATCACAACTCAACAATTACAATGTATGTTCTTGTCACAAATGAGAGAGACTTTAGAGCCACAGCCTTAGATCACCATAATCACCAGTAGCAGGTTGAAAGTACAGAAAATGTAATATTATATAATATCTCTCTGTATATATTCCTGTCAGTGTTGGGCAAGCTACTAAGGAAACCTTATTCATTATTTTTAAGTTTATTTTTAAGGAATAGTATTAATTTACTTATTACTTGATATCAAAAGTTAGAAGTATCGTTACTCGTTATATTACTATGTTAGTTTAACTACACACATCAGACTGGTTGATTACATCTCAATATTCAGCTTTTTATGACGGAGACGTCTGGTCACCAAGATGCATACTGACGCTATGACGTCATCATTACATAAGCTGGCAGATAAAAACGAATCGCGTTCTAGTAACGCAGCTTTACTTGGATTTATAACTTAAATATATTTACTGTTTTGGAGAAGATAATCCCTTACACAACTTGTTACTTTATAAAGGAATAATATTACATAAATAAATTCCTGACAGTTACTTACCACACTGATTCCTGTGTAGTGTATCTCCTGAGAATATGTTTCCATTACAGAGAGGTAAAGAAAATAAGAGTCACTGTAAGTATTATTTAACAAGACAGTTACTGAAGACAGAGAAGGAAAGGAGATAGGATCAGGCAATTCATTTGAGAAAGACCGAATAAAAAAGCCCCTGGAGAGATGACACACATTTGAATTACGAAAAGAAACAACTGAAAGGAACACTGCAGCTATACTTTTATTGTTTGTTTCTTTTGACTTTGTACAGCAGCAGATCATTTGCTTTATGTTTCCATTGTTGATCACAGGTCACCAGTCTTTGGTCTGGGGTCATTTGACAGACAAAATAAAAAGACCTATGAATAGATGCGTTGAAGTGGTTCAATGCAGGAAATGTACGTGAGAGTAGGGGCATTTGCACCCTTTGTGAACATATCAAATTTCATTTAGATTTGCATGTACCGGTGTCGTTAAGAGTTTCCATCCAGACCTTTTATTCATCTTCTCCCTCTGAACATACAGTAGCTGTTACCATGAGTTGCGTGTCCACATTTCTTATTCATCTGTTATGTTAGTTGACTGTTGTATTTGGGATGGCTGTGTGTGTGTTCTTCATTACTTGTTCTTCATTGTAATAGATAGATACATTCTTAAAGTTACCGTGTGGAGATTTTGACCACTAGCAGTGCTATAGAGCGATTTGAACAATGAGTGGGTCCCTGTTTTGTTGGACTTTAACACAGATCTGTCAAAGGCACGGGCTTTACCTGCCTTGGCAGAGGAAAAGTGAACCATTTTGTTGAGCCTCGGAACAGAACATTGCACTGTGTTTGATCAATGACCATATTCACCACCAGTATCCTGATCCACCTTAACGCTGCAGTAGGCTTGTGTCTTTGAGTGCTGGCTTGCTCTGTGAAATACCAACTAGTGGCATCTAATGCAAAAATAATAGACAGCAAAGACATAAACTTAAAACTTAAAACAGTTTCTCTGCAGCCTTATATGAGCTATGTGCCTCCTCCACATTTGTACAAATCCTGTCTTTAGCTCTTTTTCATAATGTAGAGCCTCGCCAACGTTTGCAAATTTCACCCTGTCAGCTTTACAGCACAGTGGCAAATAATCTCATGCCGATTCCTGTATCATTAGCCACTGCACCCCTGCAGTGCCACTGAATCCAGAAATTAAACACATTTACTTTGTGAGACAGAGTGACAATCTTTGTGACGTTCATTTCATGGCTGTGAAATGATAATAAATGGTGCAAATATAGAGCAGGTGATTGATGTCACCATGTAATCCAGAAAGATAATTGTCAATTATAATCAAATACACAATGAATATTCATCCCAGTGCAAACCTCAAGCAGCTGCAGCGACATCCATTTTCAAGCAATTTCACTGTGGGCTGAAATCAGTCGAGCAACAATTTGGAAATTGCTGCTGCTGTTTTTTCCCCTCTGGTCTCTCTAACTCACAATGCATTAACTTAAAAACTGATGTGTCCGTTTCTATTTCAGGTGGAAAGTACGAGTCTTAAAGAGGCAAGAGAAGATTGCTACACAAGTTCAAAAAGGCAAAAGTTTGGAGAAGAGAAGAAGCCTGAGAGAAGAGGTCCACTCTCAGTATTTGATCTGCAGATAACAGAGCCTGATGACCAGATAAATCCCCCTTTCAGTCCAACTGAAGGGCAGATGGAAGCTTTATTATGACTCATATTTAAAGAATTAACACCAAAGTATTAACTCTTTATCCTACACTATTTTATTTTTTAATGAACTACTAAAACACAACCAGTAAGTGACTCTTTGCTAAGCCCCGCCCTTTGCTGCTACTTTGCAAGCTGCTAGAGCTACCATGGAGTCCACACTATCACTCCCTGAATAAATATTCTCAATTTTTTTTGATTTCAGAGAGAAGCAGACAGAAAGGTATACAATGTGCGTTTGAAGGATATATCCAGTAGGGTAAGCTGATTCAGCAGCGAAAACAGGTTGAAAAGATAGTGAACCACCACATCACCTGGCGATCAAGACAAAAGACCATGAAATTAAGGAACCACACTGTTCCTTTAAAGATGGTTAGGTCTTTACTCACTATTCAAATTATTTTTTCAAAAGCAGCATGTGTGTACATTCAGTTTACCTTCACTAACTAGCGTAGCATAGAACTCCTTACCGACTCTGCTTTTGTTAACTCCACATGTTTTTACGTAGAAATTTAACAATTTGAAAAACATGTATCTCCTTCCAACCTCTCTGGGTAACTACAAAGTATCACTTTTACACAATGTTTGACCATGACTAGCACCAAATCCACAAAACGAGCCTGAAAATGAAGAAAATAAATAACCATTGCATGAGTCTATGGAGCAGAGCCGATGTTATGCTATCAGTCTGCATGGTCAGATTTAGGGTCAGGATTTAGCGCAGGGTCAATACGACCTGAACTAGCGAATTCATAAAAATGAACAAAAACTCAAAAAAATACTATTTTAATATTGTCATGATTTGTGGAAAAGCTGTAATATTTAATAAAGGACATCCATATTTTCCCTATGCTCTTGAGTTTTACATCTGTCTGTTATTTGTAAATTTCCATATCAGTAAAGAAAACCACAAGCGAATGACAGGATAAAAGGTCTGATGATGCTTGATAAAAGGTATGGGTATATATATATATATATATATATATATATATATATAATGGGTATGCAGGCATGTCATTCATTGGATGATCCTTCATGTTCTCATTTGCAGAGCAGGAGTGCGACAAGACAAGACAAGTTTATTCATAAAGCACATTTCAGCAACAACCAAGAATTCAAAGCTCTTTAGATGAAACATTAAAACCATGGAGACAAAGTACAAAAGAAACCTATTGTAAGAGATAATATAAGATGGAATAGAACATATAGAATACATCAAATAAGATAGAAACCCATCAAATAATAATAATAAATATTAAAATCAGTCTACTCTGTTCTTCAGTGGTGGAGATTTGAATTTTTTAAGACAAAAAATTACTTGTCTCATGTCATTTTACACTTATTTGTTGGATTTAGTTCAAATTTGTACTAATAGTACAGCCAAAGACATCAGTATAACTTAGTTTTAAGCTCCATAGACTCTCATACAATCATTTCAGATTTATTTCATTTTCAGGTTGGTTTTATGGATTTCTTACATTGTGCCTGGGGCACATGTGATAGTGATACTCGTTATCCAGAGAGTTTGGGAGGAGATATATACGGTTATGAAATGTTACATTTCTAATTTAAACCTGTGAAGCTAACAATAGCAGAATACATCAACACAACAGCTAGCTCCAACAGCTTGACTAGCAGCGGGGGGCGGGCCAAGTTATTTCTGTTGTTTTATCTTCTTCTCTTTTTCTTGTCCGCGGTACATCTTTATGATGTAGGTCATCAGACAGCCCTTTCAGATGGGGAACTGAAGCCATTATATCACTGTCCTCAAACCCACCAGACTCCGTTCACAATACATTAATTTTACCCCACAGAACAGGGAAGTTGCAGGTCTACTGCTGCATGGATCGGTTAGTTTGTTTTTGTTATTGTGTGACTTCCAGATACAAACTAACGTGGTGTCCACACAGTAGTTAATTGCTTAGCTTCCATTCTGCTTCTCCAAACAGGGAGCATGCCAACGGCCATCTCAGTTACAGTAGGTAATACACACTGACTAAGGATATGTACATGTGACCAAAATTTAAATGTTCAGAAACCCAGATTTAAGGGGCCCCGTCCTTTTAAATTAAAAAGCGTTCATTTTCAAATTGTAAGAAGTGAAGTGGTTAATACTGCCTTCTGAAAAAGTGTGGGGGAATATGTCCCCTGTGTCCCCCCTACCTGCGTAGATTTGCTCCTGTGACGTCATTCCCAGCTCCTAATTCCTATTTCCGTGTTTAATAGAATGCTGCATTATTATCTCAAATCTAATGGCCAACCACTGACATCAACATATAGCTACATCTGTGGTGGAGATTTGCATTTTTAAGACTAAAACTCAAGCGCACTCCAAAAAAGTATAAAAAATACACAAACAGAACCTCCTATTCCCGAAGGACACAGCCTCTCCATCGGTCTAGAGTCTACAACAAAATAAACAATTTATTTACAGGCAGATCATTTGATTCCTCTCTTGGATAAACCTGTTTGTGTCAACACTGTGATTGACATCTGATGTCCCCTGTGATGATCATTTTCGGCTGGTTGGCTTTAGCCACCTGGAACCCTCTAAAAGATTACGCAGGTATAGCTAACGGATGGATGTTCTCACGCCTGATTAGAAATCTTCAAAGAAAAAACTACTCAACCTCAAAAGGGCTCTTGAAGAAAGGGGGGTTAGTGCAGTGCAGATGATTGATGCACTCACAGCCTTCACTACACTGTGGACTTCACAGCAGAGTAGTCTGACAGCAAATGTGTGCCCGCAATCAAAGTCAAGGATGTTGAAGCGATGTTATAAAAATAGCTTGAATGGCAGCTAACTAATGGCCTCAACCTTAAATTCAATAGCTTAGAGATCTGTGATTTTGTTGTTGGACATGTAAGCTTAATTTATCTGTGAGGCACATTTAAAACATGGTTAATTTCAGGGAAGATTAAGTCTAGGTCTAGTTGAGTACTTTGAGTACTTCTCAATGGGAAAAAAAATACAATTATCAGGATCGCTTTTGCAAGCAGAAGGATTCAGGATTTCTTTATTGATCAAATAGGATTTGAGCTCTGGTTAGCTTAATTTGACATGAAGCATGCCTTCTGTTGTGTGCTCAGCAAACAGCAAGTTCCTGAATCAAGAACTGATGGATGTGTATTTGGATCACTGCTGGCTGCATAAGAGACAGTTTAACTATCTCTAAAATAGAGAATAACTGACATGTGATTGCAACTGTAAACAAGGATACAAGCTGTTCCTCTGCCCTCCATAAAAGCTAGAGTCCTCCTCATGGGTGTCCAGATAACAGCAAAGGCTCTGTCACTGACCAAATCTCAGACTTTCCAAGACAGCAATATTGAGATATTGGTATCCATGGCCTATCACATTTCACTCCTTTTTTTGCCTTCTTACACCCTATTACCACATCACAGTCTGCATCAAAGTAAATAATTGGTAACTCTGCAGCTGTTTTCGCAGCATGACAGGATGACTTCTTGAAAGAATGAGGTATTATTCTGACACACAATTATTCTGAAGCACACTGAGTCTCCGTTGTAGGGCTCTCAGCAGGGTTTTATGCTGCTCTCTCCTGTTTGTCAGATCAAAAAAATAATTAAACGGTGAGAAGAAAAAGGAAGAAACCTTAGCGAGAGCAACTGAGGAGGGATCCCTCTCCCAGGATGGACAGAAGTGTGATAGATCTTATGTGTACAGAATGAGCAACAACAGAGTTACAACACATTCAATGCATATGACAGAACCACGGCAGGAGGCAAGACCAGGTCCAGATATAACCAGGATCCACGGAAACCTGCGAGGTGAGAAAGCACAAAGAATCCAGTGAAGAAGCAAAGTCAGTAATGTGCGTTAATAGAAATATAATGTGAGAAAAAAATAGAAAAATGCCATTATCAACAGATTAAATCAATATGAATCATCAGCACATAAGCAGAGGACGATATATAAAACCAAGCATACAAGGACACATTCGTCTTGTTGCCACGGCAGATTGTTCGTAGCAAAGACAAAAGGGACCACAAATTCAAGTTAACATTATACTTTTATTCAATGTCAGAGCTGGATCAGTCCATGTTTTTGGAACAAGCCTGAACATGATATGCTCAAAATAAAATGGATATTTCTCTTGGGGGAAATAAAGGATTTCTACATCTGAGTTGTACATATTTATTTTGTTCATGTGTGTTTGATGCCAATATGAGCCCTGTTTTGGGACCAGAACAATTCAAATACTCTCCACCAGTAGGCAGAGGGGACTCAGGTGTTTCTTGAAGCCTTAACTGATTTCTTTCTTTGTCAGTCTGAGTTTAACTGAGGGGGGAATGAGGGCTAAAGATTACAACATATACCGCAAGAGTCAAATAAATGTGAAAATGATTAAACATGTAATATTTCAATATTGGTATGTAACTCAGTGGTTGTGGATTATAATGCACTTTGATATACTGCTCTCATCTGTATACACAGAGCATTATGAGCAGGAGAGAGTCATAAAGAACCCCTGCACTCCAGTCCTCCCACAGTTGAGTCAGGCTGACACCCCCCCTCTGAACCCTGGTGATGAACTCCAAGAGCGTAGGCTTGGTGTCAACATTGGCGGGGACACATATTAAGTGGGAGGTCTCTGGGTCCTCCAGTAGAACATTTTGATCATAAAAACACTTAATTTATTGCACTCTGGCGAATTGTTCTTCATCAATTTATGGTGGAAATGTACTTATTATTTAAAGGAAAACCCAAAAGGTGACAATACAAAATATAACAATACAATGAAGTAAGGCTCTCTGGCATTCTGTATTGATCTCAAATATTTATTCTCCAGTAGATTAACTTTTCTAATTTAATGGTATCTCTGCTGAGTCAACACACATGTAGATGATTTAGTCTTCCCCCCTCTTTTGTGTCTTTAACCTCTTTAATGTGCACGTGGCACCTATTCACATGTCCCAACCGTACATATGCAAACCTGTTCTCACAGGGAGGCTGACTCTCTGAAGACTGACAACACCAAAGGTGAAGAACTGAACTAAAATGCATAACGAGATGAATGACTTCTTTTTGCTGCAGACTGCAGGGCCACAGCTGATGGAGCTGAGATCACTTGGTTTGAAGTACTCTGAGCAAATGTGAACCCGCAGGCGTCACAAGCCTCCACCATCTGTGGCAGCCAGCTGACTCACAAGCACGAACGATGGGCAACAGTCGACGACCCGCTCCTCCAATTTGGAAGGAAGCCCAAACAACAAAACAAGAAGACCCTCTCTGGGATCGCCTCGAGCCAGAAACCTTTTGAGGAACATGATGCTTTAAAAAAAATAATAAAATACTGGAATGTTGGTGTAGTTTTTATTTTTTTATTTGCTTAAATATTTATGAAAGTGAATGTTTGACAATACAAAAATTACCGATTGTTCTTTTAGGGTGACAGAAAAATGTTAAAACTTTTCCATGAATACAGAAATCATTGTTTATCGGTGAAATAACTCCAGAATATGTGTGTGTTCTCGTGTGTGTTGTCTGCAGTATAGGCTTCCTAACATCCCACATGGCATTTAATTTAAACCTTGTCCTATTTTTATTTGTTGTCCACTATCTCTGTTTGGATGGAGGAATGTTTTTGTCTCGATTTGAACAGAAGGCACAGCAGCAGTTTCTTTCTGGAGGTTGAAGACACAGTGGGAAATCTTGTGCTTATATGTGGGTGCTCAGTCAGGCAATACTGTAAACCTCTGTAGGTAAATGCATTGGAACAATAAAGGGATTAGACTGCTCCTGGGAAGTTTACTTTTTTTTTTTTTTTATAAATATAGACAAGTCAATGACATGAAAGCATGCCCCTTCAGTGACAACACCATGGACGTCTGCTATTAAAGCTATTATGTGGGCCTGTAAGACGCACATCCACTATCCTGTACAGGGTCGCGGGGGGCTGCAGCTAATACCAGCTGACATTGGGCAAAGGTAGGGTACACTCTGGACAGGTCGCCAGACTATCACAGGGCTGACATATAGCGAGAGACAACCATTCACACTCACATCCACGGGGCAATTTAGAGTCATCAATTACCCTAAGCCTAAACTGCATGCCTTTGGACTGTGGGAGGAAGCCGGAGAACCCAGAGAGAACCCACGCTGCCATGGGGAGAAAAGCTCCACACAGAAAACACGTCTAGCCCGGGAATGGAAGCCGGAACTCTCTTGCTGTGTCTGTAACAAATTACATAGCTGTGGATCAACAGTTGTTGAGACGTTTCATTCCATTTTTCATAATCCAGAAATTTAAATCTCATTGTGGGGCTAGAGGAAAAGTCAGAGGATCAAGTTATTATGATTCATCCTCTTAGCAGCATGGATCAAGAAAAGATCTGTTAAATAACAGTAAAGTGAATTTACTTTAAGTCTACAGTACTCATTCTGTGAAATGACTTAACAACATTTTACTCTAAAAGTAGAATACAGTACATTCACAGTATATTACAGTAAAAATGAATGCAGTATTTTTCTGTGATTATTTACAGTAACATGGTTAGGGGGTTAGTTTACTTTAAATTCTCTGAGTTTACTGTGAACAGGCAAAATTGATAATACAATAACTTTAGCAGTTTAGAATATCTAAAATATCAATCTACAATGCAATTAAAATTAGAACTTTATTGTTCTATTGGCTACAGACGTCTGCATTATTATGGAAATTATGCAACATAAGCAATAAACAACTTAGAAATGATATCAATCAAACACTTTGATTCAACAGGGCAGTGTGAACATAAATACTACTGTAAAAAAAACACTTGGACGACCCAACGAAACAAGCCAAAGTGATTTTTAATAAAACTGCCTGAAACAATGGCAATATTCAAATTCTTAAATTGCATGTCATCGAGTGCCCCTTACTTGAAATCACCTGAGACATAAGTTGTAACTCCTTCTAAATTATTGTTATAGGTGACTTATCTTACCAAACTTGGTTTTGGTATAATGGTGCAGAGTAGAGAAGTAGATTAATATTTCACCTCTAGCTAAAACCAGCCTGATTGAACAGCTACTGTTCAAATGTATTTGGCCTGGAATGGTGTGAAGCCAATGATTTAACATCAATCTCTCTCCCTCTCGCTTGCACACAGGAGAGTCTGGTTACTGTACAAGGGATTTAGTGCAACAGTGCAATCTGCTGCTCTATTAGCCTATCCATCATAACCAAGTAACTCCTCCACTGACACTAAATGCTGAGCCATAGCAGGTCCTCTCCTGATTCTGAGAGCACCGGACCGGTTTTATATTTCTTGTGAGACGGTTGAAGCCTGTTTAACCTCCTCCTTTACCATAGCATCGTAATGTTGCAATAAAACTCACCCTGCATTAGAGCACACACAAACGTACACCATAGCACACCTCGACGTTTAAGGCGTAAACAATGCAAACCAGTTAAACTGACAAGCAAAAAAATAAATAAAAGTGAATTTTCACTTTGTCTTCCAAATACAAAATATGTCAATACACACATTTTATTGAGTTCAGAAAGTTTAGAGCAGCAATCAAATTCCTTCAATAGATTTTATCTTGCCAACGTGTTTCAGAGACCGGTTTCCTTTGTCGGTTTCCTGCGTTGCCTGCATGAAAAGGGTAGTTGTATAAATATAGACATCGTCAATGACATGAAAGCATGCACCTTCAGTGACAACACCGTGGACGTCTGCTATTAAAGCTATTATGTGGGCCTGTAAGACGCACATCCACTATGAACGAAACAAATGAATGCTGTGAAATTGCATCAAGAGAATAATGGCCAATAATTCAGTGAGTGATGCCCCCACTGCAGCAGTTTTGGTTTCATGCAGTCATTTTTAAAGATACTTAGGGTGACTTTTATCATCATAGAAATGTCGTCGGGATTGAGGATGACATATGGCAAGAATCCCGTCAGGACCACCTCTTATCAGTGGAGAGCTTTGTGAGTGCAACTACAAGCTGCTCTGAGAGCACGCAAGCACGATTTGGCATCAAATCCATTCAGCAAACAGAAGAAAAGAGGTATGTAGATTTCATATTATAATAATTTGCCAAAATGAAATAGTTAGTTGAAAAGCATTTGAAAAGCAAGACACACACCCACACACATGGATTTATACTCCTGGGTAGTGTCCATGTTCAGTCATGATGCACATGGAACTCTTTCTAAAACAGAACAGGAAACAGAATGTGTTTCCAAGATCGCACACAGCCACAAAATAAATATTGCGGCAATAACCGTAGGCAGACAACTTATGAAACCTACCTTCTGTTGACGCACACAGAACTCACACGGAATGTCATTATGCTTTATGAAATATTGAGCACCATTGTAGAGTTGGAAAACAAACTTGAAACACAACACAAAAAGGCTCAGCTTGTCTGTTGTAGAGCATCATAAGTGTCTCACCCTTTACATCAAGGTACACATTGTCTCCAGTATGTGAGCACTATAGGAAATATTGACAGGGTGCTTTACACAATAATAATATATACGACCTTTACAGTCAAATTCACTTTTAAAAAACTACAGTCAGGCAGTTGAAGGAAAGTTACACGCTGCACAGTATGTCACCAAGGGAGGAGGCTTACAGTAGATACGATAGACCACTACATAACACTATGCACCACAACCTCGGTTTTGGACACCTATACAAGTTAGGTGGTGCAATTTAGCATCATCTGTCTCCTATATAATGCAAATACAGACACATTTTATTGGAAACATAATGCCTCCTGGATTATTGATGTAATATCATAACAAGGAAACACAACCAACTCTAATGCTGAATGTTCAGTGAAATGTTAACTGACAATGTGTTTCATTTGTTTTTCAAATATGTGCTCTTGGAATACAACATCTGCTCATATTAAGCATGCTTTTTTAATGGTAATGTTTAGACCTTCACAGCACTTGTTTGAGGGAAGATCATGCTTGGTTTTTGACAGTACACAGCACACACAGTAATTTAGCCTGGGACAATATTTGAGTGTGGATACAGTTGTGATGCCAAATATGTCCTAAAAAGACAAGTGACTAATAACAATTATTGCATATTGAGCAACTAAAAAGTGTCAGTGAATCCCCTGAAAACAAAATACTTCAGATGGTCCATCATTTTCTTTCATTGGATGCTGATTAAGCTTTATTATCCTCACACAACTGTTCCACATCTTCTTACAGCAGGAGACCTTGTGCCTTATTCCGAGCTTCAACCTTCCAACATTCAATCACCGGCTTACTGGTTTACTACACTGGAGCAACAAACCAGCCTTTCATTCTAACTAAGCGATGTGTATTTGTCTTGCTTAGCTATCAAAGGGGAGATCCTGCGCATGGTTGGGGTTTTATTTAATAATGAGCAATGATCCATTTTCAAACAAGGATATTACAATGAACAATGGATTGTCGAATTTTCATTCAGTCCATAATTAGGCTATATTAAGAGAGCGATAGGGAATACGATATTTTTTAATTTGATCAAATCTTTTAAATTGCACTATTCACGCCAATATTTAATACTAATGACTCTATATGACCTACAGGTAAACAAGAACATTAGCGAGAATATTGGCCATTTCATTATTCTTCATGCTGTTCATCTGTGCCACTGCGCAAAATCCGACTTTATCACACAGGTTCACCAGTAACTCCGTCAGCTCAGACTCCGACGGGGCTTCTGGCAGCGACCAGCCCACTGCGGACCGACCGAGACCTGGAAGCTCCGGCAGGAGGAGGAGGGCTCAGCGCCAGAATGCAGAGTCTCCTTCGGCTAGGAGCAGAGCTTTGCCTCGCTGGTACACCGGTCCCCTCTGTAAGCCAACACCTACACCACGCTGCTGGAGACCCGAGCCCTATTGTTGGGCCGATGGGAGGGAAGGGAGGCACGGGAGAACCAGAACCAGGACCGTGTGGAGCAGACTGTCAGACCCTGCTACAGTAAAATGAGAGACTTTCTAAAGGGGATCTGGTGCTCGGAAACACTAACACTTCCGTCCACAGGGGCCGACAAAATCCACACAAAATGAAAGTTCCTTGTAGTAACTTGAAAGATTCCATATATTATATTTGTTTTGGTTTGTTTCTGAGGTCTACAGTATCATATGTCAACTTCTGCATCTTTTACATGTGTCTCGATATTCAAATTGATGTGGGCTTTTGACATTAGAGGTTTGACGTGCTGACAAGAGCAAGACTATTAAATAGTACGACTGTGAGCATCCGATGATCAAACCAACACTATTTGCTAGTTTTTACAGTCAGACACAAACTAATTTGAACACAAAGCCATGTTGGCATGATAAATGATTGATGACAAATGCCTTCGAGATTGGTCGGTCCCCCTGTTCATTCAATGATCACTGTCATGCTTATGTCAATCAAAATGTCAGTCCTGCATTTAGTTTGCAAGAAGCGCTTCATGATGGCTGAACAGCTTGCCACCTGCTCAGACTTGCAGCAGGAGTCAAGAACCGCCTGAGGAAGTGATCACAGTGACTGCACGAAGCAGAGAATGGGTGTCACAAAAGGTGACTCACACCAAGGCCGCTTCAGGAAAAGAAACTCCCTGTGACATAGTACATAAGTTACTTTATCTACACACACCCAGATCCAGGGCACAACTAAACAATGGAACAGGTATATTGTTTTCCATGGCTCTTTTCAGGTGAAGCCACGGTGGAACAACCAGAGGTGTTTAATCTTGAGAAAGGAGCAGAGCGTCTTCATATCCATGTTACATATCACGCACTCTATAAAAGAATATCATGGCTGCATTTAGTTTTCTGTGAAATTCTTGTCAATTAATAATTGGAAAGATAGGGGGTCAAAGCAGAATAATTAAGTTATATTAAATATTGTTATCTCATTAAAATATTTCACAGTAATTATGACATATATTTTTTTACAATGGTGATGAATTTTGTTTCCTGACTTCCTCATATGATACAAAAGAATGGACAGGAAAAGAAGAAATTAGCTTCCTTGCTTACGTTAATTAAATGAAGTGTACTTGCCATGGCTGGATTTAATTATTGATAAAAAAAGAAAAACAATCATGCACAAGTGAATTGATAATTTGTTAATTGTCTTTCAACAGTTTAGGGCCTCAGTCAACCAGACCAGAGTCTATTCTATATGTTTCCTCTGGTTCAGCTCACTGGAGGTACATTTAAACATAGCATGTTATCAGTCATATTTTACTCTTTTGGAGGTTTGAATGAAGAGTTTGACATTTTTGGAAATATGCTTTTTGCTTATATGACCTGGTTAGCTTAGCTTAGCATATAGACTGTAATAGTTGGGAAACATCAAGCCGTGCTCCAACAGAATCACAGAATAGTTTTAGAGGTGCTGGTAGGATTTTGTTTCTCCTGGTTGGCTTTAGCTTCATATTCAGCATACAGAAATAAGTAGAACTGATCTTCTGATCCAATTCTCGGCAAGAAAGTGCATATGTGTGTTTCCTAAAATGCCAGACTATTCTTATTAATGATTAAATGGTTTCAGACTGGTGCCTGACAGGTAGTGTTGGAGTCGGATCAACACGTTTGAAGCAGTACTATTTGACTTTGAGCAGTAAACTGAGAAAAACTCTCTCACACACAGGCACTATAAATGGCTAATAGAAAATCCACCCCCGGTAATAATGACTTGAATAATTTATCATATGTGCTGTTCTCAATTTTATATTTTCATTATAGCAACTGTTTTTTAAACCTAATCAATATTAACCTTGAGAAAGGCCAATATGATGCAGATAAAATAAATAAATAAAACAACTAAAAAAAGTTGTTTGTATGTCCTGAAAAGCTACTCTTTTGGCACAGTTTCCTGCAGTCGTTACAAAAGAAAACTTGTGATTGCCTTCACAGAGTGTTGTGAAAGTGTGCAGTCTGAGTGTCAGCAATAACAGTTTACCATAACGCTATATGTGTTTTTGAACACAATACCAATGTGAAAAACGATACAAAACTAAAAATTGAATCCGTCTAACACATACAAAACTTTGCACAAATATATTCATGAAGCCAAGAACATTCAAAAGATAAATACTCATGTGACACACACGTCCATTTCTCTGTTTTGCAAAATGAGTCTTTTTTGGCTTCCTGAAAAAACACTCTCAGCATTTTTGTTCAATGAATTCAAAATGGATAACAAACATGTCTTGAAGATTCATTTAACAATAAGAGATTGTGTAATGGCAGCCATTGAACAAGGTCAAGCTAAACTTGTTTGTGTTTTTGGCCTCACAGGGAATACTTGTTGTCATTTGCTCTTGTGAGATTGCTTTGATAATTGCAGTTGTTTCCTGTAAGAATGCTTTGGTAATTGCAACTGTTTCCTGTAAGAATGCAGATGTTATACAATGAGCCAGTTTCTCAAGGATAAAAAGGGACCAGACAGGGTGGAGCACGCCAAATGTCACCAATATCAATTCATGAATATGAACGCGTTTTACTAACTCATTAACTCTCCTTCCTTCCCTCTCCCTTTAACATGTACAAGGACATCAGAAGTGCTTCTTTGCTCCCTACAGATTCAGCCCCATCTGAAGTAAGATGAAAAAGACTAATGATCACTGGTTTATTTAAGTTTATTTGGGTTTGTGTTCATCTTCTCTTTGAAAAAATGTCTTCATGAAACACAAGTGTGTCATTTGAAATGGTCACCTGGTGCAGTTCATAAAACACAAGTGTGTCATTTGAAATGGTCACCTAGTGCAGTTCATGAAAGACTAAGCAAGAGGATATTGAAGTAAAGTCCTGCACCATTGAGTCAATTTCCCAGCACTGGACAGAACACCATGATGAGGTCCTGTACCATTAAACCTGAAGTATTCTTTAAAGTGTCTTTATATCTGTCGTTATCTTGATTTCCGTCAGTGTGCACTTTGTCCCTGAAAGGAGGAGGGGAGTGGCTAAATGTCTCAAACAGGTTTATGGCTGACTGTGAGCAAGTGTTTATCGCTGCCTGTGAACAAGTTTCGAGCCAGACCATTTGCATGTCAAAACTGGAATCCACACCCTCCATCTGCAGACTGCTTGTCATGTTGAGACACCTCCCAGTCTTTGTCTCTTCCAGCTGGCAGTTCCTCCGATTATTGAACATAATCTGAACATAAATCTAAGAGGAACATTCTGGGAGCAGTCAAGAGGGTTTTGATGAAGTTCACAATCCAAATGTAAGTCACTGTTGTTGAGCATGTAAGAGTTGTGTGTAGCGTTCAGCAAGAAGCAGCAGATCAGTATGATTATCAAGCTTTTAAATTAATTCCCTGAACAGTGGGAGGTTTGACAGATAATTTGTAAGTAAATATGCGATTTGCACAAGGTTGTATTGTAGGTTATGACTAAACATGCTGCAATAACAGCACTGCTCAATGTTTCTTTTGCAGCATATCTATAAAGATAAGGCACAGCAGAGTTAATGCTGACCTCAAAGGATCTTTTTCATCTAAAACTTAGTTGAAATGTATACTTATGATTGTACGATCACAGCAGCAGGGTCTATAAAAGAGCCTATAGCTGAAAAAACAAGAGGAACGGACGACTGTACTCAACATAATACCGGCTGTGAAACTAACTTGAAAGTAAAAGTTAGCACCAACTTTCCCACGTCAGTGTCTAAGTTGTGCAGCTGCTATGAAATCTGACATTCAACTTGTTGTTCTGCTGTCTTTGACATTCAGATGAATCAGGCATGACAGACAACATTCAATCTGTATTAAAGTGAAATACGTCAATCTTTAAAAAGTCTGCATGATTGCTTTCATCCAGTGAGGTTTTATTTATAATATCAAGTATCATATCATTTCAAGGTGTTTTAAATACTGTAAACTTTGTGAACTTAAATCTTTTTTAAAGTTTAAAGAGTTTTAAAAAGGTTTTTGCTTATTTAACCTGACTTGAGAGATTCATTCTAACACATACAAGCTGGATTTTTTTCTCTTTCTGGCAAGATATTACTTAAAAGATGGTAACAGCGGTTTAAATTATGGTTTAACAGTCCCAAAAAATGTCTTGCAGAATGTGATAGAAAACATGAAATTTATTTTAACTTGTTTTATTTTACCCCACCTTAACTTTGAGGCGCACTCATTTACAGGTGCAGCGACAGCATTTCTCCCTTGGGCATTCAATGCCTTTTAATCCAGACTGTGAACAGGTTGGGTGTCTGATAGTGATGCGTTTTCATGATGTGGCTTGTCAGAAACAAAAGTTGTTTTTTTTTAAATCCACAGTAATAACAATAACAATGTGTGGTAAAATATTGTAAAGAATGTCTTATACATGGAAATAATTGGGTTTTGAACTCAACATATTAGAAAATATAGGCCTCTTCTTCACATAATCCCAATGTAAAAAAACACTGTGACCTTTACGAAAAGGGAAACAGCATCTTGTTTAGCTACTGAGAAACAAGTAAGGGACTAATCAACTAGCTGATAATAGACAAGTAATTCTTAAATAACTTGGAATCAATTGGTTTATTTAGATCTTGTGCAGATATATAAACACGAGACACTGGTTCATTAACACAGTATTTATCTGTTCTGTTGTTAAGTTACGTACCATTATATACTTTAAAATCTGGGATTCAGTGTTACTCAGAACTACGAGTGTATTTATTAGGCTACATGCCATGAAAAACTGAGGCGAGGTTGTGTTTTAACTATTGTGGCTTTAAAGTGTTTTCACAGCTTCTCAATATTTCCCCTATGTTTACAACAATATGACCTTTCCATACAGTTTACAATGCCTCATTACGCTCAACAGTCTCTCAGCACTTTCCACTGTTGCAATGTTTGTTCTCTGATTCTCCTACATCATGTCATTGATTTCCATTATCCTTGACAGGTCCCACTGATACCGTCGACAGCGATGGAGTCCCCAGAATCTTCCCGGCTGTCGTCATTGAGGGGAGGGTTGAAATCAGAGGATTTCATTCAACCGCACTATATGGAGTCCTATCGCCTGGCGATCGATTGCCTGGCCAGCGGCGGCAGAGACACTTATCAGGAGTTCCTCAAGGGAGAACGTATCGGAAGCTTCCTGTCAGAGGAAGAGCTTCTCTTCATCACTGAAAATGCAAAAACACCCCCACCTAAAGACCACGTAGCAGAAATCAATGGTCCACCGGACGACGAGTCATCCTCAGGGACGTACTGGCCTGTCCACTCGGATGTGGACGCCCCAGAGTTGGAGTTGGGTTGGCCAGATGTCATGCAAGAAAAACTACAGACAAATATAGATTTGCTCTTTCATCCACCAAGACAAAACAACCCCACCATCAAAGAGGTGATTCGGAAGAAAATTCAAAATGCAAGACAGGTAATCAAAACTACCTGGAAAAATATGCTAAATCAGAACCAAAATAAAAAGATTTGATGTGTGGTGTTCAGACGGGGCAACGGTATTGCTGCCCTAAAACTTTATTTTAGGGCAGCAAATTGACTCAGACATACTGTTTCTCCGCTGTGTTTAGCTTGAACACTTCTAAAGTATGTCACAAGCACCTTTTACGTCAGGGAATGTCCACAGACCTTTGTTGCTCTCAATTTCCATTTGTAAGGAGTGTCTGCTGGGGTTGTTGAGGTCTAAATCTGGTTTTGCACCCTCACTATCGTAAGTAGAAAGTGTGGGAACCGTGCACAGAAGTAGGATTACATCATGGAGTCATATCCATTACACAGTTAACGCTTCAGTTAGTTATCAAGTTGTGTCTTGATGAATCATAAACTAGTTTTGTAACTCAAAATCGTGGCCCTTAATTAAACCAACTTCCAAAGCAAAAGACTAACTAAACTAAATCCTTTTCTCTTTTTTAAATGTAATCATAACCAGTGCAGTGAAAAATAAATGAAATGCAGTGAAATATGTCATGGGACGCTGCAGCAGTTGGAACGTCTCCCTCTGAATAATATTTTTAAGTATAGCATACATGATTAAGAATGACTAACACTTCTCGTAAGGGACAGACACCTCCTACACAGCAAATTAAACAAGTGAAAGAAATGAGTCCAAATAGCTAGTCCAATCTAGTTGGAGTGGTTTCATTAACGAGCTCAATACATGCTACTAGAACACGTATGAAGTCGCTGCTTCGTAACATTCAAGATTTTCAAACTGCACATCATCTTGATGGACTTTCATCACAGTTCACTCAAAGTGAAATGAGAGAGAAAAGCCTTTAATCTGGTCCTTGAATAATGACAAGAAATGTTCCACTAGTGTCAGATATGAATTTGGGATCAATAAACATATTAAATCTCACCTACTTCACTTCTCCAAATTGATCTGCAGTAACATTTGCTACTTTATGCTTCGTCTGTCTCTGTTTATTATAACAACTTTTCGTCACTGGCATCACTTTGAGGTTTTTATCTTTGTAGCTGTTAGATTCAAATGTATTATTTATGATTGTAAATGACGACTGTGTATGTTCTTAAATATGTCATTCACAGGCTTTACACGTGTAAACGGGTTAAATGCGCTCTTGTCTCTGGCACGTTGAACTGATCATGATTTATTCACTTTGTCCTTGCAGGTCATTGCCATTGCGATGGACATGTTCACTGATGTCGACATATTCAAAGAAGCTGTTGATGCCTCCATACGAGGAGTCCCGGTCTACGTGATTTTGGATGATTTCCATTTGAAAAGTTTCCTCGCAATGGCTGAAAATCAAAATGTCAAAATTCATCAACTCAGAGTAAGTATATGATTTAAAACATCCATTCGATTTTTTAAAGAATTCTAATTAACTTAATTGATTGCTTTAGAGGTGATGTTATAGGTATTTTTGTAACCTTTGGACAGAACCATGTTTCTCCATTGCCTGTCTTTATTCTAAGTTAAGGTAACTAGCTGTAGCTCCATATTTAATGGTATGAGAGTGGTACTGCATATACAGTATCTTCTCACCTAACTCTCGGCAAGAAAACAAACCAGCAAATGTACCACAATGTTCAACTATATCAACAAGTGGGGATACTTTTGCTGGGATGTAAACTGACAATTTTTTATACAGGTCTTTGACTATGACCGTAAATCTACATGCATACAAAGTTGCAAATGTCGGTGACATGCAACAACAACAACTGATGCCTGATTTATACCCCTGCATCGTGTGCATATGTGCTTTTGCGCAGGCACCTCTCACGCAAGGCATAGTACAAACCACAGACTACTGCGGGGGATTGCGAGTAGCATGACGTTTATGTTTTATGAATCTGTTTTTAAGGCGGCTTTTGGTTTATTTGATAGGCATGATTCAATAGTTCCATATAAGTTTGGGCCAACATGGGGCTGGTAAAAAAAAATGCAGACGAGTTGGATGGTGAGGAGGAGCTCCAGTGCCTACAATTAATAAGGTTGTTGTTGTAACAGAATGTGAGGTACTTGTCCGGAAATCCCACTTCCCAGTTATAATGTCCAATCAAACCGCTGCTGCGTCCGTGATGCTCAGGGGCTAGTCACGTTTTTCCGGATCTTACCTGCAAAACTCCGCAAACCACCACTGCAGTTCTGCCCAAGCTTCTCCGCAAAAGTATAGATTAAGCATGAGGGACTCAACAAATGCATCATATTACAAAACTTTAGATTCATCACCAGGGGTGATTGACATACTTAATAACTTCTGCTGTAAGATTTAACCATGAAAAATATTTGCTGACATTTTCCTTTCTCTGCTTTGATCACAGAACATGAGGGTGCGCACTGTGAAAGGTCCGGATTACCTCTGTCGATCAGGAGCTAAATTTCATGGAGCAATGGAGCAGAAGTTTCTTTTAGTCGACTGCCTCATAGCGATTTATGGCTCATATGGGTAAATACATCTTCAGTGATTGAGACTACTGAGGCATAAACTAAATGCACTCATAAAGCAAAGCAGTACATTTATTGACACTCTCCACATAATTGCTGTCATCATTTCTTATTGTTGCTTTTTGAAGAGGTTGAATGAACTTTCTGGAAAATGTTAAACCTTTGAAGATAATACTATTTTTGATTTGTGTATTTTTGATTCAACACAAATTTATTCAGAGTGTTATATCACACATCAGTCTGTTTTCTCCACTTTCGATGAATAAATAATTATGTTTTTTGTGTGTTTGCAGCTTCACGTGGTCATTTGAGAAGATTCATCTGAGCATGGTGCAGGTGATCACAGGCCACCTGGTGAAGTCATACGACGAGGAGTTTCGAACACTTTACGCCCGCTCGACTGTGCCAGCTGAGCTCTGCCCTCCGGAAGGTTTGTTCCAAAGCAATGGACCACATGGACAACAGATTTTCCCAAACACTCCAAAAATTGATCGGAGGGACCAGTTGAGGCATACGCTGGACACAGTCTATCGGAAGACCTGCGAGAGGAAACTAGGAGCGAGAGATCTGGAGGAGAGGCTCTTTGAAGAGGAACCTAACAAGTTTGGGCCCTTTATTAAGAATGGGATCACCGTTCAAAACCAGATGCCGCAATGTCAGTCTGCAGAGATGATGAACTTCATTAAAAGGCACAGCTATGCTGGGGAGATACAAGACGGATATATGCCGCAGAACATCAGGCCCAGAGCGAGCAACTGGAATATCTCTAGAGAAATAGGAAACGGAACAAACCAATACCCCATGGACAATTACTTACCGGTGGCACAGATGCATAGAGGTCAAAACATGCGTCAGTCTTACAGTGGAAACGACAAACAGATTCTTTCCATGCAGCAAAACATGCCAACGCTAGAGAATACATCCAAGGCGTTCATGCACACATTGAGGATTGAGTCTTACCTCAAATGCCCTGATGTCCCATTGGGAGACTCTTGTGACTATTTAGACCAGTTTGAACCACAGGACAAAGCTAACTCCTTCATGCAGGGAAGGATGAGGTCTTCCCTTGTTTTCAGGTCCCCCATACCAGAGCAACTGGAGCCAAACCGACACATTAACAACTCCTCCACTTGTGCCAACTCCTCAGCAGTCCCAAAGACTCCTTTACACTACTCATCCATGCAGTGGAATCCAAATGCAGTAACTGAAAGTAGGATAAGTAATGACGAGTACATGTTTGATAGGCAAATTTTGCAGACTTTGGATGACAATCGGAAGAATGCAAACTACGGTCCAGGTAGCAACTCTTACCACTCTGCATACACTAGCTTAGGCAGAGCTAAAGGTAGACACATGATCACAAACCCAGACTTGATGTCAGACAGTTGGCAAAAAAGGCATAGCGTAGCAGATCCAAGATCAGACACTGAGTACAAGCATGAATCATCAGGTTACATGTATGGAGCTTTCGCAAAAACGCAAGTGAACAGAAGCACAGCAGGGATCAATGCACAGAGTGGAGGTTACGGGTCAAATCTGAAAGACGATCAGAGATTTGGTTCTCATTATGATGTCAAGAGTGTCACAGGCACAAAGAGCCACGGTAATCCCATTTGGCAGGAGCCGCCATCCAGGACTGTGTCCGCAGCAGCCCTGGATGTTAAAAGCAAGGATCCAACAGCTAAACCCCACAGCATGAGCTCACAGCTTTTTATAAAGAAGAGTCCCAAAACAATAAAATCGTTACTTAACATACCAGAGAAGAAAGAGGATTCAGCAGGAACCATTGACACACAGAGTCTGCAGTCAAGTGGCAGCACAGACACTATAACAGAAGAGGATGAGGAGAGGATATCCTATGGAGGAGGAAAACTTCCCCAAAAGACAACCAAGTCTGTCAGGTCCTCCTCGGGGCACCAGAGGAAGCAGATAGAGGGCGTCAATCCAACCTCTTCAAAACCTCGATTCAAAACTGAGGAGCACCAAAATCCACTGCAAGTCTCTCTTCCTAAACCTACCACACAGAAGAAACCCAGCGTTACTGACAGAAGCGTGGGGCCCGACCCTCACTCGGCAAGCTGGAGCAAAGATCGAGTCACGGACAATCGCCTTTACAGCAGATTTGAGCCTTTCTGCTCGTTTGACAAGAAACGCTCTGCACACGGCTTTGGAAACTTTCAGGAGAAACCCAAAAGCCTTCCTAAAGGTGAGGCAGCAATTGAACACAACCTCACCTGGGCTGCAAGAGGGCACCATGAAAATAAGCTGGAGAAATTCATGCATCGAGTGGGAAACCTCATACACAAGAACAAGTAGTGAATCTTCACAGGTCACTTCTTACCAATGCACATTTTACTCATTATGTAAATATTCTTACAGTTGGTGTTTATTTCTGATTTTACTTGTTTTCAGCAAACACTGTTTACATTTTCCGTTTTTGTTACTGTGTACAGATGCACTGATGAATGTTGTTTTATATGAATACAGACCTTTATATAACAAAATCTTAAACCCTGACTTTAAGTCTGTCCTCGACTGGTGTGGACAACAAATGCTGCAGATGCTTTAAGTGGTAGCTTTGCCAAAGGGTAATAGATAGCTAGAAGCTGGCTATAGCTGGCTATTTTGTTTTGTAACATGTCTTCTTTCAGACTAGTGGAAGGAAAACATTCAAAATACACTCAGGTGCTTATTTTACTATACTTTGTCTATTTGTGTCTGTAGATTTCTCCTAAAGTCACCAAAAGTTTGCAAATTGAATTTCAGAAAACTTGTAATACAAACAGTAATTGTCTTAATGTCAGTACTCAAGTGGGGAAGTTGCATGCTGATATCTATTAGTTACATTTGTTTATTCTTCACCTGGTGTGTGGCTTCCTTTAAAGCAAAACGCAATGTGCACTACAAGCCCAATGAAAAACGCAGTACAAATACTCAGAGGCCACTCAGAAGTGATTCATGTATTTCATCTTTCATTCTTCACTCAAGGTGACAGATTTGTGGCTAAGCACAAAGCAACATGGCCTCCAGAGTAAAACATATGCAAGAAGAAGTATTCATGTCGTGGTTCATAAATATTCATTCTTTACTGTTAGGGACTCAGTATTACGAATGAGTATTCAGTTTTATTTTAAACTGTAACTTTAATAGTGCATGCCAGCCAGTCCCACGTTGCTTCTCTGGGTTTTGTCTCAGTGATATTTGTGGTGGGAATGTCGTGGATATTTTGAATACAGCAGATCCTCTTCTAGTGCACTTTCTTTTGATAATGCTGATAAAATGGTGATGAAAATGATCGATGATGCTTGTTGTGTTTCTTCCTGTCTGCCATCTGCTGACGAATCATGGAAATGAAATCTAGTAGAGTTCAACCTTAAAGCTTTGTCAAATGATGCGTTGAGAAATTATAAAAATTGAAGTGACTATGAGGAACATTTTCTACAAAATTGGAAGGACAAATAAAAAGAAGAAAAGGAAGCTCTTTGGCTAATCGTAATCGACTGGCCTAGAGCTATTAGACCAATCACAGCATCTCCCTGGAGTGTAACAGGCTGGAAATCTAATATGTGTTGATTGTTGGAGAACACAACAGAAAATTATCTGCACACTGGAATCAGAGCTCCCTCAAGCTTTTAAAAGCAACGGTTTGACAAAACAAAAGTCTTCCAGGAAATTGATTATTCACAGAACATAGAACAATAGTGGTAGCCTAAACAATTTAAATGAAGACTACCGGCAAAACACATACTCAGGCATGATGTCATAATAAACTGTCACAAACAAACAATGAAAATACTTACGGGAAACATTTAATGACCATGCTCACTGAACATAATTCACTTAATTTTCCAAGATGGCTACCATAGCTAAAGGCTAAAGTAAAAAAAGTATGTTGATAGGAGTTATCAGTTATTAACCAATACACATGATGGAACTCAGCCATATGTGAGGCTGTGCTTGGTCACAGTAGGCACAAACCACATTACAGTGGTTCATGATTTAATAATATTAATTTCTTTGTAATTCATTTTTCTGCATAAGCACAGATATGCAGTTGAAGAGAGTTGTTCAGAATCCATTACAACAAAAATCTATCTTTTCATATAAGGAATGAGTGAAAGAGATAAATATGGACCTGTTAATGTGAAATTGAGCCCAAATTAAAGATACATAAATAGCGATTTAGGATTATTTTTAGATAAACACAATCAATCTGCTTCCTGTAACAGTGATAAAGCTTCGCTGGTTAGCCGTACGGATCCCCCCTCGCGGTTCCACGTGAACCGCGGATAAATTACACAGTTTACCTTAACCATCACAGTGTGAAATAAAGTTTTACCGACATAGTTATCCGCTAATGTTTAAGTAAAATATGCGATCAGGACATCGGCATTCATGCTTCAGGCTCTGTTTAGTAAATGTGACTATTAAGGTAAATTATAATGTTATCATGGTGTGTTCACATGTAATCTTGTAAAATGTAGTGTTAGTGAGAAACTTGAATGAATCCAGTTGTTTGAAGGAGAGGGAACTATAACCTGTTTACACACGCTCTAAGCAGCTTGTAATACATCATTAAAATGACTAATGACAAGATTTGTTTTAATTAATCTTTTATTTCCTAATCATTTGAATTACGTGCCTTCATGAAAAAACACTATACATTACCGTAACAAAGTAAAAGGATAACATGTAGAATTTGTGATGGTTTACAGACTTCAGAGTGGTTGAAATGATGTTTGGGATGGTGGCAAAAAAAGCCGGGAGCATTGTAGACCAGCTGCTATAATCAAACAACAAAGGGATCTGTATCAGCCAATATGGATCATCATTGACCATCAATTAGTATTAGCGGCGCAAGAAAAACATGATCAAGGATCTCTTAAAGTTATATTTGCTCCCTTTTTTCTGAACCGTGAGTTTTATGATCCGTTGCACCACTAAACAACATCAGATAAACAGGTGCCCTCACTGTCACTTGAATCCTATCCTGTATCTCCTCTCTTCTCCGTTTTAGAGCAAGAAGAGATATATTAGCAATATATTCACTGACAATATTATGTGATGCAATGCAGCAACAAGACGTCCTCTTCCCCCTCCACCCTGGTAGCTACAGATGCTCTGCTTTGATAGCAGTCTGGAGCTCTGTACAAAATGTGAGACCGAATTTCTTGGATACTTCTAACGCACATTTTCCACTGCCTGATACTGATCATGACAATGCTGCTGGCTTCCAGAGAGCCTCATTGTAATGCAGCTCAATTCACCACTGAGGTGAATAGATGTGATTGCATTGCTGTCACCAAGTAAGAGTGAGGATGGAAGAGAAGCAGCTCCCACTTGCACGGTCTCTGTCTCTGACCACATGTTTTGGAACATGTAGCAGGCGGCTGCTTCTGCACTGGAGAATTTTTCAAAAGGCTTTATAATAGAGAGTGTCTGTTGATAAGAATACAAAGTTTTAAATAGTCTCACATATTTATGTTACGAAAAGCAATTTTAGGTATTAGTGAGCTGTCTATCCTCAAACCATGTTTCTCAGCTCAAATTCCTTTCACTAACATTAATATATTCCACAAATTTACTCCGTTTCTGAAGTGCTCCTAAAACTTACTGACATTCTGAGTTTTATTACTTAGTCTCCCAAAGTTGATCCAATCTCCACGACATTTGTCTCAAGTTACAGATGCAGCTCCACAGAGTTTTGGGAATTTACAAAATGTTTCACAGTGGCACACAAAAAAAAGCTGATAAAATAACTGTAGGTGTGTGACAATCCTTTTCTTTAAACAGCATAATAAACATATTCAAAGTTGTGTGATATTGCCGTAAAGACATGCAGGCATCTCAGACAGTGACTAATGGCCGAACTAATGGCCACGGTGTATTTACTGTCTGGATACCTCTACGTTTGGCTAATGCTTTTGCATTAGCCGTTAAAATGATCATTATGCTTTAATAGATTCTACAGATTCATATATGGCACTAATATGCTCACATGCATGGTGGTCTGCATACTGTTTAGTCAGAGATACATACAATTTTGTGTCAGATCCTGCTGTGTGATCAAGTGCCTGAGATTCCACTGCAATGAGATGTAAAAAAAGATTTTGCTGAAAAATCAATAAAGAATCATTTTAAAAAGCTTACAGTTGTATTGAACCGGCAAGTATTGACAGATCACAAAGCAAATATAACATGTGCATACACCCAGACAAATCAGATTGCGAGTAATTTACATAGACATAGACATGTATTATTATTTATAATAAATATTATTATTATTATTTATAATAAATATTATTATTATTATATATTTTAATTTATTTATAGACATTATAATCTCTTTTCTCTAGGTGTACTTGACTGAAATAACCCAACTGGCAAATAACACCAAAGAAAATAAACCTTAGACCAGAACGATGATGTGCTTTCACAATGTTCAAAGCATGTTATCAGCTCCACATTTTTTTTTCACAGAGCCATTTGCTGTCATTCCGTTCAGATAGTTGCTGGTTCATATACTAATATGTTCATATGCTAATATGAACCATCAGCAACCAGGAGATCTTGATAATTGTCCTGGCAATTTCTATGATTGCATGATCGATGTCAATATTGTTCAGGCATTATAACTCGTTAGCAAGCAAGCAGAGAATTTAAAATATATACTGTCGCTAAAAGTAGAAACATCTGCTAAATTGTTCAAGTAAAGTTCAGGAAGTTAAGTAAAGGTAATGGATGGACTTGTACTTGTATAGCGCTTTATAGTCTTCTGACCACTCAAAGCGCTTTAACACTACATGTCATCATTCACCCATTTACACCCATTCATTTACTGATGGCAGGGGCTACCATGCAAGGTGCCACCTGCCTATCAGGACTCTCATTAATCATTCATACCCATTCATACAGCCTGCGGGAGCAGTCTGGAAGTACATACAGGTATGAACAACAACGATGAATAGGACAAGGACAACATATAAATCAATTTGGTGTAAAATTATCTCTATGAATCATGTTGCTGAACAGACTTCAGTCTCCCTGTTCACGCTCGATCAGTCATTCACAAACAGTGGGTCGGGAGCAAATTCGTAGAATTGATTCCAGTCTTGTATTTAAGATTCATATCTGCGTTACACCTTTGAGGCTCATGAGGTAGCCTGAATGTTTGTATTGTTCTCATGAGTGTAGCGTACTTATAACTGGTAATCTAATATTAAAAGCTAACGTACATTCTGTTTATTTTACTGATGAAGCTTTAGTGGATTCCTTTATTGTTCATAATTTATTGAGTGTATGGAGTGTCATGTCTTCACTTAATATACGATGATTTAGGATTTAGAGTCTTAAAGCATTATTCCAACTGAAGATAGAAGAATATTGATGCTTATTTGTGATCACGTTCAATACTGGACTTCATCTGCTCAGCAACGAAGAGCCCCAGAGGAAAAACACTTGACTTTAAACTCAGTGCTGAGTCATTTCTGTCGTCTCATCCCAGTTGTGCTACTTAAGCGGGGTCGTATTGATCAACGGCAAACACAGGAAGAGTAGTAGATGGTGTAATAACTTTCATGTGACGAGCTTCAATCACAGATAATCATCGGTGAGCAACAACAAACACAACAGCACAGCAGGAAATACATTAGCTGGGCTTTGGGAAGGTTAAACTAATTCAACAAGCAGATATATGTGGAAAATGGGGACAGCGTCCTGATAATATTCATACCAAACTTTAAATTAAAAATGACAACTATAAAAGCATGAAAGAGGTTTAACCTGGAGTGCTCAAAGACAACGGCAGATAGAGTAGCAAGGCTTTTCTTTAGACTAAATCTATTTGACCAGTTTGACACAAACATATAAAGAATGACAAACAATGAGAAAGATTTGGTTTCATGCCAGACATCAAGAACAAAAATGGCCTGAATGTCGACAGTATAATATATGAAAACAACTCAGTCCTGTCAGCTGTTCAAATGAAGATGAAAGCCGAAATGAAAAAAAAAATCAATAGAAACTAAAGATTGGGTCTAGTCTTCTATATTAAAAAACAACAACTGTGGTGTCATGGCAACCACGTATGGTAAATAAGTGAAATATGAGGCTTTAAATTGAGTTGTCGTTGTCAGATGAGTCATTTAGCCTGTCACTCAAACAATAATGTAGAATCCATCACTATTATAAAAATCGGGGATTCACAGCTGTTTGCAATTATGAATGCAAATCTTCATGTATTTAGTTGCAGCACAAACTGCATTCATCCTGTCTGCACTCCTGCTGGGAGCTCCCACTGAAGTTTTTTTGTGTTGTCTTTGACATCTTTGTTTAGCTGGAGGAATGTTTTCTAATGAGCTCTGTTTTCTTTGTTGTGAGTATGAATTGGACTAAAGGAACAAAGATCTGCAGGAATAAAGTCATGTTTCTTTGCTGGTGCTCTGGCTTACGCCTCTAACAAATCGGAGCCAATGTAACAGCTTAAAGGAATAGTTCAACATTTTGGGAACTACAATTATTTATTGATGAGAGCTAGACAAGAAGACTGATACTAATCTCATAAAAAAAGGCCAAGCTCAAACATTGAGAAGTCCTCATCATTTTGTCTTGCATGAAAAATATTTGTGGAATAAAGAAAAGTCTGTGAAGAGAACACCTGCAGAATTAGCCGAGTACAGTTGAGGGAGTTGAAAGCAGTCTGGAAGTGTGGACAGGTATGAACAACCAACCCGTTTTCATTCCCATCTCATCAAATACTGCCGCTTGGTCAATGCTCCTCAACATCAGAGATAGACACACAGAGGAACCCGAAGGTAAGAGAACCTGACTTTGTATAAAGTGTGTAAGAGTCTGCTTACATTGGGGAGGTGGTGGATGGTTCAAACAAACCCAGAATGTAAATCCAGGAAACCGGCGTTTGTGTCCTTTGAGAAACTAATAGTAAACGATTTTGTCACCTGAGTTGTTAGTCACGAGATTGGTTTGTGACTGGGTAGTGACAAGAGTGGCGGTATTTGATGAATGTGTTACAAAAACACCCATTCATTCACTGATGGCAAGGGGCTACAATGCAAGGTGCCACCTGCCTATCAGGACTCTCACTAATCATTTATACCCATTCATACAGCCCACGGGAGCAGTCTGGAAGTACGTACAGGTATGAACAACAACGATGATACATGACCAGGACAACATATCAATCAATTTGCTGTCAAATTATATCTATGAATCATGTTGCCTTCTGCAACTTTAAAATCAAAAATGGGAATTTACCAAAGACCTGTCGCATTACCAAAGACCTGTCGCATTACCAAAGACCTGTTGCAGGAGATGTCCACCACAATACTACAATAATATCAAATAAGTTATTAATGTTAAGTCTCTTTAAAAGAACACATTGGGAACATGTTTGGTAGCTCAACTATTGGGGCTGTGTGGTATATCAGACAAAAACAGTTGGAACCATCGCTCCAGTATCACAGAGCAACAAGAGATGACACCATGCATGGACAAACAAAACGTTCACATTTTTGATTTGATCTATTTTGTATTCTCAGCAGCCATTTGTGCTGTTTTGTCTTGTTTTTCTCACAGCCGGATTCCACCACTTTTATCTTCTGAGGCCTCTTTTCTCGCTGAAACAATATTGTCATCAATTACATCAGTCTGCTCAAAATTCAACAAACCCGGACAGATCATTTTTTTTGCAATCAAACAACAAGACCCTGGCATACAGTGGGGTGTTGTGTGCAGATTCATGATACCTGTTATTCTGCATCTGCTGCAGAATTATTCCTCAGCTTGTGACAGTGAACGCACCAAAGAGGTGGGAATAATGACTTAATGACATAAAAAAAACAGTTACCCTAATTTACTGAAAGAATTTACGCTTACATTTTCCCATATATTGGTCAAATAAATATCTATGTTGTAATGAAATTCAGTCATTGCACAACAGCCGGTCAATTTCACAACATTCTGCCCACAGTGTGTCGACAGCTCAAGCAATTTGATCATGCAGGTTAAAAGGTTGTGTGAGATAGACCCAAGTCGTCCAAATATCTGCGCACTGAATTCAAAATGGAGAAAGCTGCAGCTCATTATCCTGTCAAGTTGGCTTACATTTACCTCGTCAATGACAAAGGCAAATGTAATTACCCAGACGTTGAAATCTTAACAAAATAAGCTTCATTTTAATACCAAAATTGAAAATCTCCAGGGAGAGCGTTTGATATAGGAGATATAAAAGCATTACATCATGCACCATACAGTCAGCAACCATATACCCTGTGGGGATATTTAAATGTTCTTATAAGAAAATAATTAATATCGGCAAAAAGATTTTCCAGTGTAATCTGCTCTACTCAGGCTTCTCCCAATCGTGTTTTTCCCATTTCTTTGAGAGGGGTGGGTCACTGAAGTGGCTCATAGCTCCTTGCCTCCTACAATCCGCTGTGTTGGTGTATGACCCAGTGGTCGCGCACGGAGACAGAGGAGAAATCAGCGTCACGCTGATGAGGTCCGTGGTGCGCTTCATTACTATCGCACTACAGTGTTGCGTCTTTATCGGCAGTCTGCGGTCACTGCAGACAGTCGTCAAACAGCGGGAATACAACAGACACACAAACAGCACGGAGGATGTCCGGGGTGTCCGGGAATTTGGATTGCGAGGAGAGTTTATCTTCGGCACATGTGGCCAACAGCACGGAGTTACCGCCGCACTCCGTTGTGGATGACGACGATGAACTTCTGAGATACATCTGGAGAGAGTACTTACACCCCAAGCAGTATGAATGGGTTCTCATTGTGGCTTACATTATTGTCTTCTTCGTCTCACTCATTGGAAACTCGTTGGGTGAGTTGTAGCCTATATATAAATGTCTTTTTGTATTATCATTTATGCATAAACAGTCCTGCAAATATCCAACAGAAGTACACTTTGGACAACTTTTTGAGAATGTGCACGAGCACAATGCTACAGGGAAAAGAGAGCGTGATGAAAAATATAAAGTAGTCCAGTTTTTCTTTTGATGTTCGCTTGAACATCAATGGTGCTGGAGAATGATGAAGAAGGATCCATTAGAGCGCGTCTCTCGGCGCATCTTGAAACGCTCGGAATTGCACAAGCACAGATGTGTTTGAAGATACTGATTGTGCAAATTATATGTGACTTTTTCACACTGTGAAGGGGCATACATTGCTCTTAGTGCAAGACATGGGGTAGAAAGATTTGTGCACACAGATTGACATCGTAATTCACATACTGTCTCAATTTCATCTAATCTGTTCCAAATCATTTGTTCTTATTGGACTGTTTTTTTTTTTACCGGTTATAGTTTTCTGATGTATTTGAGAAAGCCACTGATTTACACTCAGAATATAAAAAAAATGCTGTAAACAGGAGCAATTCTAGAATTTAATTTAAAGAGGATTCAAAGTGCCCAAGCGGCTGCTTCTCTGACTTGTATTGCCACTGCTTCAAATATACTGTATATAGAAGCAATTTATTGGGCGACTGAGATATTTGGCAAGAATTATTTTTTTGTACCAGTGAGGGAGTCCACAGGTGGTGCACTCTAATGTGACAGTTATTACAACCTGCTCAATTTAATCCATCTCAATCTCAACACCATGGCTTTTTGTGCAAATATTTGTTCACCTGACTGCAGGATCCCTTCCTCTTTTATCATCTGAAGCAGTTTTTCTTCACTGGAACAATTTTCTTGATCAGTAAAACCTTTTGTCATAATTGCTGTTTCAGCAAACATGCAGACCAAATTCATATAAAGAATAAGACGTGAAATAAACAATGCATGTAAGAAATACAGCGTAGTTTAAGTCAGTCAGTGTTTGGTTATCGTAGTATTTTGTCAATAGTAGTCTGCCAATATAACATTTTCCCTCAATCTAGTTATCACTTTCTTAAAAAGGAAAAGATCATTCATAGATTCTAACTAATAATGGTTTGGAAAACAAAAGTAAAATGATTTACATATTTAAAGACTTCCTTTCATAAACTACTCGAAAGGAATCGTGCAAAAAAAGCGATATTTTATCGGGAACACCTGTTCATTCAGCAGTATTGCCATTTCTAGTAACAAGACATAAATGCTGCAGACAGCTCAGAGCAATAATCCATCACATGCCACACGCACAGCTCAGTCCAGCCAGGCTTTCCGACTAATGGACAGAAATGACAAATATATGCCTGCACGGGTTGAGATTGCAGTAATCAAACACCAATATTGACCACAACGTAAAGGTCAAGCCACCGTGTGTGTGTATATATAAATATATATAGTGCATGTGATCACATGTGCTCTTTATAATACCATATATCATTGATAGGAAACTATTTTAATTCAGAAAAATGACCCATGTTGCAGTGATGGAATATGAATGCATTGATATTGAATGTCGATTATACTTCCATATAATGGCAAGCACTCTGAAGCATTTGAGCTTCAGGGTTGCAGTCTATTAAGGATTATGCCATTGCAGAACAGTTGCTGCAACAATTGGTCTTATCAAGAATTAAACTCCAACCAATTTCCCCACAGGGACAAATAAAATATCTATTGACTCCCAACTGTCCAGTAGACCTTACAGCACCGCTACCCTCAGCTCATGACCCGAACACTATTTGGCTTATACCAAAAGTCTTGACAGGAACTTTCTACACTCTGCTGTAACATGGAAAAGCATTCCCCCTGCTGTCTTCGGAGACATTACATCAGTCAGTGTTCATGCCTTCAAGAAGTCGATGATTAAACACCTCATTAAGGGCAGGGGTCACTAGTAGGCGGGCCCCGGTCCAGGTACGGACCCAGACGCCTTTTGGTGCAAACGTGCCCACTGAAATCCAAAAATGAAGACACAGAAAATAAACAATATGATCGATCCATTTGAATCCTAACACATTAATTAACAATGTTAGCGGAGAGAGGAATAGGGCTAAAACAAGTGGTTGCAATAACGAAGGATAAATTCCTTACACAATTTTCTCTTTTTTAGAAGATGAGAATAGTATGGATATCTAAATGAACTGAATTTAAAGCTGCAAGGCAACGACATTCAGTTCAATTCATTTTTGTAAAATTAAGTACTTTATTTCCAGATAAACATTTTCAAAAGCAAAGGGAAGTCTCTCTAACTGGACCTCACTGAATTAATTGAATCCATCAGTGTGAGATATTTAATAATATAGTATGACCCATTTAGATTCGAGAGGAAAAGAGACAGTTGACATTTCTGACTGGACACTACATCATATACTGTTTGACGAAAAGTTCAGATTTAAAATTACATTCCCCCCCAAAAAAAAAAAAAAAAAAAAAAAAAAAAAAAAAAAAAAAAAAAAAAAAGATTGCCAATAATGTTAGGCTATATAATGACCCAATAATGTTGATACATTAGAATAATGCAATATTACCTTCTCATTCTAAACTGAATGAATATTACTAACTATGAAACATTTCTACAAAGAACTAAGCAGCACAATATTGATGGATTTACAAATAATTCTTTAATCCATGTTACTCAGTGAAATTTACTGTACAAGCAACCCAGTCATGTTACAGTCATTAGATTTAATGTGACCATCAAAAACACTGCCCAATAGAGCTTTAGTGTGCAGAATATATCTTTTTTAATTGGGCATAATCCTCAAATCAATCAAATTAACTGTCAATAGTTGTGTGCCTGACTGTCCAAAACCTTGTGAGGTGGATTTAAGCCAGCTAGAGTGGAGGATTGTAATCCAAAGAAATATGAAAAGTTGAGATGCTGTGCTGACAAATCCTTTGGGTAATACTGGAGAAACATTTGTCAGAAACCTTGATTAATGACTGTCACCAATTGGTATTGATCCTTTTCAGTTTGCCAACATAAATATGCAGTGAGATATGCTGTCAGTCAGAATTTGATTGCTGAATGATAGCTCCTGTGAAAGGGTTTTGGGATGAGCACACTCCACTCTGCTTGTCCTGGACCTGAAACAATGCTGGGGTAGGGACTTGAATAAAGTGGCCAACAATAGGCAGGACAAAGATTGAGGATCATCAGCCCCCTCCATCATGGCAGAGCTCAAAAAAGAGGTGGTGTGTTTTTCTGTGCAGGTCTCAGCCCGTTATATTTGAGTGTTTGGAGGACCCAGAGTGCAGGAAACGCACTTTACTGAAAGACAAAACGATACTCTTGTGCTGTATAAGAAGTCTTGTCCTCATGTTGCTTCTACAGAGTATCGATGATACTTTACATTGGGCTGTGTGATGTTAGCTAATCAAGCACAATTTCCTGAGTAAAACATGTAATATAACCAAACAACTACACACCTGTCTGCAATCAACTGGAACATACTTTGATGTCTTCATGATTTGAAATAAAGGTCGGCTCTGCGATTCTTTTACATATTTCTTCAAATGGAGATTCTGTCACGGGGTGTGGTGGAGGACTCAAATGCAGACAAGACCAGAAGTAGAGTAAAGCAGGTATTTAATGAATCAGAACAGGAAACTTACAGGAACACAACAGGGAATCCACGGACGAGACAAGGGGGTAAATCCAGCAGAACAAGGCAGGGCGGGCAGGCAGACGGGGAAACCGGGAACAGGACGAGCCAAACAGGCGGGTAGACATGACAATGATCTGGCAAGGAGTGACTGAGAGGCAGGGGTTTATATAGTGGCTGGATAGAGGCAGGTGAGAGGAGTTGTGCTGATGAGGAGGGAGTGCTTGATTAGTGAACAGAGGCAGGTGAAGGGAGTTAGGCTGATGATGAGGGAGGCAGACAGGTGCACTGAATCAGTTGATAGGCGAGTGAGGCGAGTGAGAAATAAAAAGACAGGAGAGAAGGGGCAGAGCTGTGACATATGCCCATTCATTAAAAATCTAATTTTGTGTTGTATATTGGTATATAATCATATATTACTATTTATATTAGTATTTATGTATGTATGGATATCTGTTTTTATCTGCACATCTTTGCTGCTTTTTTATGTAAAGCATTCTGAACTAATTTATATTGGAACTATCAGTATTGACTTTGTTTGTTTGACGCCACTACTTAGTCTCTACTGTTGTTTAGTGGATATGACCATCAGAAAACAACTTTAAGTACATTAGAATCATTTATAAAACTTCTCAGCATTTACTCTGGGCTAGATGCACACAACAGAAATGTTATGAGAGGAGAATGAATAAACACCTCCTCAGCATGAGACTGCAACTCCAAAGCTGCACAAAGCAGCTTCATATATATTCCTGCGTAGCTCCAATCATCTAAACTATGGGGACTATGTAGTGCACAGGCTAATTACCTGTGGTTAGAAAGACATTATACCTTGCCTTTCTCACGGCAGACATTTAAACTTGTCATAGCAGGTAGAGAAGGTGTAAGTACTAACATTAAGAATGGCACCGTTGCATCCATACCGGTAAGTCAACAACACCAGAGGACACAATACCTGTACATGTAGATAATAGTCCCAACTCTTAGTCATATTATAGTATAAAAGCCTATACGCTTAAGTAAGATGGCATTATATGTATACACAAAATCCAGAAATGTATCCAGGAAACATTGTCTTGAAGGAATACTGGAGAATCCGTCATCCAGGTATTTACGGTAATGTGTTGTTTCATATGTGGTTTTGAAAGTTGAGATGTGGTCTAGAATTGTCTGTGTTTTTGGAGATAACACCTGCAGCAGCTTGGTGCCTCTAGCAGCATGGAGGGCTGTAAAGGAGACAGCAGAAAAAAAACGTGTGCATCTAACTTTACCACTGTAGTTTATCGAAACCGTTGAGAAAAAGTGCAGACAGAACCTTTGTCTTGCAGCAGATGCCATTAATATCACTCATTTTTAGTTTTAAAGTGACTGTAGATAATTGTAGACTTGAGTGCTAATCAGATAACGGTATGCTCAAAAAAGATAATTTCACCTGACTTCATCTTGTCTTTGATGTTGTGTGTAGTTACAGTCGCAGTGTAACCTTTTCATCATGTTCATATAATCCACTGCTGGTGTACAGTATCAACTCTGCATTTTAAAGTGATGGTATCACATATGGGGCTTGAAAATAAAAGGAAATAGCAAATATAAGTAACATTAAATCTGACAGCGCCAGTGAATACACAGAGCACTAAATACATAGAGACCAACTAAAGAGTCTACTGACAGGTAGATTAAAGAGGACAGGGCTAGTGTGCCGTCAAGACAGATTTTCTCCTCATTCCAAATGACAACAGAGCAAGACAAATTTTATTCTGATGGCAAATTGACCCACATTATTCTCCTCACGAAGCAAAACATTTTGTCACAAAGTGGTAGGACAAGCATAGGTGTATTTTTTAGTTATATTGCTGAATTCCATGCTGCTTCAGTCTCCAATGGCACATGTATCGTGTGCCAACTTGAACTGATGACTTGTGCAGCAAGTAAACGAAATACCACATGTACCAGGAACATTGTTAACAATACAGACTAATGAACACATGTTTCACATGGCTTGTAGTTTCTGGATCCAGATGAAAGAGGTCATGTAACATGGCACTACACCACTGCCTGCATTCTTTCTTTCAATCTTTTTATTTTCAGTTTACACAGGTTACGTGCGACATGCCACTCACACATAGAACAGCACGCAACATACCTGCCAACCACACAAACAACCAATCCCAGACACAAAAACACAAACAACAAAAACAAAAAAGAACAAACAGATCATCATCCTCCTACTAGATACCAATGAACATTGTGAACCTAGCTCCCTGGGCGTCCCCCGGAACCCGAAGTTACAAAAACCTCCCTCCTACACACATCCACTTTTCGGCCCACACATTTTATATGCCAAATATTGTCCTTCACATGAATTACATACAACATGGCGGCCAACCATACAGACAGTCGCATGCAGTGACAAACAAAATATTGTGGACTTTCTTCCTTCACTGAGTCACTTGGATCCCACGGTTGCAAAACCTCTTAGTATGATTTCGGCAAATTCCTCTCCAATAAAATCCATAACAGGGTTCCAAACAGAGAAGAACCCATCTATGTCTCCTTGGAGAACATGTGTGAGCCTTTCCAGTGGGATTAATTGTAGAACATTATAGAGCCAAATTGAAACAGGTGGTTTTGCATCATCTAGCCAGTGCTGTAAGATTGATAACCGTGCACAGTACCATAGAAGACTGAGGGTTCTTTTATATCTGTCTAATACAGGTGAGGCAGCGTCTAGGCCTAGAATGCATTGAAGAGGATTGAGCTCAATAGGACACTGTGTTATGGAGGATATTTGGTTACCAATTTCAACCCAAAAAGCCACATTAAGTGCACGGTGCCTACATGCTGCTTGCACCTTACACATACTCCGGAGCAGTCGTTGTCATATTTGCTCCTGCAATATGGGGTAGTTTGTAATTTATGTATGATCTTAAACTGAGTTTCTTGGGATTTGTAATTGCTACATATTCTTTTGCTATTTAACATGATTGTTTTCCATTGGTGATCAGTGATTGCAGTTTTAAGATCTCGTTCCCATGATTGCCTGCAGCTGTGAGTGCTTATATTGCTTAAAGAGAACAGTTTATGGTAAATGTAGCTTATCTTTTTCCTCTTCAGCTGACAGACCTGGTGAATGATTGTCTCTATCTGCTCTGGTCCATGACCTTCCTTATATTGGGCTATAGAGTTTAAGAAACTGCGTATTTGTAAAAATTGGAAGAAGTGAGTAGCCCGTAGCCCGTAGTCTTCCTGAAGTTGATTGAACGATTTCATAGTGCCACCTTTATAGAGATCATTTATCACCTTAATTCCATATGTGTTCCATTCTTTAAAACCAAGGTCCATGCAAGAAGGAGTAAAATTGGGGTTGTAAGTGTAATGTCACACTTACAAATCAATATTTAATTGTCTGTAAATATTTCTGATTGATTCATATTTTGCCCACAGAAACAAATATGTAAACAGGACTATCATGAATTTCTAATTCAAAGTCTGTGATTGACAGCATGCCTTCAAGTCAGTGGTGATGAACAGTAAAATACCCTGCACCCTGTGATAATATGTATCGTTATAGAGTCCTTGGGCGGTCTTTAATTGTGCATCATTTTCAGTTTGTTTTGCAGTGTGGAAAAACCGCCACATGCGCACCGTGACCAACTACTTCATTGTGAATCTCTCCTTTGCCGATGTCTTGGTCACCATCATCTGCCTGCCTGCGAGTCTTGTGGTAGACATCACAGAGACGTGGTTCTTTGGAGACACTCTTTGCAAAGTTGTGCCTTATCTGCAGGTAAGAGATCAATGTTGACAACTGTCCACAGTCCTCAAACTTGATAGAAATCTTGACCTGATCTAAATCACTTTGGTGCACGGTTTAGACAACGTTACAAAGCAAACCAAATAAACAAATGGGGGACATGCAGACCAGCTATGAAGGCTGTGCTTGGCTTCTTCCTCAAAAGTGAGGGGAAAAGAGACCAAGCTACCTAAGCAGAGCAGGGGAGCAGGAGGGGTAAGGGCACAAGCCAAGACCTGTTTCTATTATTTGAAATTTTTCCTTCTCTGGGGTATGACAAAATAAAATCTTGTTTCACATCCAATGAGATGTGCACTGGGTGAGACATTTGATGTCATCCCATAGTATTTAATGCCTCGGGCAATTTTTTTGCTTTTTGCACTTTTTGAAATTCCATTGCAGCATCATCCTTACTGTGCTGAAACATCTGCCAAAAAAAAAAAACTGCAGGACTCATTCGTATATATAGTGGACCAAAATCCTGCACTATCCTGCACAATCTCCATATCCTACACACTCAACATCTATATGCAATACACACACCTGTAGTAAAGTGAATACCTCTACCATATATGGTGTGATATACACAACATGTTCTCGATGGATGCAGCTGTAAACTCAATTTATTCCAGACATAAGGACAAATTCCTCTGCAGGTTTTTTCACACACATCCAACCCAGTCGACAGAAAAATTGTTGGCAGTTTCTGCAAACCACGTTTATGTTGAAATGCAAGCCAAGGCAATTAACAATTCCTTGCAACAGCATCCACACAGCACATTTGTCTCTCTCTCAAACCTGACACACTTGGCACAATGACAAACACACTCAAACTCAACACACGCACACTTGTGTGTCACAGCAAACGTGCTAGAGATTAATAAATACTTTTTGTTACCTTAAAAAAGTGATGAACTTTGCTTTCTCTTTGACACACATCCCCAACTTGATGCGTCCTAAGTCTGTATTTTTAACGGAAACTAACCATGATTATGAAGCCGGAAAAATAATCCACTGTTTGTCATGTTGTACGGGGTAACATTAGCTTTCAAAACTAGACAACATTTGCATCTATGCTGGCACTAATGGAAGAAGGCCTTACCAGAAACAACTAGGATAGTCAATAAAAATATACAGTATAACAATATCTTTCTGTTTTCATATTTGTGAATACATATTTTGCAGTTTGGGCAATAAAGAAGCTACAGCTGAACATAGTAGGCTCTTAAAAGTAATTTTTAGTGACAAATAATAGTTTAAAGATTTTCCACATAACCCTAAAATATTGCTGTTGAGGCTTTCAGGGGGCCTCAAGTATTTTTGGCACACTGGTCATTTAACAAGTGTAACAAGGCTACGTCACAACAAGCGGTCTCCTGGGTGAAAGTCCTGGGTTTGTTTGACCCACCACCACTCCCACCTGCTCTTCGTGGAGTTTCTTGCTTTTTATACTTGTTATTATACCACGTAACTTTCAAACTTTCCCTTGCCCTGCGTGTCACTTGTTGTAACAGGCCACTTTCTCTGAGAGAATGCAAAAACGTTGACATTCAAGGTATTCATGGTTTGCGGAAACACACAATGCCAACATTTGGGCTGCACACATTACGCCACATTACACCTCATGGCACTGAATTAGTGTCCTATTCGAAGTCCGTCTTGGTCACATTTACTCTGTTTCATGTCGTGCGCTTACTGCACTGTAAGTGCTGCTGCTCTTGGAAGTTCTCATCTCATGCTGCTTTTATAAACCCAGGAGAATCTTTTTCTCCCTGATTAACTCCCACTAGGGATTTATTTCAGTTCACCCTGCATTTCATCGCTGCAGTACTGTGTTGCCTCAGGGGGGATCATGCCATGACTGATTCCTGAGTGAAATTACGAAACAGGAAACTGAATGTTGATATATGAATTCTGAAAATGCAGCTACAAAGATTTGTAGATGCACTTAATTTAATATTGTAGTAAATAAGAGGGATTGGCTGCAAACAGCACAAGAACAGTCTATTGTTATTTTGTCTTTTAACTTGCTGTCTACACAGGAGGTGTGGGTGTGTTGTGGAAATGGATATCTGCTGCTTGGATCACACTGTGCCTACATTTTCTCAAATATCTGACCAGTTTTTATAATATAGTGTACAGCATGAAGGACTGACAGAGCTTGAATATATCTGATATCTGTCGTGGGTGTGGTGAAATGTGGACATGCATTCCCAATATATATATATAATGATATTACCATATTTATTGCTTAAAGATCATAGTATGCTTCGGGACTGGCTGCTCTTGATTGACTTATCTAAAGTTGCTAATGATGTCCTGCAGCTGGCCTACAGGCTGGTTCACTCCCTATGGTTTGTTATGTTTGCATCACATTCAGCCAGGCCAAGCCCGTTTTAAACAACTTGCCTTAGGCGAGATTTTCTTTGGGGCCCCTCCTGACTTTATGTCTAGGTGTGTGTGTGTGTGTGTGTGTGTGTGTGTGTGTGTGTGTGTGTATTAAAACTGCTCAACCATTTCATTGTAAATCCACAACACAGATATGAGAATCGGGTGGAATCATAAATAATGCAATCAAAAAAAAAATAAAGCAGAAGACCACCATTCATTAATTTTTCGTACTGAAAAATAAATCAAATATGTAATTGGCATCGTTTATTGACTAAATGAACTGCGCCAGAAAAGCTTTCTTTTTTTTCAAATAGATAACTATATAAACCTGATCCCAAGCTGCCTATGGAGCTGCGCCTGGTGGAATATCGATATTAAATCCACCTGCAGCTGTCATCAGCTGAGGCAAGCATTATTGATATATTATCTGCTTTCGTTTTTTTTTCTACTATTGATTTTCTGTTAGGCAGAGAACAATTATGTGAGGATTTGTCCTTTACTCCACTCTTTTTTAGACTATAAATGAAGGAAATTAGTCAGGAAAGATGATTTAGTTCACCACGGGCGTCCTTAGGCTTAACATTTCAAAGTGGTGGAGCTGAGCATTTATTTCCCACAGGACATGAACACACAGTTTATCTCCCATATGAAATTGGTGGCGCTGCTGTGAAGCAATTTGACTCACTGAAATTCCTGGAAACAACCATTCGCAACATGCTGAAATGGGATGAGAGCATCTCCAAAATAAGAACTTTTCATGCGTCAACATGTCACTTCTAAGGGTCATTGGTTCAATTTCACAGATCTCATTGTAGTTGGTGACTACGATCAGTTGCTATTCGGATCTGCCTCGAAAAGGTCATTGTGGTGTTTTATTTAGTGTGGTGAATTTTTAACCTGATGCCACCAATGAAGGCAAGATTGAATACGTTGTATTGCAAAAATTGATGAAGGATGTTTTGTGATTGAGGCTTTTTAAATTCTGTTGTCAGTTGGAACTCTTGCAGACAAAATGTGTGACGAATAAAAGCCTGGAAAGTAGGCATTTTTAGATCTGCTTCACCTTTACCACGGACATCAAATTGATTTAATCATCTGACAAACAATACTTAATGCTTTGGTTTCTCTCTGTTCATATCTGAATACCTTGGGTATGCTCTGCTGCAACTGTCTTAGAAAAGGGGCTGAAAGCAAATCTCCAGTAACTACACATTTTGAAATGATCTTTCTCACTTACGTTTACTACTAATGTGTCACAGTTGCCAACCATGAATAAAAATAAGAATTTGTCTTTCTCTGAAAGTAAGGAAACTACGGTTTTCGTCTCTCTCTAACTGGTGTGTGATTTATTTTATTTTCTCCAGACCATCTCTGTTTCTGTATCAGTCCTAACACTGAGTTGTATTGCCCAAGACCGTTGGTATGCTATCTGCCACCCGCTGATGTTCAAGAGCACAGCCAAGAGGGCTCGCACGAGTATTGTGGTCATCTGGGTTGTGTCGTGCATCATCATGATCCCTCAGGCTATTGTGATGGAGTGCAGCAGCCTCGTGCCAGAACTAACAAACAAGACCAGCCTGTTCACAGTGTGTGATGAACATTGGGGAGGTTAGTGTTCACAAGTTTACAAACTGAGACCGAAACCGAATGTTTAAACTTGAACTTTTTTCAAGGGTTCTCAACCTTTTGTGATTTAAGTCTCGGTCACTATCCAGACAGTTTTCAATCAAATGTTTTTGTTTTCTTTCTTTCAACAGCTGAGATCTACCCAAAGGTGTATCACACCTGTTTCTTCATCGTCACATACTTTGCACCCTTATGTCTCATGGTCCTGGCATATATCCAGATATGTCACAAGCTGTGGTGTCAACAGGTATTCCAGCGCTGCATATTTTATACAACAGCTCTTACAAAGTCAAGTTTTCAATGACTGATGTAAGCATCCATTTAATCAACAGATTCCTGGAAGCACATCAGTGTTGCAGAGGAAGTGGAGGTCCATCCAGTGCTCAGCTCCGGCATCGGGAGAGCCTGCGAGGGTCAGAACCAGCACAGTTTGTGCTGAGATCAAACAGGTCCGAGCCCGACGCAAGACGGCTCGCATGCTGATGGTGGTGCTCTTTGTTTTCGCTCTGTGCTACCTGCCAATCAGCGTGCTCAACGTCATGAAAAGGTAAAAATATCTCGAGCTCTGCTGCTTCAAGGATCAAAAGCTATTCAAATGAAGACGCTGTGATAAACAGAGCTCACACTTTGCATTTCTTTGCTTTGCATTAGAAGTTCACCTTTCTAGTTTCATGTTTAATAATGACTGATACAGTATATTTAGTACTGAACTGTTGCTTATTTTTTAGCAATGCTGAATTATAGCATAGCATTAAAAGACTGCAGAATTGATGTTAAACTGATACATGTTACACTTTACCTGCAGAGTCTTTGGGACTTTCAAGAAAACAGACGACAGAGAAACAGTGTATGCATGGTTCACCTTCTCACATTGGCTCATATATGCCAACAGCGCAGCAAATCCCATCATCTACAATTTCCTCAGTGGTAAGTTTGTAACCTGCCTCATCACTCGAACCAGTTGTGTGGGCTCATTACCGTCCTCTAGTGGACAGTTTGGCCACAACAATACAGTTCACTGTCTTAAACTCCACACCTGATAATATATTGTGCATATACAAATATAAACTTACATTGATTAACAGCGTTTAGATGTTTATGGCCGTGATAATAACGTATGCATCTCAACTGTTAGTTCGTAATGCCTGAAAAGGGCTGTTTTTGATGCAAGGCGTATAAAAGGTTGATTATTAATATTATTATTTTTTAATTCTATTCATTGAAATATGACCCCTTACAGTCGTTTATTCTCAGAAAAGAAAGTGTCAAAACAACTTTATAAAAGATATAGTATATATATACAGTACCTCTCACCACACCCCACGATCCCAAACATCTAGGAAAAAAAAAAATGGTTTCTGTGCAAATTTCGTCTTTTTGTTTTTCACCAGGGAAGTTCCGTGGGGAGTTCAAAGCCGCCTTTTCTTGCCACGGTCAAAATCAAACTCAGAGAACGAGGCCCAGAGCGAGCACCGACAGTCGGAAGTCAGTGTCAACTCAAGTCACCAACATGGACAATGTGTCACGCATATCGGATCAGATAGTGTAGTCTTACAATCCAGGTGGGGAATTCTGCTTACACATTCATCATTGAGGTGTTCAAACAAACATTTGAATGGACAAAAAGAATGTCTCAAAATTCTAGTTTTATGTCTGGTTTTACAACACCTTAGAAGCTTTACACAAATTAGAAGCTTTAGAGAACCAACCATCCACTGTTTTATGAAGACCTTCTTACCTCTTTTAAAAGATCCTAAACATAGTAGGACATGTCATTCACAGAAACTCTATTTATTATCACCAGTTGAATGGTCGTATTTAATAACTCGTACGTATATATTTTAGGTTAAGTGAAATATTTTGATTGCACATGGATATTTTTATTGTACTGTACATTTAATATTTTGACTGTATGACTTTAAGTAGCCAGAATCTGTCATTTTGAGTGTTTATTCATATTTATTAATTTAGTGGTTTACTGTTTTTTTTTTGTTTTTTTACACCAACAGAAGATTAGGTTCTATAGAGAATACGTTTTATAACTAATCAGATTCTAAGACTGTCTACCTCATTAGCAGACGTCCATCTTCAGTCTGTCAGTCATTCGTCAGTGTAAATACCTTGTGAACAAACAGTATGTAAATGATGTCCGGTAAAACTGTTTCTTTCACTCGACAGTGTCGACACACACACACGTTTATTTTGAACAACATCAGAAAAGTGGACATTGTGATAATGCTCCATTGTAGCTGCAAACTTTCCCTCTATGTACAGTGCCAAAGCAAGTATTTTCAAAAGTCTTCTTTGAAATGCACAGAAATGCTTCCGTCAGTCGCCTCTGCTGACAGCTTCAGAGCCCAGGACACACTGTCCTGTCGGACAAAACAGTGGCTGTCATGACAACTAAGTATTTTTTACACTATTACTAAATTACATTTCAACATCTTTATTCAAGAAAAGTTCTAAAAAGTGTTTCTGAGATATGTTTAGATATGTACATTGACAAAAGGTCTGGTCAATAATCAAGCTGTGCATTACAGCTTGGCTGAGACATCTAACTCATCAATAAGTATGATTAATTACATTTTAATTTTGCTGCTTTTACAAAATATTTAATCACTGAGATTTTTGACAAATAATCATCATTAATGTGGATATAATGACAAAGTGGGTAAAGGCATAGGGAAAAAAGCGATTGCATGTAGTAGTTACATGCAATGTACACAACTCTGCAACAAATGAACACTTGAAGTTCATTTCTAGGACCCTACTGTTGTTCTTAGTGGTGGGAGTGAAATGTCACGACTTACCCCATGGGTGGGGATAATTGTAAAAGACACAGGGTTAGATGTAACACCTGCTAGAAAAGTCTGTCTGAATGCAATTAATTCAAAACAATTCCAGCTAAATACTATGTGGATACTGTTTGTGGCTATATTTCATAGATGGAAAGGAATTTTTGTCGAGGGAACCAGTTTGATGCCAATTTCCGGGGTTGGCCTCCAAAACTACTCCTTGCAGCATTCTATGGCCACAAACCAACAGCCCTGCCCATGTTGATACATTCTGCACTCTCTAGACTAGAGGCACCTCAGCCAAAACTTTGGGGTTTAGTTACTCTTTAAAGCCACCTGCATATTCAGGAAATATCTGAGACGTGTGCCCCCTAGTGGTGGCATTTAGAAAACACTGTGGCAAACAGCAATGCAATACACTGGCATTTACTCTTTTTCCTTAGTCCATTGTTGTCCAGACTGGAACAGTTTACAAAATCCTCCACTCCAGTCTTAAGATATATCGCATCCAAAATCAGTTTTTCATACATTTTGTAATGTAAATATAAATGTTTTGTAATGGATTTCAGTATAATTTCACCTCTATGTCAATGCTTTGTGATTATTTTTAATGTCTGTAATTGAAACCTCATTGTATCTCATTATCTAAAGGCTACAGTTTGACATTTTTGTATCTTTACAAATAATAACATTGGTGAATGTGTTTGTATTTGCTGATAGAAGCTCATTTATTGCTGCTAATTGATGAATATAATATGATATGGCTTTTGATTTTACAAGCTTTTGGCATACAAATGTTGTTGAGCTAATTGCAAATCCATAACATTCTCAATGTCTTTACTCAAAATTGTGACAGTCTACACATTTGGATAATGTGGTTGATAATGACCAGCATGCCAATTTAAATGTTTCCCCATCAATGATTGCTGAATATTTATCTGCCAGTGAAGCGGCGCGTGAGCATCATTGCCATATAGAAGTTTTCACATACAAGCTATTTGCCTTGGTATTTTGGTGCATAACAATTAACATAGTAAGAGAGAAGAAACAAAACAAGTACTGCAAAAGTCAAGAATCATAGATATAAAATAGTAAAATGTGCAATAAAAAAAATAAAACAAATATCTGTTTTCAAAAGGATGAAATGAGGAAAATATTGACCAAGAAACGTGTGAATGTTCACATTATAAAGTTTAGAGAATTGCGCAGTAGGCTTGTGCCAATTAGCATTCGGGTCGTTTACTAACTTACTATCGCAACTAAGATGTTATAAAACAATCTCTAAAATATGCACCCTACTGTGCATTTAGAGATGTTTCTGGTGAGGGGAAGCATGTAAGCCTGCTCGTTAATCAGCACAAGTGAACTTTAAATCTTCGGTTACAAACCAGTTTGACGTCTCTTTTCCATGGATCGGACACCCCGCATCTCTTTTCTCCGTATGTCTGCTCACCAAAACTTTGATCTGCCTTTCAAAAATGTTGTTTTGCAGTAATTAATAATGATAACTTAAATGTCAACATATGAATGAAGCTTCAAACTATGCGGTACAGCCCTAGTTATGGATATGATTTGGATTGTGATATTAAGGATAAGAAATGGACCAAGATGCTGTGATATTGTTGCACCAAGCACAAATACATAGACTTTCAAAAGGTAGACATTGTTTCAATAGAGGAGACATTGCTATTAAATATATATTTTTAAATGTTTAGATATTTTAAGTAAGGCGTTCACTGTTTGATAAATGTTTATTCACGTAGGACTAGCTTTAACTGTATTGCTTGCAAAAAGCTAAAAGGTTAAATTATTTCAAAGCTCCATAAGAGCCAAGCCACGCCGCCGTCCACTGGCGATTGGACATCCTATCGGCAAACTTGAGTAACCGCGATTGGACAATATCAAAGATAGAAACAATCACCCACATTGAGGGCCTTGTTGATGCGGAAGAGTCGGGAACCAACTGTTCTTATGGCCTGAGGTTTTGGTTGGCTATAATCTTTCCAACTGAAATTAAGACAATGATGATCAATGCATTTGTGTGTGCATCTATGTACTAATTTACTTATTTATTGACTCCAGTGTCACGTAGCACAGCTCCACCCACTCATTTTGTCCACAACTTGCCCTTGATATCTCTATCCTAGTGAGCTTTCAAAATGTATTAATTAGTTGTTTATTCCTCACACTGTCTGTATTTCTGCCCATCTTTTATCAATAAAGTATATATTGTATCAAATTGTTTATCTTCTGCCGTCTCTTATCTTTGCGTCTAATCTCTCACAAAAACACGGATAACAAATGGAAAAACACCACCAATGCACCAGTAGTGTTTTAGGTGACGGCAGGTTTGGATCAGAGGTAAATGAGAAGTCTTACTGTGTCTTCACTAACTGAGAAACTGTGATTCAGGAAAATGAATAAAACAAAGACTTTCATAACAACTACCACCCTGAAGATCTTACAGTGTAAGCAAGTGGTGCACTCCAGTTGCTCAGTTTCAAAAAGTAACACCCAGTTCACTTTCATTGAATAATCAAAGTAAAAACAAAATGATATGCTAAATATTTTTTGCAAGCTGTGGGCCACAGAAAGAAGCTCTGAGCCCAATGCCAATATGCCAAATTAAAAGTTGCATATTTAGTTATCCAGCAGACACACTAACATTAGCGTTCATTTGGAGTTGTGTTTCTTACAATCAGGCAAATAGAATTCACCCTCCCTTGTAGCAGGTTTTGGTCTCCATTAGCTCCTGAGGGAAATTATTACTATTTAGTTGTCTAATGGTCCACTACTGTATGATCAGTCGCTAGTCGCTATCTTTGTCTACGCTGGGCAGGTAAAGTTGTATCACATTAGAGAGCTGCATACTACCATCACACCTTATTTATGTACCCAACTGAAAAAACATTTTGATCCCAAATCCAAAAACAACCAAACAAGAGCTTTAGATACATTCAAGTAAAACACACATTATGACTTTATCAGGACAAAAGATTTGTTTTTGTTCTTGAGCTGCATTCATTACATGCTGCACAGTTCCGCCTCCAGTAAATGTGCAACATCCTGTTGACTGTGGGTGGTGTTTCCCAGCATAAGTACCAACGCCATCGAGGCACAGATCAGCTGGAGGAGAGCTTCAGTTGTCCACTGACAGCTTTACAACAGCTACCATGCAACTGATACATCTGGAAGCTGTGGTCATACTTGGTGAGTCAACAGTCACTAATTAGTCACTAGTCTTAATTTTGCTGTGTGTTGTCAGGGAATCTAACTAAAACTAAGGATTCAAAGTAGGGCGGCATGTCTGGAAGTCTATAATGCATGAACAGTCAACCAAAGTGTTTCTACAATCAGTGATGTTTAAACTTGCATCAGTATTTATTTAAAACATACGAATATATATTTAAATAGTGTGTAGCCTACTCACTTAAAAATCTGTTTTCAAGATAAATTGATTATTGGCACGTGCTTGTATGTCAGGGATTGTGATTCCTCAGATTTCCAGCATCAGCAATTCATCTCCACCTTCTGACTGTTTGGCTGCTGTGTACACCTGCATGTCAAATCTATGCAAGTGGAGTGAAGAGGCATTTTACGACGGTGTCTGTGAGGGTAAAAGTGACACATTTCACATTTTCCGTTTCTGCTGCGGGGTATTGGAACATTGTGTTATCATAATGTTTTCTTGTCGCATTATAAAAGTAATATAGTTTCCTCAGGAGCCTCAGGACATGAGGCTACTTAATTGAATTGCACTTCTTGGAATATAGCTTAAATGTAATAACTGAGGCAATAGCCTGGAGCAAAGTTTGTAGAAATAGATGATAATACATAGGCCATCGAGTGCCTTTAAAATATGTCTGTTTTGAGATTAGAATCCTGTATGACGGTAGGGAATTTTATGTGGTCTGCATGTAAAATCAGAGGAGAGACAATCAGAGCAGCAGAGACAAACACTTGTTGCTCAAACAAGACCTCGCTCGCTTTTTGCAAATCCTGTTTTTCTGCCTCCCTCTTGTTTTTGTGTTATTCAAGATGAAGGGTGCAAAATAAAAGGCTCAGAGGTCTGTAACTTGACCATCCAGACTGTACTGGACCAATTTCCCTCTTTGCACGGGTGTGTGTGTGCCTGGGAGGAGGAGCTTTGTGACTCTATACAAGTGCTGGCCACACAATGCCACCAAAAGCCAGGTGCAGTATTCTCAGTAGTCTCTGTGATAAGCATTTATTGGTGAAATTGCATTTTTGTTTACCAAAGGGGATCTGATGTACTGTTTGAAGGAACACTATTGTGCTGCTGAATGAACAGCATAGTGGCTTTAATAGGCATTTGTTGGAGAAGAGATAATCAGGTTTCCAATTCTTCTTACAGCTGCTCAGCAGAGGAGGAGCTCAGTGATGGACTGGCAGTCAAGCAGTTTAATAGGCAATGGTAATTATTTACCAGCTGCGACAGCAGCGCTGTATTGTTTTCACCTTGTGAGTCTGTGTGTGTCATCATAGCAAAATGTGTACCTCGACACACCAACCACTGAGGCGGTTTTGAGTACATTGCCAGGTGTTTATATGTCTGTGTGTGGACAGATGTTCTCACCGCGATAGCATCACAAGATGCATTAATAAACTTACTTAAAATACAGAGGTAGCTGTGAAGTCTCATGATGCCAAATTGGGCCAGGAGTGTAAGAAGGGGCACGAAATTGAGTGCGGGGGGCATTGCTCCCTTGCTCGGAGTTGGACCAGACCCATCTTCAAACTAGACCTTCATTTTTATCTCAACTACTGCCTTGTAAAGTTTTGTGACTGCATCTTGCACAGTTGCGACACGGTGGCAGTGACAAAGTCTGTCCACAGACAGACAAACACCTGGCAAAGTACTGAAAACCACTTCTGTGGTAGTAAGTTCCCTCTACAGTAGGTGTCTCCAGGACCACATTTTGCCATGATGGCACACACAGACAAGGTGAAAACAAAACTAACTTTGCTGTCCTGACAGATAAAATGTTGTACTGAATTCCATCAATATAAAACGATTTCTATGGAGTGAAAATAGTTGATTTCGAAACGGTCACAAATCTGTATTACATAATCTACAACTGAAAAATAAAATTTACAAATGCCTACAACAATTTGTGTGTACATTTGGGTATTCACAAATACGTTTCGATCTACACAGGAACATACGAAGCAATGTGACAAATCTAAACTAATCAAGGGCTTTTCTGTCTATATAGAAAAGTGTCTTTCCCACTTTGAAATTCCACAAAGATATTACCAAAAGCCCAGATGTCCCATATTGCCACTCGCAATTATATACAGCAAGGCATTTATGGATTATGTCAAAACTCCACGTGTAAACCATCCATGCGCACACATTTATCAATCTGTAAGTAAATACGAAAGAATGTCACAATATTCAGAGAAATTTGTATGCGCAGGCAGCTTTTACGATGCAAAAATTGTCAGATCTATGAAGTTCAAGTTAAAAATATGCACGTAAAATATTAATATTATACAAGTTGTAAAACGATTTTAAACATGTTCAAATTGCTTAGTATTTGTGTAGATTGAGCACGCATTTGTGAATACCCCAAATTACGCACAAATCGTTAAAAAAAAAAATCTTATTTTTCATTTGAAGATCATTAAATACACATTTGTGACCATTGTGAGATCAATTTCGCTCCACCTGTATCTGTAATCCAAAAACTCACTCGCTACTTTTCTTTTTGCAGTATACAATAATTCGGCATCCTGCTTCGACCAAATGGGAATTTGTGTCAGTGATGCAGTGTGCAATAAGTACCTAGCACCTGTCCTTCAGGCATGCACGGTACAGTGCGACCGTGACCGCTGTCAGCCAGTGACTCAGCAGTTCTATGGCAACATGCCGCACAATGTTGCAGAGATGCTGGTCATGTGCGAGTGTGAGACTTCAGATCACACCTGCCTGGAAATGACAACTGCTCTGCACAGCGGTACTTGTGGAGGCCAGACCTGGATCTGCCAGGATACAGTAAACCAGTGTGTTGAGGACAGTAACTGCAGGTATGTTGCTATTCTGTCTCTTTAAGGTATGTCTAACGCTGCAGAAATACTACAGAAGATTTAAAAAAAAGGAGGGTTGAAGTATTTTCCACTTCAGGATTATCATAACATAAGTATTATTATGGAATAAATGAGGCTGTACTTAGGCATGACACAAATGTCTGCACCAAATTTCAAAACAAATGGCAACCTTGTGCTGGTACAAGAGGAAAAGTCAGAGGATCATTAGTATTGATCATCTGGGATCATCTTTTGTCAAGATAATTCAGTCTGGACCATAGATTGTATACGTAGGTCTGGACCAAAGTGATGGACTGACTGCTAGTGTGGCTAGTACAAATTTCAAATTAAGTCATGAATGGCTCAGAGCACATTACCCACAGGTGGAAAGAATACTAGAATATTGCACGCAAGTAAGAATACTTGTGTAAAAATGTACATAAGTAAAAGTAAAAAAGTAGGGAAGTTGAAATGTTCCGCAGTAAATGTCACTGTGTGACATTTTAAAGGGGAGTGTGTAGTTGCTATATGACGCTACTGTTAAATATAAAAACAGAAGATTGCATTAAATGTCAACTTATACACAAATTATATAATCAACTACACCTCTACACCGTTCATTCTCAAAGCACAATATAACCAGTCCGCTCAGACTCGCTGGTTCCAGTATAACCAGTCCAATCAGCTTCTCTGGTCGCACTTAGCTTCTGAAATTCAAAAGGTTTTGAGCTGAATAAGGCTAGCATAACATCAGAGATTAACTGTCTTAAAACAACAGAAAGACCTTTTGCACCTCACTGAAGGTAAAAGTTCCTCAGTGACTGCTGGAGGATACATGAGCATGTTAGCATTTAGCATGCTAGCACAGACAGCATGACCCGACTGTACAGGTAACGATCATCTCCTTTCTTCCGTTCCATTCTCACACTGTTTATCAGGACTTTTTCAAGTGCTATGTCATGAATAGTACTCAAGTATACGTAAAATCTACTACACAAGAACACGTTTGTTTTAGTAAAGAGTGTAAATGTGATTCTTTACTTCCACCCTTGACGCTACCACACACTTTGACAGTGGCTTGTCACAGTAGTTATTTTACAGCAAGTCTCCAATTTGCATCTAATAACGCTGAAATGTCCACAGGCAATTTCCTTAAGAAAATGTCACCTTGACAATCTTCATAATATCACCGGTGCCTTTGAAAAGGCTCTGTTTTGCATATCGCCATAGCCCATTTAATGTGGGATCATCATTAAAATAATGGCCTAAACCAGGATGTTGAAGGAGGATGTATGAGGATGTATGTGCTTTATGTATTTTCCCGAAACACCCATAAAGCAAAGCAACCGCAGCAAAAAATATTTTTTCCTGTTTCACCAGAGACCTATTGAAAACCTTCCGAGCGAAATGCTGGAGCCCTGAAGACTCCCAATGCAGCCACAGTGACCTCCAAAAGGATGAATGTATCTCCCAGATGGATCCAGCTCTCATCCGTGGTGCAGATCCTGAATGTAAAATTGCCTTCTTGGCCACTTTGGGCACACCACTGCACTATCCTTGTGCATGCGAAGGAATGCGCAATGATGATCTACTGTCATGCAACATGATTCATGATGTGCTTCATAATAGATCACACTTCAGTGAGTATTATTTTGATTACATTCCAGGCATTTAGTTACATTTTGTTTATTGGACGTTTGAAAGCATTTCATGTGTATTACAGTGACACCTTGGAAAAGCAGCAGTGGTCCCACTAAACCTCCTGAAATCGATGAATCTGAGCAAGGTCCCACATGGTCACGTGGTAAATTTACATTTAAATTTCAGCACTTTATACTAACTGTGATACTGTTAAAGTGAAATCCAATAAATCAATACAGAGTGCAGCGCAGTCTAAATACATGCAGTTTGGAATAATTGGAGACTCTAAATTGGTTGACTGTCTCATGGTGTCTCTGTGATTGTTGGTAACATATTGAATGTTGAATATATGTTTTGTATTTCAGATTATCTGGTGTATGCTTTTGCCACAGTGCTACTTGTTGGAGTCGTTATAATAATAATGCCTCTGGCTGTTGCCAGTAAAATATGGTAAGTGAGTACATCAACATTAAAAAAATGTCCCTCTGATGTCTAATGATTATACAACAAATTCATTTTTACTTTCATTTGGTTTTATTTGTCTTGTAGGATGTTGACAAGAAAAGGCAAAACTAAATTTCACCATCCGCAGAAAAGTGACTGTGTTCTCTGATGCTCGTTCATCTGTTAGATAATACAGAAATGATTATACACAGATACTTCATCACGGTAGCATTGTGAGATATGACATTTTGGTAACAGATGACAATGTTGAAATGAGCTCTAATCAGTGTGAATTCAGATGAAAGTATATCTATTGAAGAGGGTTGATAATAACCTATATTGTAACAGTTATAAATGTTGCACATTCAATGTCATCAGTACTTTTTGTTCTTCTTTTATTGCTGCTCTAGGCTTCATAATAAACTCCACTCTCAACAGTTGTAGTTTGTTCAAAACGCTGTATCATTTCTGAGGTGACATGCTGTGTTTTGATGCACGGTCCAAAAAAGGAAAGCCCACACTTTTGATCAGATTTTAAAACTTTATTAATAATCCCCAATGGGGAAACTCATTTGCCACCGAGTCGACTCATACCGACAACAAACAATATAGACATTGCAATCACGGCACACAACAAATACAGATCTAAAAACTAAATCTAAAAGTTGTTTTAAAAGTGTTCACTGTTTTCTACAGTGACCTCGTGTGAGTATGGGGTAAGGTCAATCACTGAGCCGGCCTTTCTGATCATCTTATTGATGGTGTTTTAATTATCTGCTGGCCCTTAGTTATCACAGGGGAGACCCCCTCCTTCTGCCTTCTAAATAACTCTTTAATCTTCCCAGCATTTCATTTAAAAATTAAAACCAGACGACAAATGATTCTACTTCCAATTTGTCGGCTGGTGTAATGCACCTGTAACAGGCTGTTTTTTAGAAAACTCACCGAGATCCAAATGAAATCTTTTGTCAGTAATGGAATTGTATTCAAGTAATATTAAAAAATCACATGTATAACTTAATAACTTAAGTTGAAGTTTGAAAGAATATCAATCAATTGGATAGTGAAAAAAAGCTGTATGGATAATAAAACCTGGTTAGCTTTCTCCAGGTCAGAGTTAGGAAACAATGCAGAACAGTTTGAAATAAACTACTTGTTTCTTTCAAAGAAAGATTTGTTTGAAAGAACAGAAAGCAGGGAGGTTTAATGCTTTGGACTGAACAACATAACTTTGGGCTTTTTTTTCATTCTTCTGGAGAAACGTTTTCATCATCCAGGCTCTTGGAAATAATGATATGGTCTGTTAGTTAACTGTATAGACTCCAGAGGTACGTAGTGAATCTGGGTGTCATCAGCTTAACATTTAGCAGTCCTCTGTACCTGTGCTGCCTTTCTTGTCAAAAACATTTTACGTAACACTTGACATTCAGTTGCACATTAAATATGTTTTGCACAACTAGCCAAATAAATGAAAGAAGGGACAAGATCAGAGGGAGGCACTAATGAAATCATAGTAATGAACAGCGTCAGATATTATATCATCATTTATGACAATTAAGATAAAGTTTTCATTTGTATGCTAATAAGATACACATATTTAGGAGAAGACAAGGGAAGCTGGACAGGATTCACTGCTATGGAGTGTTTGGATTCAAAGTTTCGTCTGACCAACATGTCTAGACTGTGAGAGGAAGCTGCACCAGAGGAAACTCACGCAAATATGGGAGAGATTGTCACTATAACACACAACCACATGCTGCTGCTGCTGCTGCACACAGAAAGACCCCCGCTGGTTGGATGCCAGCACATTCCTGCTGTGCAGCAGCAGTGCTGAACGCTGCATCAACCATGAAGATGTAGATGTGTATACAGGAGAGGAAGAGACGGATGGACATTTTTCTCTTTTAGGTTTTTCCTTTTTCTGCTCTGCATCAAACCCTTTTTCTTTTGCATTATTGTCTTCCAGACAGCCTCCTCAAGCTTTTTGGTGTCCTTCTGGTCAATGAACTATTTTCTTTGTAGCCTCTTATTTCGTGCTCATCTTTTCCACCATCCCTCTCAGGGCTTCTTGCCTCTCTCTCAAAGTCAACCCTGGGCTTTGTGTGCCCTCTCACACGAAAGTTTCCTGCTGAGACCTTTGCTGGCTTGCCTCGCAGTTTCATCCCACAGGATGATGTTCTACAAGTTTGGGTTATTGTTTGCAGTGTTACCAATAAAACATTTTTTTTCCTAAGTGCCTGCACGTCTGTGAGTGGCATGCACTCCCACCATGACCCTGCATTACTTGGCATTGTATGCTGACTGCTGCTGGCAGCACGAGGGCAGTAAGTGAATTCACTTTTGTCTCTTGGCCTTTGGCTGGAAGGTAGAAATATACAGGTAGTGCTGCTTTAAATGCTGCTTCAAGTTTAGCACAAATTCAGCTTTATGAACATTGGAAAGTTACACATTTGTACAACTGAAATGCAAAGGTACCAATTGTACCTGCAGTAATTTGTTAGATAAGTGCAAGGACTTTTAAACAACGTGTCAGCAGAAAGGAAACACATGTTTTATAATAATACTAATTATCATTATGCAAATGTTCAGTTCTGTCCCACATCAATTCATTAGTCAAATATTTTGAAAACTCGTGGTGCACCAAGAGTCCCACCAGCTTTCACTCTGACATTTTAAATGGACTAAATAATTGGCGTGATAAGGTGCCTGAAATTAACAACAAAGCTAGATACTGTAGAAAACAAGGGATGAACTGGATCCTGATGGCCTGGACAGAGACATCCACAATGGCTATTTTTTCTTTATTTGGATCATCTTCATCCTCCGGCATATGGGTACATGAAAAGACAATTACCTGATAATGACAATATATACACCATATATTTGCAATCATGCATAAGATAAAATCTCATTAATCTTTTAGTGTCACATTCCATTTCAATGTTCATATTTGATCATGTTTTACAGCACAGTAGGACATAAACAGACAGGAGGAAACCACATTCGGCACTCACACAGAGGATCCTCTTAGAGAGTATCTTATGTCATGGTAAAAGCTTTTTAGTGGCAGAAAACGATCGCGGGGCACTTTTTAAATGATCTTTGGCAAACCTGAGGGCAAACACTGTTCGGAGACGGCTTTATAATTGTTATCTTTGTGGTAGTTTGAGAGGTGTCTTGTTTGTGGTTGCTATTCATACGTGGCCTGACACCGGTAGGAGAAGCTGAAAAGGTCTTTCAGAGTAAAGTGCATAAAGAGATATTGATATTTCAAAAGCAGGAAGGAATTTTTCTTTTTGCTGTTTGTGTTCTGTTTATTAACATCTGCATTGGCAATAAATTGAGTTCAGCAAGTTGTCAAAAGAGACTAAATTCTTATTCTGTGACTTTACTTTATAAGGTCACTGAGTTACGCAAAGTCATGAAAGTGACTAACTTTTACTGGGTTTATTTGTGTGAGTCAAATAAATATGAGAATGTTTTAAAAGAGAAGTAAACAATCAAGCTTCTAAAAGGGCTAGAATGTATTATCTAGACATTCATCACAAATCAACAGCCTCCTTGATAGTCAGCTTTTGTAATATCCAATCATACAGAGCAAAATAAGCCAACCAAAATATCACACAAAAACAGGATGTCTCATTCGATCATAATGGAGTCATTTAGCCTTCAAGTAATAAACTCAAAATGTGGAAATGAACTGAAAGGTAGGGAACTGATTTGATTTGAAGACGAAACACAATGTTGTTCGGATCATTCTTGAGATTATTTGGATGAGACGCATCTGACAGTTCAATACGAGGAACAATGTACTTCAACTACTAAAGCATAGGCAACATCTGAAGGCAGCAACAACGAGGGAAGCACTTTAAAGGGAGTCAAATATCTAAATATAATCCTTTAAAGAAACACATCACAGTGTTCTGCCTCTGGCCTGGGCAACCCTGGAGTTTGTCCCGCGACGTAAAGCATTGCAGATGAAGTCTCCAGCCTCTAAAACTTTGGTAAGGTTCACACCCTACGAAGAAAAACATTGCAGCATTAGTTAAATTCAAATGTCTTCAAGGTGATTTTGTCTTAAAGGCAGGCTGTTCATGAATTTCAATGAATGTGTGCAACAGGTGATAGAAAGCTAAAGTGTAGTGAAAATATCCCACCAGCAGGGGTAAGGATTGTTATACAAATTATCCCTCAGACGGGCATGCAACACTGTGGGCTTGTGCAAGTTGTGTGAAACCACTGATATTATAAAATAAACATTTACAGGGCAGTATGTTTGCAGAGCGATCTGTTTATGTAAATAGGCCCTGAAAGATTGTTGAGTTAGGTTGATCTGTTGGGATTATAGAGACATGAAATACAAAGTACACTGTGAAGACATACTTACAGTCTCAATGCCCATGCCATGGAGCATGTAGAGCACATCCTCTGTTGAAACATTGCCAGATGAACCCTGAGCATATGGGCAACCTCCCAGGCCAGCTACTGCCGAATCCACCACAGAGACCCCCATCTGCACAGGACACACAACAGAGACATTCAGCCCCTCCACACAGGCTTCACCTCAGGTACAATTTAGGAACAAAGATCCTTGTTCTGTTGGATTGTTCTGCCCGCTGCAGCGTGCCTTGCCAGGGCTGCGGTCGTGTTTTACAGCTGTTCAGGAGAACTGTGGGCTTATGTCCTGAAGATGAGTGGGCACAGAATGTCTCGCAGTATGGCTTAGTCATCCTCTTTGTCAGCATAAACCACTAGCACCACATAATTACCGCCCTGTTCGAACAGAATATTTCATGTGTTTCTGATTCTCCGGGTTGCTCTTGTTTTTACAGCACTACTCTGCCCTCAACCATGCAGATTCACTTTCTTGACACATTGAGAAGACATTTTTTACCCGGCTGGACGGTGTCCTCTTACACCGTGCCAACAGTACAGCAATTGTAGCATTACAAATAATATACAACAGCATGCAAATAATCATAAAAGTCATAAATAATTTCACTGATGACCTCGGTTACAAATGTATCTGTGCTCCGGTCGTGGGGCCTGCAAGAGATTAATTTTAAGGTTGTTTACATTTATCTCATTGGCTGCTTACAATCAACATAACCTTTTCTTTGTTTCACTGCCAACAATAGTGTCTTCCATCAGAAAATGAATGATATGTTTTCAAATGTTTTTCTGATTAAATACTTTTGTTGGACGGCTTTGTTTACTGCTTTTGTTTTGATGTTACTGCTACAAATAGAGTTGATTCATGTAGATATATTTTACAATTTCTCTGAATGCACATATTACATAAAGAGACCAAACTGCAGTTCTTGCCATTCAAGTGTCTAACCTAACCACCTTTCTTGGTTTTCACACTAAAAAAATGATGAAGCCAGAACCTTCAGTTTTTTTTAATCATTACGGACTGAGGTCTCGGGATGTTTTCCACATGTCCCCGGGATCGTCATGAGAATATTGAAGATGTTTTCCAGCTTCCGTGGCAAAGCCAGATGTCAGAGGATCCCGCAGTGAGACAAAATTAACACGCTGATCCCCTCAGTGGCATTGGGTCATGATGGACTTTCACCCCATGGAGCAGAACCAAGCGAGCTAAATTAAAAGAATCTATATTGCCTTTTTTTTTAACAATGCTGCTAATTGGTTGCTTTTCCTCCAGACAAGAACCTACTTCTTTCAGGGGCCGTCTGAGCCAGCCGTAATTGCTGTTTGTGTTGGCAGGGGAAGAGGAGGAGGAGGTGGGGTGGAAGGAGGAGGAGATCTACTCCGGTGTGTGCAGTGCACGAGATTTCCAGACCTTGGGTAAGACCAGAGCAGGATATTGTACAAGGCAGATTTTTTTTTTTTTGTAGTATAAACACAGAGTTGTTATCTACCATGCCAATCCTCTCGCTTTCAGCTGCTAACCGTGTAAGGCCAGGGGTCCTCAGCATACTGTTTCAGAGAGGAACAAAACGGACCTTTCAGCAGCGTGCCCTGGTCCTCTGGACACTAATCGCGCAGGAATTGGTGGTCAGCCGCTCGAGCTTGCCAATGCTCAGTTCGGTTCACACTACCCAGAAACCAGATGTGCACTCGGTGTTAAAAAGCCATATTCAGTGAGCTGCGGCCATATAAAAACAATACATTCCTGGGTAAAGACACAGTGCATTTTCTAACTCGCATGATTTGGGATAAGCTTGTTGACATTGTACACTCCGAGTGGACGAGGCTGAAGATGGACAAGCTCCCATTTTTGGTTTTATAACTGCGTCAGAGAGAGAGAGAGAGAGAGAGAGAGAGAGAGAGAGAGAGAGAGAGAGAGAGAGAGAGAGAGCGTGCATTCACTGAAAGATATGAAGCGGTGATGCTTTACCCACCGCACCATAAACTGAGGAGCTGAAAGAAACTGTCACAGATCCAGTGCTGACACATATATCACGTATTTCCTGGAACGCATAAATAAGCTTGCCCCTGGATATTACAGGGCAGCTATGAGAAATACAATACAAACATACATAGAATAAATAAATGACATTTTTAACTATGTAATCACATCATTCACCTCCCATATAACACGTTTCATGGATTACCTGGCTCCATGAAAGCAGAACAACCAATAACATCGACTATCAGTCGTAATATAGAAAAGCAAAATGTGAAGAACATTATCAAATCAAAACCTATTGAACACAAAAAACGAAATTCATTTGGTTGGAGCTGCCAATCGAAAAGAGACGATTCGATAAAAATAATACAAAACTACAAATTGGCATCGACACAGACTATGTCGAATGCACCTGTTGCACCCGTTCTCATTGACCAAGTGTTGTCGTGAAAAAATCACTATAATAATAAAAATATATACAAATATATACAAATATATAAAAATATAAAATATAAATTAAGTGAAGCTTCAACCATCATTATTCCCTTTACTGTAAAACAATAATAGTCTGCACTTGTATTGTATTCTTTTTTGCTTTCCTAGTTTATTCTGTAAATAAAGGGTATTATTTTTCTCAATATGTTCTTTTTAATTCATAGAATTTGATTGCTTGTTTAAACTACTCACATTTGAGTGTGTATAATAACTTAAAATTGGATGTTATTATGTGGGTTTTCCCTCCAAAAACATCACAGGGGACAATGGGGATCATAATGATGGTCATAATATGATGTTATACAGTAAATGTCAATGATAACATCATCGTATCCACATCTGCCAACGATAAATCAAGGAAATACAACATAAAGTTGAACTGTTCTACTTCCAGTAGATCTTTGACTGTTAGTAAAACACAGTCATAGACCTTGCACAGACTATCATTGTTGAACGGTGCCTCACAGACAGAGATAAAACAGATCACTGAGGATGAAAGTTATTGCTCGCAGACAGCTCAAGTGTGAGCACAAACAGGTTATACTGTATTCCCCAGCTGCAGCGGTACACAATACACCAAAATTGCGGGTGGGAATAAATAATTTTCTTGCCAAGCCTGTGAAATCTAAGTACATACGTTGTCATTGTGTGACCTGCCAGGAGTAGGTTTGTAACAAAGCCCCCCCCCCTCCCCCGACGGACCTCCTGAGAAAAAAAGAGAAAAGGTACAAAGACTGAGGAATGTCTTTATCAGGAACAAAAGAGGTGACTCAGGGCTGACAGCACTGGGGGAATTCATTTCTCTCCCAGTTGGTGGTGTAGACGTCTGGCACACTAATGAAAAGCTATATGATAAAATCTTATTTATGGGTGAGCAAACGGTAAGCAAAATATCCCCGGCTGCTAATATTTTCTGTGGCCACGGGGCAGCTGTGATGACTCATTCCTAATATGATCCACAGAGGGATTTAACCGCCACTCAGTGCTTTTTCACTCCGCCATCCAAAATCAAGGCTAATTCTATGAATATGTCCTACTTCACACACGGCCATTGTTGATAGCACGGTTGATAAAAAGAGAAAAGCATAAATATTAGAGTGAATCAAACCATTAGTACTTCCAAAATACTGTGTTACGGTGTTTATTGTCCTGACAGAGATGATTATGAATCATGTTTTGTACTGAGAAATGTTTTGGCTCAGGAAATATTTGTTTAATCAGTTTTTTTACAAATCAATTATAAGGCAAATATCTGCTATATCAGATTATAATACTATGAACTGCCATGTATTCAGTATTATTATATGTATAGTATATATTTCGTAGACAGGAACCTTTCTGTAGTGGGATTGTAACGCTCGTTAATTTAATGTTCCCAGGTCTTAAAAATAGGTCTTTGTTATAATGACATCACCACAGTAATTATTACGCAATTTACGAACACTAAAAGGCACAGAGCATAATTATCGTCTGCAACATCAGCTATCTAAAAGTGCTATCAATGTTTCTGGAGTTGGGTCTGCAGCTGCAGCAGCATTCATCACGTGCTCAGCAGCGAGCGAATGGAAGGATCATTTTCCACTGGCCTTTAAGCACAGCATTGTCAGAGGGTTCAACAGCCAAGCGACAGATGAGTTAGGAGCCCCCCAAGGGCCCTTCTATCCACCTAGCTTCTCAGTTGCTTTGTCCAACAGACACTGAATAGGTGAGCCTTTGTGCTGACCCCCTCACATCTGTTGACCCACCCAGCCCCCAATGAGCTTCCTCCTCTGCAGTGACAATGTGCTCCAGAGAACTGATACAGCCATATCTGCGTTACCTCTGTTTTATGTCAGTTTTACACTCGCTACGGGCAAATTGCTGAAAAACACCCCGACGAGAGCTCTTCCACAGGGATTTACAACCTAATTATATTTGTGTGAGCTGTGTATAGAGTTTATTACTGTAATAGACAACGTTTTGTTTTTTTCTTCTTCACTACAACACATGTGCACTGTGACAGAAGGGCCCATTGGAAATATCTTATGGCCATTAAGATTCTGGGATTTTTTTTTCGGCGGGCAGTTTGTGAATCATCTTGCTTTGTGGAGAGGCTCAGATCATGTTTCTTAATGATCCCCTCTTCCTTGTTGACTGATGGTTCCTGTGTTTCTGTGTGTCCCATTGTAACCTATTTGTTTTGTGCGTTCTTGATACTCCCCAAAAACAGAGGATACATTCATAATGTTGTAAACTGACATTTTGTCATTAAAGTTCGGGGCAGATTCTGGTTTACAGTCAGCTTCATAAACATTCCGACAGTGATACGTTGTTTTACACCTCACACTCAAAGTGTCAATGTTTAGTTAAGAAGAGAATGTTAGCAGCATTTTTGAGATTTATATTAGATGAACACTTACTTATCCTTTGCTCTTTGCTCTAAAGAATGACGAAAATTAAGACAAGATGCTGTCTTTGAATGTACTGTGACTTCTGCCCCAAAGATTGTCTAAAGAGATGGATTGGGAGTTACTTTAAGGAAGTTGAAAGATATCCTGGAACACGAATCACCACCTCTACTTTGCTTCCACATCTGGTTGTTCCTCTTCATGTCATGAGTAAGAACATTGATTTATGTAAAGGCTGGGCATTTATCCATAATCGGCTTGTGGTTCGCCACAATAGTGGTCATAATCATCACGAGGAGAAAGATGTGCATGTGAAGGAGAAGATACCCAGAGAGTCCCTGCCAAGCCACTGCAGAAAGTAAAGCTGTCAAAGAACTCAACATGAGAGGATGCGTGGTTCAAGAGGATGATGCATTACTGCCTTTTGCTTGTACAGAGGAGAACTCTTCTAACCGTGCCAGGGTTTGTAAGCCCTCTACAAGAGACGAGTATTTTTCACATCAGGATGTCTTTTCATACTTTTCATCTCATAAAAGAGGTGTGATTCATGCTTGTCCTCCCACAATCATCAGAGCTCATGTCTTCCCTTTCTTTAGAGAGACCTGGAATTGTTTTCCTCCTTTTTTAGAGATCTAATATTACGTCACAAAATTTGCAGAGATGTAAGGTCTCTCCTTCACTCTGATTTTCGAAGACGTCTGTTTGATGTCTGCCAGGTTTTGAGAATTTTCAAACTCCTTCCTCTGCGTTTCCCAGAATTCACAGGTCCCTCCACCCAACTTTCGGAGCAGTCTTGGAGCCGTTCCCCTTCATTTAAGAACTTCCAGAAATGCCAGGTGCCTTGAGAGATTAGTAAGGAAGTACAGTCTTGCCAGAGAGAGCAGCACCTTGTAAACCTTTACTGCAATTTAATTTAGAAAGATGGATGGACGGCTATTAATCTGGGTTTGGGGTTGAGCTCCTATTTGTGTGTGTGTATTTTTAAAATTCCCTTTTGCCTTTATTGTTGATGTTCATGTCTTTGTGTCTAAGGGTCATCTTGTAAATGAGATCACTCTCAGTGTGTATCCTTGAGGGACATTTTCGGATGCATTCATCTTAGTCTTTACAATCATCCTTTACATAATAAAACCTCTTAAATGACTATGAAGGTATAGTCAAAGCTTAATAAGTTAATGTATTTTTTGTCAAAATAATTATAGTACTAATAATGATCGTGACATTATGAATCATAGTGGTCAAAAGAAGTAGTAGTAGTTTTGAGATTACTCTTCACACTATACATTTTGAGTTCTTACCTGAAGTGCAGTCAGGATGTTGGGCAGTGCTTGCCCATAAGTGTCATGGCAGTGAACTGCTAGAGCGTTGGTCGGCACCTCGTTCATCACACTCTGCAGCATCTTAAACATGGAACCTGGTGTACCAACACCGATGGTATCCCCCAAGGAAATCTCGTAGCAGCCCATTTCATACAACCTCTTTGCCACCTAAAGAATAGTGAACATGTGGTAAAATGCCTTCATTCACAGGAAGTCATACAGGAAAAAAACTAACCTTAACCAATGTAATCTTCCAGTACCTACGTCTAGAAAACCTGAATTTTTTGTAAATGTGATAACGTTTCATTAACATTTTCTCTACTGAATGCTTCAAGATTAATACAGTATATAATAAGAACGTAAAACATTTATCTCACCTGAGAGACTTTGGAAGGTTCAATGTGTCCCTCGAGGGGGCATCCAAGGGCACAAGAAACATATCTGAAAGAGGATGTTTGTGAGCATTTTAAATATGTTTACATCATATTCGATAACATTTGAAGAACTATAAAAAAGTTAAGAAGTGTTGTGGATCTAACAACAATTCACAGCAACATCAAGCTGATGATTATTCTGGCATTGTGGTTTCTGTATCCCTGATAGGATAAGACGATTGCTGTTGATTCTGATGTGTTTTGCTATTTTGTCTGTTCATCTTTTTTTGTCACAAAGATTTACATGAAACGTGGTTATCAGATCAGAGATTTGATTTTGGTGGTGATTTAATGGCATTTAAACAGTATTCGGCACTTGGAAAGGAACATTGTTTGCACTAAACCACTGATGTTTTCATGTTTTTGGACAAAGAGGTTCATATAATCAAAGATAACGTGATTTACAATTGAACTATATTCAGTAACCTTCCCTGTTTGGTTTGTTTTAATGTCCATCTTGACTTGTAGTTCATTAACGCATAGATATAACCCGGGGGACATCTGGGAGTCTGCTGTAAAGCTCTCATTAGTGACTTGTGTGTTTTCTCCTTCATATCGAAACTGAAGTTCTTTCAACTGTGTTTTTATTCGGAGTAAAAAAACAAACATTAGATATGTGTTTTTTCACTCATTAAGTGCCAATTGATATTCAGAATACTAACCCACGGACTGGAATTTGTCGCTCCTTGGCAGCTTTAATGACTTCCTCAAACCTCAGCATGCTTTCATCAATAGAGCAGTTAATATTTTTTTTACTGAAGGTTTCAGACGCCGACCCAAACACCGCCACTTCAGTAGCACCAGCTGCAACCTTGAAACAGGAGAGAAAAATGAACTTGTAAAGCTGTTTCGATCTCTGTTTTGCAAATGCAGGAATTATCTGGAAGAAAACGAATGTAATGCCTACAGTTAACTCAAATTGACAAGCGTGGGTACATAGCTGGTTTATAGCAGAGATCATCACACGGAATAGAAAATGAATGCTTACAGCATCCTGAAAGCCTTGCATGTTAGGTGTCAAAACAGGGTACCGGACATGAGGATCTCTCTGGATCCCTCCGAGTACATCAGTGTGGTCTGCCATCTAAATCAAGGGGGGGAACGTATGATGTAGAAAAATAAACCTTTAACGTCATCCGAGAATACATCACCCTGCACACGTGTTTTCACAAGGTTGTGCAGCAGACACTCCATAATGGACAGAATTACCTTTTTATTTCACATATCTCAGTCGGTAAAATGGGTTCAAAATGGTTAACGTTTGCTCTTTTTCAGGAAGTAAATAGTGGTACAATTTACAACAGGGAATGAGAGGGTGACTATATGAAGGGTATCTTAAAATACTCTTTCCCAAAGCATCTGTGGGTCCAACAAGGATGCTAGAGGAGCAGAGTTTCCTCGGTAGTTATGCAGACAAGAAAGAGAGCCTAATAAATCACTCAGCACTCTTTTGCTGTGCACAAAGAAGAGTTATTACCTGCGGTACCCACTTTGAAGAGACAAAGCTGGTGGCCTCGATCACAGACAGGCCTGTTCCTGAAAGCATGTCTATCAGCTGGATTTTCACCCCTGTCGGAACAATTTCCTGGGGAACAATGAAGCTGAAATTGCTCTTTCTGGATTTGATTCCACTCAAGATGGGAGGTACAACAATCACATTTTTTTTCTCTCAGTGTTTTGCTACGCTGCTTGCCAATCACATTGCTATCTATGTTCATATGCAGAGTATTGCGCTTGCTGAATACTTTTGAGATTTCTCAAAATATACAGTATTTGTTATAACACATTGTGGGCAATAACAGTATCCCTGCATCCACTGCAATCTGTAAAACTGCACGTGTGCAATAAGTAAATGATAAAGCAGTGACACGCTAAGCAAAGTATACTAAGTCAGAAGTCGTGTCATCTTTCCTATTCAATTTAAAAAGAAAATGTGAAACATATGCTCCTGGCAATTATGGCACACAGCCCATATGTTATTGTTTTATGTATGGAAAATGGGGGTTTCCCGGGGTAATCATGCATAGTAATACCATATTTATGAATGACAGTGTATAATTTACCTTTTCATTTTGAAGTCCATCTCTCGGTCCAACTTCAACTATTTTAACAAACTCTGGATACACATGTCCAGTAACAGTCTGGAACAATATTAAAGAGAAACAGAGCAGAGAATAAGGAGAAGTGTACACTGAACACTGGCAAGGGATGCTCCACGACATGTTTATAACTGTCTACCTCAAAGCCAGATGAAACCCGAGAACCAAAACACAAGCCTGTCATGACATTAGGGTGCAAACTCAGGGTCTCATCGAGGGAAGACTGGGACAGAAGGTGAGGGTAACTCCATACAAACCACAAGGGATATATTCTGAGGATCAGGGTATTTTTGTAATTCTAGAGAAAAATCCTTATTGAGTTCAAACATTGGTCCCTAACAGAGATTTAAGATTATATACATGTATATGGCTTGAGTACGCTTCTTTAACTGAGTGTAAATAAAAGAACACCAAGCTTACCTGATCGATTTGTGTCCACTAGGGACAAGAGAATCAAAACAAGCTAACAGATATGCAGCTAGCTAACCTAGTGCACGTTACTTCATTAGATGACTGTGTTGAGGGACTTGTATGTTACTTGAGTAGTTTTATTTCACTTAATGATACTTTATACTTCTTTTGTACTTTTTAATCCACAATATTTATTTATAATATATGAATTTGTTGTCATAGATTATGACTACCTTGTATATACATTGGCATACATTGGCATAGTTTAAATTAACTTAAAGAAAGACTGCTTACTGCTGCATCATAATACTCCACATTTGTCTATGATACTTAGCATTACATGCTTTCAACACATGGCTTTTACTTGTAATGTAATATTTGTATACTTGTAGTTTTTGAGGGTAACAATTGAAAACAAAAAGAGATAAAGAGTAAATATCTATCTATTAATTAATTCAAGCTTAGTAAGTGATCAGTTGTATTTGAATGTAAAGAACCACTATGGGCAGCCTGTTCTTCCACTTGCAAGAAACAAAAGGCTATTCTTCTTGTTAAGTTATATTATCAAACAATCCTGTTGGCAGCCTAATAGAGTTACACAAAACAGAAGCATCTAGCCTGCATCCTTTGTCACGTATCGTACATTTAGAAAGATAAATACAATCTACCTATCTTATCCTTAAAAATGCAGTAATATGTAAAAGCAGAGCAAAATGTCCATTGAAGAGGACATTACATAAGCAGCATGCACTGCAGCACTATCTGTGGCTGGCTGCTGCTGCATCCTCTCTGTCATGATAGAGTCATGTGGCAGAGCATGTGCAGCAGATTAGGAACAAGAAAAACAACGCCCACCTTCTCCGCCAGCAGCCAGCGTGTCAGCCATGGGTAGTCCTGGATGATTTGCTCATAGCTCAGGCAGTGCTTCACTGTAGTGGGTACGTTCCCCATCCGAATGGCTGCTCTTCAGCCTGCTGCACCTCCGTGTCCTCCAAGACCCGCACAGACTGCTGCAACTAATACAGCAAATTGAAGCGTCAATATGCTAATGCAATGCAGAGGCCTACCGATGACGGAGGGCCCGGCTGCATGAGGAGACGGAATTAGAGGATGGCTGCAGACCGTGATTCAGCAGTTGCCATGGCAGCCACATCCCACATCCCCCATCCTACTGTACTGCGGGGGGGGGGGGATATAATATGTGCATCCATGAAGGGATATGCAGGTGCAGGGCAGAGAAAAAAGATACTGTAAGGAAAGAAGAGTTTGTTCAGCCGCAGTTCGCCTCCAAGTGATGTATAAACAGGATCAGAACGGAGTGCTTTATTCCCTGCCGAAGCATTTTAACCAGTTTTTACTAAAAAGTCTTACAGTTGATGTTTTATATCTTGGTTCAACAAGATTAGATACTCAGTCAACTCCCTGCACTAGTGAGAATGGAAAGCGTCAGAGAAACAGGCTGCTTTGATTGATCTCTGGTGACCTGAATAGTTGAAGGGTTTCCATTGCCAGACGTGCCACTGCTGCCAATGTCAACTGCATGGTGTAATAAAATCCCTTGTTAAGTCAGGGCAACATTTACCAGAGAAAGAGCCATTCTTCTGAACCCAGATGTTAACAATAGAGGGGCTTAATGAAGTCCTAGCATTCAACCATCTCACCACGCTAAACTGCTCTGTGATGAGAGACCTCTACCTACCCCTCTCTCAGGGGAGGAGGGCCACTCATATGATCAGCCCTGAAAAAGCCTTTTTTGTAGCGGACTTCAAGGTTGATGTCTATCAGTTGCCACCCCCTAAAAAATGTTGCATTGCTTCTAATCACTCATTCGTGGTCCTCTTAGGTACAGAAAAACTATGCAGCCTACTTAAATGGTTGCATTTTGAATAGCTCAAACTGTTACACATTTCATTTAGCTTTTTACATACAATTAAATCTGCATTTATCAGTATTTCTGTGTAAAAAAAATTCATTCTTACAAAAAATGTCATGGTTTGTAGGGCTTTAAATTATTTTCAGATGTCTGTAAATCTGTGCTTTCAATGCGTCAGAGCCCGGAAATCATGTAAGCTGCAATTTTGCAGAAGCACTATTTTAGTGCAAATAATTTCTATAATAAGTGGGCTACCATAGCGCACAGTGTTGGTCATCTGTATGTTGAACCTTTTAAATGAATATGTTGGGGAACTAGATATAATGTACAACAACAACAACAATCTGTTGTTAATGAATGTAATTCATCATTTGTATTTGATGTCTGTTTTCAGAAAAAGTTGCTTTCTTAATGGCTCTTTTCAATCAATGATAACTGCATCAACCAATTAACCCTAACTGGCCTTTTAACATTTCTACTTTCAAGGAAACTCGGCAGCTACGGTTTATCTTGACAAATACCAGCTGCAGAGGGTCACTTTCAGGCCTTCGGGGGCTTTCCTGCTTGTAGGAGTCAATGTAATGCAGGTGAGTGCAAACTAAGTCTAGGATGGTATGTGAGGGGAGGAAGATTTTACATTTTTTTAAAAAATAGTGATATAGAACTGGTCATCTGCCATCTGTAAGAAAAAGAAAAATAGCATTTTTTGTAAGATATAAAAAAAAATATTAAAAGTTGGGTGTAGTTTCAAATTAACACTAATATGTGAAACATGGATAATAAGCTTTTTCTGTAGTATATACATTTATTTGGTATAAGAATAACGTGTAATTTGGTCTTACTTACAAATTCATCTTGGAGTTGTACACAGGATGGAGGATTTGGCATCTGTCAATCAAATCAAATGGAGGATACAACAGTACACAACAGTATCAACAAACTAGCTCACATGTTCGGTTTGTTCAGGGAAATAGAGTAGAATAGTGAAATGAAATGAAGCGAAACAAAATGGCCGTTAAGTGTAATTATCAGGCTACTAACAAATAAAACAGCTGCACAAACTTGAAGATGTTTCCTACCAGGTTAACTCTGTAAAGGTACACTACTCTTTACGTTTGCGTAGATTAGGCAAACAGATACGCCTCGGCAGGAAAAAGGATGTCTCTGTGCTAGTTTTTAAGCTGCCTCCTGAGAATAATATATTGTACACATGAGGATTTGGGAGACCAAGCACATGATGAATGCCTCAAAATATTAGATAAAAATCAAACGGTGCAAATGTCACAATGTGTTTCTGAACTGGAAAAAGTTGCATTTGAAATAAAGAGACTATTCTCTTTTTGGCACTAAGAAAGAAACAGATGTGAAGAAGAGTACTTTATAGAGTGCAGGTTTCGGCAGGGCTTGAAAGAGGCTTTAAGCTCTCAGATATATACTGAAAACAAAGTGAGTGAAAGAAAACAGGATCCAGATTAAATCAATTTTCATCCTCCATCCGTCTTCAATTTCGACATCATGGCTTTAACTGAACTGTAACAACAAGAGAGTCCTGATGCTGAGCGAATAGCCCATGATCATCACCCTGAAAGCAATAATCATGATGACATAGTCCTTCTTACCCAGAGATGATGGAAGGGTTTGTTGGATGTATAGTTAGAATAATTACACCCAGTCCTACAAAAACAGACCACTTGATGGTGTATATTTGAAACTGAACCATGAATAAAACATTCCATACAAAAGGGCAAAGAATGAATATAAATAATTTTGCTCTTGTAGAAGGAAAGGTTTCATCACCCTTTTCTCATTTCCATATATATTCAACTATGTACAGAGAGAAGAAAAATGACCACAAACACTTGAAATAAAAAAATGTAAAGCCCTGTTAAAAATAGCCGCCTACCTTACAGTTTCTTCAGGAAGGCTGGCCGCTCTGAGCCAACTTTCCGCAGCTCCCCTTAGAGACAGCATGTGTGTTAAGGATTATCCTCGCTGTAATCACACCACAGAGCGTCCTGTGGCTCTCAGTCACAAAAGCCACTGACCTGTGTGTTGTGTCCACATATTATCAAGACTGTTGGGCATTGATGGATGAAATGCGATATCCCTGGCTCTGTACATGTAGCCTAATGTAATGCTGTGGCGCCCGCATGTTGAGAATGATTAATATTAGATTTAACAAGCAGAAAAAAACTCATCACCAGTTAATAATCAACTGGCTGTAATATAACCATATCATTCATTCATTCTGCTACAGTCTTCACTTTTTTTCTTGACAAAGGCACCAGTTAACCCCACTTAGTCACAGATACGCTCAAGCGGATGTTTCTAAGCAGCCAGATATTTAGCGTGCAGATTTTTATACTGTACCGCAGAGGACTTCATGCCTGGATTACTGCTCCGACTGGATCATAAAGTATAGAGATTTCCTTCAGTTTATCACAATCCTTGGTGGGAGAAATTGAATTTCACAGTAAAATTTACAACAGCCAGAATACACGTGAACTGGATTATGTGTTGGCCGTTGACATCTCTATTTGCTCTCTACATTGGTACAGTAGCATGTTTAGTTCATTATTCTTATGGTGGTGACAGGAAAGATAAGCTAAGTCCCCATCATCTTGGTCTGGGGCCGAGGATCATTGTTTTAATACTAGTCAATAGTTTCAGTACAGATGCCAACGAATTGTTTTCAGACCTTACTTTTTTGAAACAAAACGTATTTTTTCTACAAAATCTAGTTTTTTAAAATTTAACCAAAGAAGCTGACAACACCAAACACAGCGTATCATCTCCTGACGTTACATAACATGTAATGTGTAGTTCAGACAGAAAATACCTGAAAAGTAACAGTAGTGCCAAGTATTGCGTTGAATAATGGACATGCATAATGTAAGAGGCTTTCAAGTACTATCCAAGAGCTATTGAATCAGCTATTGAATACTGAACTAATGTGAAAGATGTGCCATTGTCTTTCTGTAATCAGTTGGAGAAAGTTTACTAAGACGGAGGTTGCAGTTCTACTGTAACTGTAACCACCAATCGACAGTATGCATAATAGATACTTTTAAATGTCTTATATAGGGATGATGATTAACTCATCAGTGCCTTAGAAAATAAGATTTGGACAAAATTTGACATTTTTCGAGTGCTTTCACTGATCACTGTTGAAAACAACAGAGCAACAGGTTTCAATAGAAAGGGTTTACTTTTATAGAGTGAATTATGCTTTTTCTGTCTTGCTTTTGTTCTTTATTATTTTCCTAGTTCATAATGGTGCCCAAATATGCCCAGATTCTTCTGATGTACCCTGTTTGGCAGCATTTTAAACATTGGTTTGGAACGATTAGTACAGGATAGAGACACCCTTGGCCTCAGAAACAGGTTAATGTCCTGTGCATCTGCTTCGGTTTGTATTTTTCCTTTCAAACTTTTTTTTTCATTTGATGTGATCTTTGACATAAATCGACGATAGATGGGTGACAGGAGGACGTAACTAAGCTGCATAAACAGAAGAGAGCAGACATTGTTAGTGTATCATGTCAGAAGATTTTATTTCTACTGAGACAACCCCACAAAAGAATCTCACATGTTTTTCTGGATTATCACGGAAAATATGTGTCATAAATGCTGCATTCAATAGAAAAACTTAAAGCCCAACTCACAACCTCACATTAAAACCAACTGCGTCTAAATAGATTTTATAGAGTTGTGAACAAAGGGTTTGAATTTATTAGATTTTTGTTTATTTAATAAATCATCTCAGCAAAGCACTGCTAAACTATATTTAATGATACAATTAAGCCATATTGCATGTGTTATATCCAGCCAAAATAAAATAAAAACGGTTTATATGCCCAGCTGCCACCTCTAGTGCTAATGGGAAGTGACAGTTGACTTCACAAACACTCTGTTGTAACTTCCGAGAACCCCAAACCCTCTCTTGCACATGTGAATAACAAGCAAACATCACGGTGTTTCTGCGTTGCTTTTTGTCAGGACACATTCCTCGCTGGTCCTGCTGCAGCCTTGTCATACCAAACAACATGCAAAAATGCGACCCATATGGTCTCCCTCTTCAAGAGGGACTGATTGAGCTGTATGGAAGTCATAGCCCACCCACTGAATACAAATAAGGAGAACCATATGTGGGGGATGAATTAGGTAAACTGCACAACATTTTTATTAGATACAATTTCACTTGCCTTGTGGATGGACTGCAAGGTGACACTTTAAAAATAAACGTTGGGCCTCGGGAAGAAAAAGTCCTCTGAGGGTAAATCCGTGAAACATGGAATTACTAAACCAAACGAACAACAACTGTTATGTTTTGTACTTGTATTAGATTGACCAAAATGTGATAAAAATAAGCATCATGTCAATCATCTTACCGGCCTGCATTAGAGCCGACTGTACCTCTAATTGAGCACATTAATGACAACGTCGTAAATATAACACTTAGTGTGACTTTACAGTAACTGGCCTATTAAACTCCACTAAGACTGAGAGTAAATGTTTAGTTTCACAGTTTATGAGTATGTTTGTGTAAAATCCAACTTTTCTTCCAAGGACCGACCACATTTGATTTTCATTCAATTTCAAGTGTCCGCAGTCAGAACACTTGTTTAGAAAATGATTAGCTACTCAAAATACTTCAAATACACTATAAATGCATCTTTATGGGAAGTGTTCTTCAAGGCTGGGAAAGATGTTTAAAGCCATTGCCATTAGAAAATACACTGTTGAAAATAAGAAGTGGAGTTTTTATTTTTGGTTGCCCATACAGAATAAGTAAAACGTACTTTTTCCTTTCAATATTTCTTAATTATTTTTGTTGCATGCTTTGCTTTCACAGTCTTAGAACATGACATCTCTGGAGAAGCCTCCAGCACGAACACCACTGTCGGTGGTCCGACAAGATGGACGGCTTGTTACTTTAGCTTTTTGTTTTGTAGTATTTGTCAACATATTTCCTGCTGGTGATGGTTTAGATTAGATTAAAAAAAGGCATTTGTGACTTTTCAGAGCCAGTCAGCTTCGGCCTGCTAAGATCTTCAAGATGATCTCTCCTCTCTGAATATATCACATTTGCTGAACAAAAGAACATGTTCTTAACAGCCGCTCATGTGGACGTGTCTGTTTTCTCAATCAGCTAATGGAAATAAACATGCTTGTGGTGGAAAAAATAAACATCTTAATATCAGCACTGGAAACACATCCTGATATTATGTGACTGTGTTTATGTAAAGCCAACAGTATGTTATGAAATATACTATAAACCTGAGAGCGTGATTAATGAATAATTCACAAGAATTCCTTCACATAAACTGTGATGAGTCGTGACCTTTTTCCAGCATGTTTCAGAAGTGGAAGTGCTGATCTGATGAATGTCAAGGCACGTCTGACTCACCGGAGCCTGTTTTTTGACCACGGGGTTCTCAAAGGAGAAGGGGCCACTATATTTATCTGCACTGAGTATGGCAATTGTTACCCTTTCCTTTCATGTGGTCAGGAGGTCGCTGTCAAGAGGGCTGTGTAGTTTTGGAGAACTTAAATAGGAGCTCATTCATAGCAGCTCCTGCGTAGCAGAAAAGGAAGAAATGTAGCTGTATTGGAAAGAATCCATAATATTAAACAGTAGATGGGATTGTGAAGTGCTAGGAGTAATCATGCCAGGCAACAGGCCGCAGGAATGCAAATCACCCCTCAAGCCAAGAGTTAAGTTAGCAGGTGGCCTCTTCTATTCAGTGAATGTCAACACTCCTTTTAGATGGAGCCCATAACATCTGGGCCGGCCAGCCACTGCTTTTAATTAAGTGAAATACAGTCACTCAATGTTCTGCCATGTCAGAGAAAAAAAATGTTATAAAAGTGGAAGGGTAGGGGGAGAAAAAATGCAACAGTACATATCCTGTGTTCACTTAAGGTCAACACAGTTGTGTAAATAATTATTAATCCTTAACCTAATCCCTAGATTTCCAAGACCATTGAACATCCCTGTGTAACCAGAGGGCTTCTCTGGAAATAGCTCGTTTGCTCGCAAATTTCTGGAAATTTCTGCTTATCCTGAATGAGGAGGGAATGCGGCAACACTCGCTCAGTTTTGTTTATGGTCACCACTTTGTTTCCAGGGGTGAATCTCAGCTCTGAGCAGATGGCAACATCCAAAATATCAGTATACAGAATGCAGGCAAGCAGACGTGTGGCATGCAAATCACACAAATCATGTGATGGATGGTATCTTTTCCCATAATCAGGAAGGGATTACTTACAAAATGATATACCACACTCTGCTTGCAGCCTAATGATAATCACCCTTTTTGGGCTGTCTAGGTCACAGCACTGAAAGCAATGTACCACCAGCAATACCACTCCTCAAGGGCATGTCAACAGGCCTCATGGGTGGACCCCTAGTTTATATGCTACTTGTCAAACATTTAGAAATCTGAGACGGTAGTCTGGCAACAGTGTGTAAAACATCCGCAGAACTCCAAACAGAAATATAAAAGGACAACTTGAATTTGAAAAGGCTGGAGGCCTTGCAGCTGGAGCAGAGGGGGAAAAGCCCCGAGATGAAATGCATAACTGCATAAATAGTTTAGGGTGATAGATGGAGCGCGAGAAGCTGTGAGGTCAAGTCAAGGCAAAGCAAAAGATGAGAGTTTTCAAGTGGTACATTTATTAAAATACACAACACTCTACATTAAGATATACTTTCCCCAAACATAAGATAGAATTAGTTTACAGCTAGTCCACAGAGGAATGAGAAAACAGTGTTTATGAAAGAGATTTACATAACCATTGTTTAAAAAATGACATAATGTGTAAAGCATTCATAAGTGAACACTCAACATTATGAGCGTTTCATTCCAGGCTGACATAATCCCCCGTCTGTGAACACACTCTCTTATGAAAAACAAAAAAAAGCTGGCTTGGAAAAGGCGAAACAGTCTCAGTGCTGAAAGACAGTGGTGGCTTGAAAATAGCTTTGGGCAGTTTGGTTCACATTAGAGAACACTCACTTTTTTTTTCGTCCTTGTCCTCCAATTTGATTTACAGTTTTTCCAACAGCCTGTTGAGGTTGTGATGTTAATCATGGCATCATCGTGTGGTCTCAGTTGTTTGTCAAATTAACTTGTGATGCTACATTATTCTGTGTGCGTCATTATAAATGTGGGTCCATAATGACACTAAGAGACAAAATTAACATTGAAGAAAAACACCAAATACTGAGATCCATGTATAGTTCTAGCTCAGTGAGTATTTATAGCACAAACATATTGTAAAAAAGGGAAAAAGGAGCAGAAGGGGGAGGCGAGCTTATGCATCATGATGACTCCAGTGAATAGTTAACTCATGAAAGTTATCATACAGACGTAAATAAGAGGGAGTATATGCCAATGGACACAAAAGTTAACTGATAACTGACGTAAAAATTTAAATATCACAATATTCAGTGCTATTTTAGAAAAAGAAAAGAAAATAAATTAGGCAATAAAACTTTATATACATAATACTGTACATCACATCACACCTGCAGCAGATGTGTTTTCCAGCGATTCCCATACCAGATCACATAAATTAAAAATGAAAGTTAGCCCGGCATTAATGGCAACCACAAGACCTAACTACCATATTTCTGTATTTCTTGAGGATAACGTTTGAGCTGTCATCAAAGTAAAGCACTGATATTGCGTTGAGCTTGGTCGGGGCACAGCATGGCTTTGGCACGTTGTCAGGAAACATTAAATGGACCTATAAATGAGAGCACGAAGTAGGTTTAAAAGAGGTGCAATAGCAATGAGCTTCAAATGAATAAGAACTGCTGAGAACATTATGGTAGCTTATAACGTGATTTTTATTGCTTTTACGCGATGCAATGCGCTCTAAAGAATACTTACCAGCGTTTGCACAATTGCATGATTTGTTGCATTCATGTGTGCGTTGAGTGGAAAAGAGCATTCCCCATCACAGTAAAAAGCAGCATAGCCCTCAGGTGCGATGATCCAATCCTTGACAAAAAAATGATGAGCTTTCTTTATTTAGAACGCCTGATAATCTCAATCAAAAAGGCACTGTTCATTGTGTTACTGTCATTTGTTAATGATATAAATAGTTTTGTCTTACCTGCCAGCCCAAATCTCGAAAACTGACGTAAAGTTCATGCTTCTTGCAGGCTTGCTTCTGTTCACTTGTGTTGTAATCTGATAAAAGGAATACAAATAAAAGGCTATTATTGATAACAAAAGTAGTGACTGTTAATATTGTTTTATGTCTTAACTGTAGGAAGGTTAGCACAACAGGGGCATTGAAATCTAGAAAGCTTCTGAACAAATGCACTAGAAATACATATATGCAGTCCATAAATACAGACTTTTGGAAGTACACAATATCATCCTACAGTTGGGCTCTGTCAATCACTACATTTTAGTCATACATTTGGAATAAAATAGGTGTCTTCTTTCCCACATCAGTGTGCAGTCTGGCCAGTAATTGTAGAGATATCTTGCTCCTGAAAATTAAGTTGGCGAGTCTGACAAATGGATGGACAGTCTGATGGAAAGATGGCCAGGCTGTTAGCCAGGCAAAAGGATGTCATTAAAATCTAATCAAGAGATCAGATGTGTATTGGATAACTACGTCATAAAAGTGCACATACCTCCGGTTTTTGGTGCCCTAGATGATTCTTGTTGATTAGTAGATTTATTGCGATTGTGGTTCTTTTTTTTACCACCAGCAGCTCTGACAGAGCGAAGCAACACCCCACTGGCCTTGAAGAAAGCAACCAGGAAAGGCTGTTTGGACTGAGGCCCATTCCTCCCAATTATTCCGGCAGATTTTATGTTGATACTTCGACCTTTAAGAGACAGAAGGTAAATATACAGTTCAATACAAAACTAAAGGAAATGGGATTTTGCATCGTTTTTATGACTGCCTTTAAGGTTAGTCTAGTATCTTTATGAGTACTTGGTCCAGCCATTGATCTGTTTTGTGGCCATGTATTAGTAGTAAATATAAAATAATCCACAGATTGTCAGATGTACAAGTCACATGTGTCTATATTGCCTTAAACTGTCTTAGCTTCCTGACGTTTTCTATATCCCAAAAGTAAAACAAATTGATAGAAAGAAAAACTGAACTTCACTTGCCATCTCCAGTCTCCACACAGAGCTGCAGGCCTAAGTTCTGCTGTGGGTTCATCACCCAGTGGTTACTGGTGGTCGTGATGTCGAACACTAACCAGCCTCCATCAGATGCCTGGACCCTTTTGGAGTCGAGCAAGAACGTCTCTGCATCGCTGAAGGTAAGAAAAAACAATGAGACGAACATCTGCATTAAATAAGCCGCAGTCAAAGTGATGCGCACTCAGACAGCCAGTGCACACATGCAAGCAGCATCTATTATACAACAAAAACCAACACACAGTATGTCTTCTAATTGTTTAAAATACATACAAATCCACTGAAAACTTATTTAGTCTCTGTTCGATTTCAAGATTGCTACTCCTGCGTTTCTGAGAGGTTCTAGTGAAATGAATGTGGTCACTTTACCACTGCATTTTAAACAAATTATTAAACCTCAGTGCCTGCTACAGTCTGGAGAAAATAAAAACATGTGCACCTTAATGTTGCATAGCTTTAATGGAACACAAAAAGGAAACCATGTGCTTCTTTGAGGGCATAGAAACTTGGTCCAAGAGGTTGTTACCAGTTGGACTGGAACAAATAAACGAGGTACCACTGACTGATCACAAATGGCTGCTTTAGCCCAAACTCTGACGCATAGGCCAAACATCTGAGTGGTTTTTATTAGTTTTATTGTAGTTTCTTTATCTCTTCATCCTTTTGAATCCAACATACTTCTTCTGAAAGGGCTTTCATTATTGAAAACTTGTGATTTTGTGTGTAAGAGTAATTTGGTCATTTTTGTGTGCCTTTGTACTGGAGATAAAAAGAAAGCAGTTATTATTATAGGCTATTATTGAAGGAGCTGAGACTTGTAATAAACTGCAGAGTTGTGTGGTTTAACGTGATTTGATGGGCAAAATATTTCAAAAGTTATGAATGATGTATATCTGCCCTTGTGTATTGTTAACACACGGCATCAATAAACCCGGAGTTGAAAAAGCCCCGCTTCGCAATTTGCATTGGGTTCCTTTCAAGTGGCAGGTCGGATAAGGCAGCGCCTGTTTAGTTTTTGCGGTTCCATGGAATTATTCATGTGTTTATTACAGGTGTAATAAAACTCAAACCTCATGTGGAATTCCACATGAGGTCAGTCGTTATGATTGACATAATGGTGAACTTCCTCTTTGAAACGTAGAGTATTAAGCTCATATCCTGTGATAATTTAGTTTGTGGAGGTAAGAATTCACAATTCCCAGAGCCGTATCCAAGAGGAAAATGCTTATCCCGCCCCTTCATCTGTGATTACTGGATCTACTGTTCCGCAGAGAGTGAGTTAAAGTGAGTGGACACCAGAAATAGAAGTAACTCTTTTTTTTTAGTCTGTCTCCTGCAAATTATGTTCATGTGCCACTTTTCTCTATTAGCAATTTATGTTCAGTTAGCAAAGTTCAGTTGCAGTGCAGAACGTAGTGTGACGTTGATATAGTGTAGGTCAGGGTGGTGCGTATAGTTGTCTGACTTTAAAGGTACCCTGTTGAGTTTTTGACCACTAGTACTGTAGATATATGAAGCAATATGTTTAGGTCTTCGTTTTGTTCCATTCTTATGCTCGAGCACGCTGGTTTCCCCGATCGACAGTGGCAATAAAGTAACAACATATTTTGTGAAGAAAACTTCTTGCATGTAAACACTGTAAGTTTCACACTCTAACAAAAAACGTCTCTGTAAATGTTTTAAAGGCAAGGAAACGCAGTCAACATGTTCATTAGATCTTAAAGTCAGTATCTTAAACCATTACGATGCCCCAACAAAGGGCTTTTATTTAGCTACTTAAACCTACTAACTAACGGCTAACTGAACCATACTTGTGTTGTTGTTCAAGTGGATTTTGTAGAAATAACGACTTAAAACAATTGGCAGTGATTCATTTGTGTTGAAAAAAAAAGAAGAATAGAAGAGTAAGCTTACAAACAAAGAGTGCTCATATATGATTTTAATTGGCTTTCTGAGTTGAGGAGAAACTTGTGCAAAGTGGTTGTTTTAAAATCACAGACTCCAATGTTGTTTCTAAGATTTCTTGCACTGGGAAATAGTTGTTCTTCTTTGTGAACACATAACTCAAACACACGATTCCCCATTAAAACGTTTGTGAAAACCTAGACTGAGCAGTCTTTCCCTTTAAGATGGCAGAGTCCATTGACTTGGACCTTTTCAAAGCCCAGGAGGCCCATATCTCCCCTTCAATCACCCACACACATTTTTGGCAAGCAAATGTGGGCCCACTTTTAAGTACACCCTTGTGTATTCAGCTATGTCATGGCTTAAACTTCCGGAATATTGTTAAGACAGGCAGGTGGTGGGCATAACAGTGACCACAGGAGCACCCGCGGGAGCCCCTTCCCCCCTATTGTGGGCCCTCATGGTTTCATCTGGGACCCGGCCAGCTTGGCAGGCAACACAAGACGAGTGATAACTGATGGACCTTCCGAGCTTCATAAGTGGCCGACTTGCTAATGGACTTCTCTTTATCCGAGAACTATATTTGTAAGGCAGACATGGTGCGAATGAAGGAGAACAGAGTTGGAGATAGAAGGGCGTTCTGTGCGAGTGGAAAGTTTGAACTAGTGCAAGACACTAGCTGTTGAACCGTTTGCCTTTTTAACTGTGAAATAAGATAACTGCATGGGGTCAAACTACTCATCGGGCCCCTGTCAGAGTGCTCCTGGACTAAAATGTCTGATTAGAAAGCAGCATTTTAATGTTTTAGCTGATAGAGGTAGAGCTAATTTAACTACTTAATATATTGTTGGCAGTTTAATCTGTAATTCTGCATTGCTTCTTGTAAGATGGTCATATGTTTTGTATGTAAAATCTCAAAAACTTCTACTTCTGTAAAAAATACAATACTTGTATTGGAAATGATTGTAGTAAAGTAGCAGAAAATGGAAATATGTAAAAAGCAAGTTCCTCAAAATTGTACTTAAGTACAGTACTTGAGTAACTCTACTTAGTTACTATCCACCACTGCTTTTAATGTTTGCTTTTGAGTGATTGGGTGCTTACTTGTTTTGATATTCCTTGATGACTTGATGTATGGTAACCTTCAGAGTAACATTGTCGTAGCGAGCATGACTGCGGTCCTTGTAGATCCGAAACTCTGCAGCAGTCACCGCCTCTCCCTCCGGGATCTGAGTCAGATCAAAACGGAATTCCTTGTAGTGTCTTCGTTGGTGAGAAAAATCTTTATCTTTCTCCACTGGGAAAGAAAATATTTTATGATAAATTTCATTTTTACTGGCAGCAAAGCTCACGCTGATAAAAACAATATGACTTCAACTCCTGAACCTCTGCGTGCGTTGCTCTGAAGAGAAAATATGCCAGCATTAATTCACAGAAAAAGAGTAATTTATCACATCTTCTTTTACATTCCAGGTCCAATCCAAACATTTTGACTACCAACAAAAGCACTTTCCAGTTCATTAAATCAGTCAACTGAATACAGGTAGCAGTTCCCAGACAGGCCCTCTACTGTGTGCCTAACTGCATTCTCTGGCCATGATGAATGGGCTGTCAGTTAAGAAAAACAGGCTGATTTCAATTAAAGACACTTTCGTCTGCTCCTCATGTGAGAGAAAAGACAGGATTCTTCAATGTCATGTCAGCGTCTACTCTGACCTCATTTCTGACCTCCTACTGACCTCCTGTAGGTTTCATACAATGTGCTGGGAGTGTTTAATGACCCTTAACCCGTAAAAATATTTCGAATATAATGAGTAACATAAGATGCTTTTTTTTTAATGTTTAAAAACTTGTAACATATATTTTTCTATTTTGCAGCACAGAAATAAATGTGCAGCTGGAATTTTTCAAGAGGCTGCATCTATTTTTGTAGATAAAATAAAGCCCCTCAATGTAATGACTAATAATCAAAGAGTCTCAGTGTAGTCAGGGCTGTGAACCAGTTCATATTGTCACAGCCCTGACTAGTAGCAGAAAAGTGGCATGTGGCTGAGGTCAGTGGATTTTCTGACACCCGTAGGGATATCATGCAGTGCATTTCCCTGATATTTTATCGAGAGAGGACGCCTGGGGTTACTTAGCACAAACAGGTCAGAGGTCAGGTCTGACTTTTACCCACTGAGCGTGTTCCATTATATTAGCCACAGGCAGTAATCTGAAGCAGAGTTGCCACTGAGGGCATTTAAGTTTAAAATGAAGATTGAATAATAATGACTTCACTCTCTGGTAAGGTCCTTGAGCATTCTTGATGTGTTGCATGTTAATTGGATTCTACTTGTGCTACCAGGGCAGTATCCATATTTTGCTGTAATAAATTACTGGTGTGTTTTATCTTCACTCCTCCTGCATACAATCCCATGTATGTGCATTGTATAGATTTTCAATAGCTGACTATTCATACACTGAAAGTTCAAATGGGTCCAGTAAGCATATTAAACTGCATGCAATGCCACATAGACGTTTCTAAAACAGTTGAGGTCAGTAGCTGTATTTGAGTGTACTGTAATAAAGACAGAGCCCCATTGAACACTTCACTGACAGTCCCCAGAACGAGAGCAGAGCTTTCAAGGCTGACAGTGTACATGCCCTGGTATAGTGGTAAGTGGAAACAGATGGGCTTAGGCTAAGGTGAGGGATTATACTGCAGGCAACTCTACACAAATTCACTTTTGCATGTTTTGCTCTACTATAAAGAAAAGAAAATTCCAACAATATCTAAAGATTGGTAAATTTGTTTATCTTTCATTAGGGTTTCTGTATATTGTAATATTTATTTATTTAACTGTCCATGTTCATTAAAGAATGATAACTGCTACAAATATGACTAGACTAATGCTTTATCTTGGTGACAGAAACTCATGAAATAAAGGCATCAGTCAACATCACTCCCATTTTAACAACAGGAAATAATTTAGACCAATTTTCTCAAGGTCAGACAGTCATCTGATAAGGTGCTGTGAACTGCCGGGTTAAGGTTCGCTGCTACTGAACAAACACAATCATTATACAGATCAGCTGCCTTTTAATAGAAAGCAGCACAAATTGGCAAAAGGTCAAAATGTTGGGCCTAATTCTGTTAAATACTAAATATTTCACAAATGACTAAAGCAACTGAACTGATGTCTGAATGTACATGTTGACATTTAGATGTAGACACTAGAGATAAAAAACAGCCTATGAATGATATGAGTGAGAGGAACTTAACTAAGATGTATAGTTATTTATAGGACAGCATTGCTCAGGTTATTTAAGCAAAAAATCTACATGTGTCAAAAATATATATATATATATATATTTTGATAAAATGTATTATGTGTTGATATCCACAGCAATCAGGCCAAGAATTAATTTAAGGAATTAAGATAGACCGAAGTCTTTGTCTCTTGAAATACGTGATGAAGGCTTTAGTGCTGCAGTCTACAGTGCACTGGACACATGTTGCACTTAATTAATGTAAACAAAAATTAAAATGTTTTTCTTCCAAGATTATGTGCATTCAGATAATTTCCTTATTACAGCCTACCTATTATTTCCCTTGGAGGAAATTAAGATGAAGAGAAGTTGGAGATGGAGTTTTTGAATACTTTGAGTTTTCTATAAATAATATTGAAATATAATATAATATAATATCCTTCATTCTAATTCCGATTAATATTGATTTTATGAATCCTGGTGCGAAATGATCCCACTTAAATGCCACTTACCTAAATTGACAAAACTCATGACCATGTCGGCATCATTGAGAAAGTTGGTGTCCTGCGCTGTGGTGAGTGCGGGGTTGTGGCCCAACAGCGGGGCCGCGCGGTAAGGCTGTGCCGCACGAGAGTACCCGGCATGCTGGGGGCTGTAGTAAGCTTTCCTGGAGTGCCCTTGAGCCTTGGCACTGAAGCTCTTCCCGGCGCCCAGCTGCTGCATCCCCTCCTCCTCCTCCACGGCCATGGCGTTGTACAGGTCGAGCATGAACAGCGGCGCGGAGGACGCCTGCTTCCCGGGAGAGAAGGGCCTCGGACGGTGAGGCAAGCCCAGGATGGAGAGGATCTCTCTCTGGATCTCCCTGCGTTCGTGATTGCGCAACCTCCTGTAAATAAAACTGGAGTGCACATGGTTGTCACTTATCCCGCAATGAGCGCAGGACAGAAAACTCAAGCAGCTCCACGCGAGTCCAAGTACAGCACGGCTCAGAGGTGTAAGCGCTGTCATCTTGACAAATACAGTTCACTTTGGGATGTGAAGTTGAACTACATCGCACTCCGTGAGAAAAATAAAATAAGTTATATCTCTGCCAACAAGGACTCATATACTTCCCATATTAGAGAGAGGCACCACAACTTTCACGGTGGTAACTGAGAAGGCTTCTTTTTTTTTTTCTTTTTTTTTACCAGTCAGCCCTTCTACAAGTGAGGTATCAGCTTGCAGAAAAGTCGCCGCTCCTGTCCAGTGCGCAAGCTTCCTCCAGCTGTATTTACTCCTCCAGGGTCCATCCAAAGCCTCTGCCACACCAAGTATTTATGGAGTTATGACCCCGTCCCTCACCTTACTCCTCTGTGATGCAGAAACACGTAGGTACGCCCATAACGTCGAGGGATAACCCGGAATTTCCAGTGGATGAAATGTGTTAAAATTTGTCAAAAAAAAAAATGAACAGAGAGGAGCTAGACTCGTGCTCCCACTCGCATTTTTCTTTCCCCCCCCCCCCTCACCCATTGAGAGAGTGCGTTGGGGCTAGTTGCCCTCTGAGCCCATCCCACACTCAACTTTTGTTTTTGCATCCACCTCTAGCGGAGGCAATAAACTTCAGGCCAGTCCCATGATGAATGTGGCTGCTCAGGAGTGTAAAAGGAGACACTTGAAATCCGAGAGCCCGTCTTAACGAGTGAAAGAATAATGACAGAGCCTTTTAATCACCTCAACTTATTGAAGTCCACGTGTTTATGGGAGAGGGCTCCAGCTGCAGTCACCACCAACAACAAGGATCCTGTTTTCATACTGCATGGGCTTATGACCCACTGGGATGCTATGCAATATTATTTTATTAAATGCACCAACAAACAAGTGGGCCAACTTCTAATGTGCTACACTAAAAATGATCCCATGTAGGAGCAGATCATGGAAGAGATCAAAATAACACAAAAACAAATTCAATATTAATACAGTATAGAAAAGTATAAGTTAAGTTGACACAAGAAGCCCAGAAAGTACCGTTCTCGGAGGAGCACTAAGTAAACCACATGTTGAAGTTAAATTGCTGGGATAATTAAAAACATAAATACTCAGAGGTTTCCATGTGATGGGTGGCTGCTGTCCAAAATGAAAAAAGGAAGAGTCTCTTTCAGGTAGTACAACTCCTCGATATGCTGGGATGTTACCACATAGCGCCATCTAGTGTACAAATAACGTAAATTGCTATTTCTGAAGTTCCACACACACACACACACACACACATTCTACGTTTGCGCTTGTATTGACGTTACAGTGCTGTGTCCTTAGAGAAGGACCCAGGTGATGATCTTTTTTTTCTTTCCACGCTACATCCTTTTTGGTGCTGCAGTAAAATGTAAAAGTTCACAGCTCACAAAAAACAAAGAACAAGTGGGTTTTTTTAAATCGAGGAGAAAGATTCGATCGATGATGTGATGAACTCCTGTAATAACCCTGAAACTTAAAGCCCAAAGCACAGACCAAACTACGTTCACAAATCATTAAGATATTTTAATTCTAGTAAAACAAAGAGAGAAAGATTCATACAAAAGTCACCTTTTAACAAAATAATAAAATTACAAAAGCTGTTTAAGACATGTCACGGCTGAAATACACAGTTATGACTCTTTTATAAATAACATAAAATACCTGCTACAGTAATGAAAGGAAAGCCTTGAGAACATAAATGACATATTTCAAAGTGAAATCTCAGCATGTTCTTAGACAGTGAAACTTTAAACATGTTGCTTCCTACTTGAAGTAAAATGGTATGTGATTGAATGATTGTGATAGGAGGGAAAGTATTCATTTATCTTGGGTGATACACAATATTATCTGTTTTAAAATGTTTTCATAAGAGTTAAGAGCTTAACAGTCAAACTAAATGCTTCAGGAACAGGCTTACAGCAGGTCACAATCAGCTACAGGAAATCACAGTCTTTCACACATCATTTATCGTGAAACAATTCATTCAACATTTCATTTATAGATAATAGAATGTGTGTGTGTTTTTAACAGAAGATATAGCACTAATCCAATGTGAGGGGGAAATTTAGAGAGTGACATGCAATGAAGCAACACCACGGGGCAATATGGGAAAATGCACCAGCCACACTGCCCAGAGAGAGATCCAGACACACATGAAGTACATGAGTACGAGGTGCTCAGATGAGAGGTATTAAATGGAGCATAGTATTAATTATCGTAGCACCATTAAAACCTCAAAGCATGTCCAAAGACGTGTGAATAATGATACAAAATACAAACATAGTAAAATGTGATAGGATCTAGTTCTGTTGACTGTCTAAGATCACATAATTGGTGATAGAGGAGGTCCGTTTTGTTTCCACGACAGAGCGAGACTGTAAAGATGAGATCTTCCTGAGAATGTCCGTTTGTTCCAGATCAGCTCTAGACTGGTGCCTGCAGTGACGCTCCACTACGTCAATAGTTTGGCCCTTTGCTGTAAGGATCCCGCCTCATAATCCTACTGTAGCACATGGATGGATCACACACCCCAGGCTGACCAGGGATGCCAGGATTACCACTTTTACCCTCTGCTCCGTTTAGACCAGGGGGTCCAGGCCTACCTGTAGGACCTGGCTTACTGTACCCTTGGGGACCCATAGGACCTGTTGAGATAAAAGCCATGATCAGTTCAAAGGAACGGTCCACAGCACTGAAAGGATTAAGTCTTTGTTTAACGAATCCCAGCAAATTAGCTTCATGGCTTTGTGAATGATTTGTGAAACTGAATAACTAGCCACATGATTTACCAGGTGGCCCCTGGTCTCCAATGGTGGTCCGGCCAGGGATCCCCTTCTCACCCATGAAACCTGGTTCTCCTGCAATCACAAGTGTACCTGATTGACCATCCTGCAAAACAGCTTTAATAACATACTGCAGACTTTGACGTTGGTTTTACCTTTCAGCCCATTAATACCAGGGTGCCCTGGCCGACCAGGGCGGCCCGGCTGTCCCCTGGATCCACCAAGTCCAGGAGGACCCCTGAGTCCCTGGAGCCCAGTTGGACCTGGAGGACCAGGAGATCCAGGCCGGCTTTGACACGTGGTACAGCTACTCTGCTGGTTGCTCAGCAACAATAAATGCAGCTCAGCTAGGATGATTGACAGTACAATTATTTCAGATGTGTGGTGAAATAACAAAGAAACTCATCATCAGTCTGTAAAGATACTCACACTGAAGCATATCTCTGCAGATCTGCCGAATGTGACTGTCCGCCACTTGACTGGTCTGGAATAAAAATGATGGATCTTATAGATCTGTCCATTCCACTATGTTAGTCAATATCAGATCTATCATATTAAAAAACAGTAACATTAGCACAATGTGTAGCACATACAGGTCTTCCTTCAGGTCCAGGTGGGCCAGGTAGACCACTGTCCCCCTGCAGCCCTCTGGGGCCAGGTGGGCCTGACTGACCCGACTGTCCGGGCCTACCCATTTGTCCCTCTTGACCTCTCTGCCCCGCATCCCCTGCTGTTCCTTTCTGGCAAAAAATACCAGCCCAGGGTTAACCATAGACACAACAATTCAGGTTGGATAGAGGTACAGTTATTAAAGCATTCAGTTTGGCATACCTCTCCGTTTAGTCCAATTTGACCAGTGGAGCCCTGTCAATGAAAGTCAGGATAAGTCTTTAAAAATAGGAAGCACATACCATCAACAAGGTTGCACAACCCTCAACGTTTGTTTTATTGTAATAACAGAAGATCTGCGTCTAGACTGGTATTAAAATGCTCAGAGACAGACAATCTTGTGGAATTTTAGAGTACGCCTAAGTCTTGGAAATATGAGGGTTTAATATGAATGAAAATGTGAAGCCAGACTCATGACCAATGAGTGGGTGTAAAGCGGTTGTAGCACCATCTATAGGCTAAATAGCATCAGATGTTGCAGTATCACTCTGATATGTGCCTATCATGTAGATTGAGACCATGCCTTCAAGAATTTGACATAGTCATAGTTAAAGGATCAGACTTACAGAGTCATACAAATAAATATATGATGTATAAAAATAAGTACCAAACATGGTTTGGATGAGAAGTTGTGCAAAAAGTAAAAATATAAAATCCCTGTACACATAAGTGGGTATGGCCTATATGGATCAGACTTGTATTGCAACTATGATATGTTGCTAAACTTCATAGTTCAGGAGTTATGAATGAAGATTTAAAGGGCTTAACAAATGGCCACATGGAGGCGCTATCCTCATTTAAATCTATACAACAGTTTTTAGCGTTCCTGCTATCTAACAGAGAAACAGACATGGACCATTCATGAGGGGAGTAGTTCATATATTAAGTTGCACAACAGTAAAATATCTTACAAAATATTTTGATTTGATGATTCGATTTTTTTATTTTAATTGTGTATTGTTTGCACTACTTGTGTCCATTTATTGAAAGTCTTCATCAAACAGCAGAGCTGATCAAAGAAACTCACGTGTTCCCCTTGCCGACCGTGCTCTCCTTTTTCACCTTTCATTCCCTGTTGAGAAAATGACTATAGATCAACGTCACAAAAGCATCTGAAATCCTTTGTTTCAAGCACCGGTCGTTGCTGTACGTGCAGCATATAGTACTACCATAGAGAGTACTTCAGGTTAAAACATAACGTGATAGTGTGTTTTAAAGGCGTCACATTACTCATTCGATTTAATTACATAAATATGAACACACTTCATTGTTGCATTCCAGAGTTTATTTTGCTGTCATGACATGAAATTGATCCAGTTAAGCATAATGGAGAAAACCATGATGGAAGTCAGTAGAGCGCCAAATATCCAGTTATACTTCCAAAACACACATGATTGTTTTCCAAACCCATAATCAATCTTGAAGTTTAATTAAGGAGAATATATCCATCAACTAAAAGAGATACGCCTTACAACAATTACTGAATAAGTTCCACACTGATTTTAATAACACAGATCACTGGTAGTCATTTGGTCCAATTTCTTTTGGACCAAAGTCTTAATACAGCACCCAATGATGATAAATTGCACTTACTTTTATTTAAAGCTTATAATGTCCTCTTAACCTCTCAATTCCAGTTATTATTTTAGATTAAAGTTACAGAGGTCAACATGATCTGCTTGTGTCACTAGATAAGCGTTGATGACAGTGTAGGTTTTGTCTCCAATCTTACCGTCTCTCCTCTTTCAGCGGGATTTCCTCTTTGTCCCTGACAAAAAAATAAATAAGACATGGATTATAACTTAATACGTTACATTTAGTGGGAGGGAAACAAACACAAGTATCAAATGGTTTACAGAAAAATCCCAGTGAAGACTTTGCATATCTGGCTTATAAATGTCCAAAAATAACGTGGTGATGACATTGCTGAGAAAGACTACGTCAGTTCTTGCCTAAGCAAACTGATTGTGCTGTACGTTTTTTTAAACTTTTTTTCCAGGTATGGAAGTTAATTCATTCTTACAACTGGAATTTCAGGCGAACTAATGCACATTCATGGTATGTTCGACCAGGCTGGGTTAACATTTACCACTAAACAACTACAAATTATGAATTTTCAACCTGAAAAGAAAGGGGGAGAGACGGCAGCGTCACAACATTGGCAGAACAAAATGTAAGATACCTTGCTTCCCTTCAGGCCTGGCATGCCTGTGTGCCCCGGCTGACCTGCTCTCCCTGGTTCTCCTCCACTCCCCTTCAAAAGTATTCAGTTTAACACCAATCATTATACAGAGCAGTCTTTATTTACATACTCTAGGACATAAAACTTCCAAAAATGCTTATTGACATTGTGGATAAAAACATGTTCAGACATGAAGCCACCTGGTTCATATTAGAATCTTTAAATTGAAACATACCGCAGGCCCTGGTGTTCCTTGTATACCCGGACTTCCACTTTCAGCTTTGTTCCCCTTGATTAAGAAATAAAACATGTCTTATGTTACAGAAAACAATGCAATAGCATCCAAACAGCATCATATCACTAACTGCTTGACTGCAACTAGTATTTTTACTCCCTTATTATAATTCATTTTCATTGACTCGTGCAGAAGTTTTAGCATACTTTCACAAGGTTTTGGTGCAGCTAGACGTTTAATTATGTCCAATCGTTCTTTTCCAGTTGAACAAGCCTTGGTAATTGCAGTCTGAAGGTCAGCCATAAAATCAAAAGTATTGCCTGCCTCTTCATAAACTAGCTTTTCACTTGTGTGCCATTTACCAATACCGACTGGCTTGTTAAAGGGTGATCAGCTAATGAAATGTGATTAGGAGACAGAGCGTCCAGACCAAACAAGCCAGGCTGCTTACATATTCACTAAAATTCCACTGACGAAAGCAGGAGGGCGAGATCATCCCTTAATTTAGCACCGCCAGTGTGGCCAAGAGATCGTTACTTGTGCTAAAGTGTATTTTAGAAAAACAGGGACCAAACAAAACATGCAATGCTGCTGACCTATGCAGCTCTGTATGTCTTTCAATCAACTCGTTGGTTAGAAAGCTTCAAAGATTTAACCTTTTACAAACTGAAGACACTGTGCACACTGCATGACATAGAGCTTGGGAATGTTACATCATATCAAGCCACTCTGAACCCATGTACTTGTTGGCAGATGTTGCACCTTTTGTGCTTGGACTCGACTTGAATCACAACAAGGCTCGGCCTGCAGCTTGTCGGTTGCTAATGCCAGCTTGTGTGGATTGATCTGCAGTATTGACTTTTCTGGGTCACAGGTTGAGCCAGTGCACTCACAGCCCCAGGGATGCAGCAGGGGATAAACTCACATTATATTTAGTGCACAGTCTATCCATTTTAAATACTTTATTAAATCTTTTTGATGACTGTCACTAAGACGAAAATCTGTTGTTATTTCCGCACTCTTCATCGTAGCTTTGCCTCACTGACATCATAGCTGTCTGAAGAAGCTCAAAAGGCATTACCTTGGGTCCAATTGATCCTTTTAAACCAGGTGCACCAGGTAAACCCATTTCACCCTGCAGGAGGGGGAAGAAATAGTTTTTGGAAACTCTTTAGATTCAATATTAACACAAACAAACAGTCTATAACAGCTGTTAACTTACAGATGGTCCAGTTGATCCTGTGAAGCCTCTGGATCCAGGCAAACCAGCTTCCCCCTTAAATCATGTCAGTCAAACGTGATCACAAAGAATGATACAAAAAACATTGATCAGTTTATTTTGCGCATACATTAGGAACAGGAGCTCACCTTTTGTCCATTCAGGCCTGCAATTCCTGGCAATCCAGGCATACCCTGGGAGCAAGGAAACACAGCATACTGTATTACAGATCAATATGTTCAAGAACACCAAAAAAGAAGAAAAAAACATTTCTAATGGGTCTGTTGTCTGACACATTTTACTAAAACTGCATGTGTTCAAATGCAGTGTTTCTGAACTGATAATAAAACCAGCATGAATGACTACATGTTCCAGTTTACGTCCTTTTAAAGTGAAATAATTATTTCATTGTGTCAGCAACAGAAGTATCCAACTGCTCAATAAAAGGAACTGATTGAACTGACATGTTGCACCAAGAAATGTTACATGGCTAGTTGTACTAGAGAAACATGGTTTTGGGCTTTTTGAAGGAATATTTAATTTAATTTCCTTCTTCAAACAGACGCGGTCTGTGCAGCAGACAAGTGTACAATCTTTGGATGAATCCTTTGTGCTACACTTGACTTGTTTTCCTTGCTGATAAATGCAATACTGTACTAAAGAAAGTAGTTGCTATTTAAATTGCACGTAGGAAAAAGAGGGAAAGTAGTTTCAAATTTACAAATAAATGGTTTTAATACATTGCAAGTTGATGTGGTTCAACACATGCAGCAAAACTACCCTGGAAAGCCCTCTTTAGTTTTTTGTTTTGCCGTTACCTTCCTGTGAGATAAATGCATGCAGATGCTCAGTGTTTGCCTCAAACTGAAGTTTAAGTAGCATATGTTCTTAATGATGGATTTGACTGGCAGGCAGAGAGACAGAATACATAGTTAGAGCCACCCAGACACTCACACTCTACCTATAGGAGAAGAAATCCCCGTCTTCGGGGCCGACATTGAAGCGCTAACTGCATCGTGTTTTAACTTGAGGAAGTATGGTATTAATCCTGGCTCCTTGGATACATCGCTAACTCTATTGTTCTGGTGGGGGAAAATGGCTTACAGCCTTGTGGAGCAACTGACTCATCTTTTGTAGACTCATCACAAAGTTTTGGACAACACTTATAATCATGATCAGTGGGGTGGCTGCCCAGTTGAAACACTTTCTTCCTAAAACAGATTTGCGAGAGCGCCACAGAATTCCCTCGCTGAGTTACTTTTACTGCCTTAGATTATAGCATGAGCCTGCAGGTTACATAACAGGGTTATCCTGGGATGAACTTCAGGGGAAATACCCCTAATTTACTGGCTGTCAGGGGTATTCTCTGTACTGCTGACAGTACGTTAACACACACAACAGTAAAACATGTGCATGCAAGTCTGAGTAATCCATAAAACCAGTACAGTATTTGCCTATTGTTATCTTCTGTCATTATAATGTGATGTCAGCTACAACTTGTAGATTGCCACATAAATGAAGCTCCCCTTTTCTTTCCGTCCAAGCTGAACTCAATAAGAGATATATTTCATATTTCATTCATGCGTATTTTGCATAACATCCTCAACTGCTAAGAGTGCAAGTAAAGATCAAGCTCAAACAACCTACAAAATCCCAAACATGCACAATGAGTGATGTCTGTGTTTACAACTCACAGGATGGCCTTCCCTTCCATCAACACCAGGAATGCCACTGTCCCCGGCTTCTCCCTTTATACATCAGAGAAACAAAAGCATCATTAATCATTGCCTTGTCTTGATAGATTCCTATCTAAATGATGTGTACAAAAGTTGTCAAATGTGGTTTCGGAAAAGACAAGGGAGACACCAGCACCGTATGACTGCATTCCCATGGTTGCCAAACATAAACAAACCCTTTGGAGCAGCAATTCCTTTTAAAAATCGTCAGGCTTAGCCAACCCCATGCCTCTATTATTCTCCTAATCCCTGAATGAGCTTTGTAAGATACTATTTTGCACTGTCGAAACAAACAAACCTTTTGACCAGGTCTTCCAGGAAATCCAACATTTCCATTTCTCCCATTTAGGCCCTGAAACCAGAGTACAGGGTTTTTACAAAGGGTTATAATGGCACATAAGCTCTGATTTGATGATGAAATGTTTTATACATACTGGGTCTCCTGGATAACCTGGTGGCCCAGGAGGTCCCACATTTCCATTTTCTCCCTGGAAACACCATGCCACCCAGTTAAGATTGATATATTTCTTGTGTAATTTTCAGCAGCCATTAGATTTGTCCGCATCCTTACCGCTTGACCGGCTTTCCCCGGTAACCCTGCAATTCCTGTGGATCCTATTGAGCCCTGAGAAAAGACAATATATGTTAGAGCACTTCATAGACCCATTGTGACGTTTACATGGTCACAAATGTGCAGTGAGTAATTGTCTTGTTTTTTGTGGGCTTGACAATGAATTCAGCAACTAGTTGGACTGAAACTTAAAGTAGTGACTTTTTTCACTGCGCCATTCAGGCATTTTAAAAATTGCACAAAGAGCTATGACAAAGGGATTTGTGCCACAGACTGGAAGAGCTGCAGCCGGGGCAGTAAATGCACAATCATGGAAGCCAACTGGTAGTTTTTGCGCGTTATTTGTCTTTATGCTGCTGGAAGCGTCACTGTTTTTTGGGGGATTGTGTTGCAAATGCTAGGCAGTACCCCTTTGTGTGACGACATGGAGCATAGACATGGACAGCTGCTCGCAGTGTAAGCAATGACTGGTTTGCATCTCAGGTGTGCAGGGAAGTTGTGATAAGGAGCTTTCGCTCACTCCCCCAGCTGAGCTACGGGTTTCCTACTGCTCTGATTTCTGTCAAGATGAATGTAGTTACAGTGTTAATGAACTACAGGGATTGTTATCACAGGCTGGATGGCCACATAATTCGCAATAAAATGTCTCTTCAACGGTGATTGATGACTGTGGTCATGAACAAGTATCGCAGACTGTGAATACACAAACATATCCAATTTTTTTGGCAAAGTATCTAATACTTCTTCCTCTTTTGTCCTTGAAGTATGTACTGCTGTCTTAATTTAGCAGACATCTCATGTTTCCGTTCACTAGATCCTATGCCAGGAAAATGAAACTACACCCTTGGGTGGTCTTACAATATGGGAACAATTTGGAAAGGTAGATGTAAATGCGTTTACATCCATAGAAAATCGTATACTCTACAAAATTAGGATTCCCTCTAACTTGAAGAGAAGCTTGAGAGGCTGGTTGAATACCTCTCGGTCTGCAGAGATTGTTCTGCGGTGCTTGGAGCACATTTAGTTTCCCCAGAGTGCAACCATCTCTTGGCCCAGACATAAAGTGTCTTTAGTTACCCAGACCAAAACTTGTGGATGTTTTCACTTGGCCTCTAGGAAAATTGATTTTAAGATGAATGCCAAATGGCTGGAGTTTGAATTGTGGAGGAGCCAAAGGTATCTGAGCTCTTTAGTGTTTCTTAGAAAGAGGGATGCTTTATGTATTTGTAGCCACGGTAGCACTATGGCTCTATGACGACAATGTTGGTTGGTCAGTCCCAGTAAATTAATTACTAATTATTGTGTCATTCTTACCCCGTTTGGTGAGACCGAGCTGGGTAAACATGTTAGCATTGCCATTGTGAGCATGTTAGCATGTTGACGTTAGTATTTAGCTCAAAGCACCACTGTAACTAAGTTTAACTTCAGAGAGAAAATATGTACACTCTCATCTACAGTACTGTAGTCTTTAAATCAAGATTGAAGACTTTTCTGTTTGCTGCTGCCTTTAATTGAACCATATTCAAGGATATTAATCAATTTCCTGCATTGCTGCGTCTTCCACTGCTTTTTAGTGTTTTAATGACTGTTTTTAATGTTTCAATGAATGTTCTTAATTGTTTTGAAATGCCTTATGTTTTGGTGCTTTTAATGGTTTTATGTGAAGCACTTTGAATTACCTTGTTGTTGAAATATGCGATACAAATAAACTTGCCTTGCCTGCTGTATATTTTCCAGTTTGTATAACCTATTCAAAACAGAGCTTTTCCAAACTCTTTAACATGTTTAGCAGCTGTCCTTCTTTGACATGTAAGAAGTGATGGAAATTCCCGAGCAGTGAACCCCGTCTAGATGCTCATCTCATCATTCAGGATGCCGAGGACCATTACACTAATTAGATGTCTAATTATGGGGTTTTAAAAGAGCACTTTCACAGACCAGTAAAAGCCATGATCCTTTCATCTTGTAAGCATTACTCGAAATAAGATCAAAAAAAGACACAGTAAATCCAGACGTTCTTCAGCAGTGCAGTCCCCAGTTGTGCTCTCTCTCTCTCTTTTGTGTGTGGCCAAAAATCAAAGTATTGCACTTATTAATCAAAGTGTGTTGAAGAAGACTGTCCAAAACACTAGACAGAACTTAATTTGATACATCCTGGACCTGTGAGTGAATCTCTATTGTGACAGATGGTACGGGAGTTTTCGCTCCAGGTGCAAACAGCTGAGACCATTTTTTTAAATGACGTTAACGGCTTGAATTGTTTTCCATTTCAGCCACCTGGCAGTGACCCCTGTGGTCACACTGATTACAAGGTAGGACGATATGACAGAGCTGATGCATTACCTCATTGATCCTCAAAATAATGCTAAACGCTAAATGTTCACTGTGATCAGACGAATAAAATAGTTCTGGATAAAGCTGTAGGACTGTCGAGCTTCTTCTACAGTCTGCTGTGACTGTGGTCGAGGCCTTTAAAGTACCCGTTGAGCACAAACTGCTGGATCATTTGCTTGCTTTTATCTGACAGACCCTTTGTATGGATTATTGCATCAATTTCTCACTTTATGTTTGGACTGCTTGTGGCAGCGAACACATTTCACCTCGCAGGTGCTTTCCCCCCGTGGCTCATATGCTTTTGTCTTCTACACATTGGTATAGATCATGACAGCTGCTGGGAACATGCAGCATCAACTGCACATAATGTTTTCCAGGCTGTGCGACTGAACAGCGGGAGAGGCAGTTGTCCAGCCGAGGCATAGTCTGCCTCTAGTGTATTGATTTCTTAACATCTTGATACTTTGAATGGGCTTTGAGGCTCAGAGATTGTCTCCTTAGACTTGAATGTGAAAGGTATTTAGCAGGTTTGATAAAGGAAGATTCATTGACATTTAGCTTTTTTCATATTTGTACTTGTGTAAAGGGTGGTGGGCTTTGAAGCCAGGTTGGTCACACATAAGGTTTTACTTCTAACTATTCCTCTCTGTGGTCATATGATCTGTTTTTTTAGTCTTGGGTTTTCTCTCTTCATATCTTCCTTGCATCTCTGCCTCGGGTCTTACAGTAATTGGGAGGCTAAGGAGCAAGAAGGAGATGCAACTGAGGGGGACAAAAACAAGGCAACACGAGATACAAGATACTGGCTCTCTAAAAACAGTGTGTTGTGTGTTGTTTGAGCTTTCGAAGGAAAGGCCAGAACAAAAGTCAGGAAATATGAACACATTTAAAAAGTCTCTGATGCCCGTCATGCTGACTCTGCAACATGCTCTTGTCAGACAGTTTAGATGTTGCATTTTTTTTTACTCTCCCAGGGGATCTGGCTTTATATTCATAACACATGGTTCCTAGAGTGATTGATGTGATGGTGTTCAAACGGTTCAGGTTAATGTCTCTAGCAGGGATTTCCTGTCAATCCTACATTTGATCTCATTAAAAGATGATTTACCTTGACAATTCAAAGTGTGGTTTTTTTACGTTTTTTTTCTTCTTTTTTTTCATAATTTTTACTCACTTCTCATGCTTAAATTAGATTTAAAAAAAATAATGTTCACCAATATCTGGATAGAGTATTATCAAGTATTTAATAATTAACATCACCACCTTCTCTGCTGGTTTTCCAGGCGATCCTGGTAATCCAGGCGCACCTCTCTCACCCTGAAAGAACAGACTTGTTACAAAACTGTTCTTTGGTGGTCACAAATCAGTGCAACAGCATGGTAATGAAACCATTTTGGTCCCCATTTGTGCTTTTTGACCTTCCTACCAAAACACCAGGCCTCCCTGGCTCGCCTTTGTATCCAACTGACCCACGTGGACCCTGACGGGGGAAAAAAAGGAAACAGCTTTAAATTCTCTGTTCGAGATGCTGATTTTAATGTTAAGGTAAATCAACTGAATTTTTCTTTACCTCTACTCCTGGTGGACCTGGCAGCCCTGGACTTGCTCTAATGCCAGGGATACCCTTATAATTAAAAAAAGATGAGAGGTACACACATTTGGTTAAACATTTGAACCCCCTCAACTGTGTGCATGATCTCTAAATGAGTCCAGGCTGCACGGTGAGTTTTTGATCATGTGGTAGAACATGAGGTTTACTTTTGGATGTTTTTCATCAGCCAAATCACAACTGTGCTGCCACCAGTGGTATAATAAGACGTTTTTCTATTTATCCATTGGAAAAATGAGTAAATAAGTATACAGTATTTACCACTGAAGCGGTTCTGACCACATTGAATTAACAAGCAGCAACTGTCATGACTTAATGGGTACATTAACTCAATTGCTTCTGGTCTTTTCTCAGATGCGGTTGTGGATGCTGCTGTGACAGTGTTGTTGGCAATTAAGATCTGTATATTTGTATATTGAACTATGTAGTACTCACAGGCTTACCATCAGCACCAGCAGGTCCAGGCTGACCAGGTTTGCCGGTGTTTCCTTGGTCTCCCTAAAGAAAGTGAAAAGAGCTGATTTAATGATGTGTTACTAAACAAGTTCTTTGTACGTCTTCATCCATCATGCAACCTCAAAGCAGCATAAATGAATCCATAGAGAGTAGGGAGTGTTGATTTAGTGCATCCTGCTGAGTTAGTTTATCGAATGTACTGTAAGATGTTCTTGGACACTGTGGGGTTATAAGGAACATCTGCAGCCTTCAATGGTCCCAGCATTTTGGATCTATTAGTAAATGTAGTAAAAGAATAGCTGTGATGTTATGAACCCAAACGTGCCTGAACCCATGTAGGTTTTATTAACAAAGAGTCTTGTTGCTACAGCAATAGCTCTCGCAGGTCTTATGCCCAGGTTTATGACCTGGGCTGCTGTTATTTTGTTGATACCCCATGATCAATAAAAAGAGAAAATGTAGGTTTTTAATCCTTATTTTGGTCATTTTCTACTCTAACCAGTGTTTATCTTAAACAGTGGTCTGGTTAGCTTCAAGCCAACAGTACATTACAGCAGGATCTTACAAGGCTAACCATACTGTAGCTTCCTCACAACGGCAAGCTGCAATTTGCCCAACAGGACAAAAGGGGCTATTTGGTGCGTCCATAATTTGTAGTTTTCAGCAGATAACTGTGTATTTAAGAGATTAAGGAACAAAAACCTCCCACACAGGACTGTTTCTGGCACAAAGGAAATCTGTGTTTACAGGCTGTAATGACTGTAGCTGGATTTGACCTATTGGTAAAGTGCAACCTTGTGTGCTTCTTGCTTATCCGACATCCGACATTCAGCACACAATCCCTCAAGGCTAATCTGCGAGTGCTCTGTAGAGAACAGAAGGGAGTTTATACATCAACCAAAATCGCTAATTATTCTTCTCTCATTTAATCTCAAAGGAATACCGCTGTTTAAAGTAAATATTTAACCAACTGTCTGACCACTGAGGATGTGGTTGAGCTCTGTGTTGAACAAGGAACAGACTCTATTCTCTGATATCTCACAGCGTTTTTGCATTTATTTCTGCAGGCTAATTTGGCTGGTTTTCAGTGTGGCGGTATGTGCTGAATACAAAACAATAAAATAACACAAGAGAAAGAATGAAGGATAATAGAGAGAGGCAACGTTTTCTTTAAAAACTGACCTTTATTCCTGAACGTCCAGGGGCTCCAGGAGGACAAACACAAGGTTCTGGAGTTGGTTCGGTGTAATCAGGACTGTTGGAGCACTGTAACAAACAAAGACTAGACATTGAGCGTAGATACAGAAGTATACATATTAGAGCATTTCCTTAGTCTTCTACAATCGTAAACTAATACATTTTTTGAGTTTTCGACTATTGGTTGGACATCTAGAAAATGAGCAATCGATCAATTCATGGTCTAATGTTAATGTAAATGTCACGAATCCAATACGAAAACCTGAAAACTGAATACATTACATTTTAAGAAAAATAAAAAATGTCATCACAAAGCTGCTGTGTTCTAAATCTAATCTGTATTTGACTTTGAATAAGCAGGTCTTCCTGCTACACTTTAAACTGAATATCTTTCTGGTTTTAAATCAAATTATGTGATATTTTGCCAGAAAGGCATCTGATCTTTCGCAGTGGTATACTTGGCAAGCATTTGTAATTTTACGCTACTCTTTTGATATTATCAGCCTCACATTAAAAACACTAATTTGGCACCGGCTTTGTGGTTATAGCAGTTTTAAAGCCAACATAACAATGGGCCACTGCATCACAAACACTGTTACAGCCAGCAGACAATAAAACTGTACTAAGTGCAACATGTTTGAAGCTGAGCCATGGGTCCTCCTCCAAGAAAGTGTTGGATGCATAAACAGATGTGACTTGAAATGAATATGCTGAGTTTACACTTTCACTACACAATACTACAGTACACTGAGCTGACGGGATATAAATCAAGACCTTTTTATATGCCATTCAGAATGAGGTGTGGAGTTAACTGATGGTGAAATAGTGTGTTTCAAAGCAGAAACAGATGTAGCTGAACAAGGTGAGAAGTGGGTGAGAAGAAGTTATCTTTGTTGCTTTTGGACTGAAATAAAAGTTCAGTGCCAAGCAGACTCTTGTACTTACAACTCCAGGTATTTCACACGCAGTCTCGCGGTTACTCTGCTCGGGGTCACAGTAAATGCGAAGTTTCTGGATTTCAAACTGAACAAGATTTAAAAAGAGAAGAAACTCTTGTTAAAAACACAGCCTCCACTGTTGGAGCCTCCAAACAAGCAAACAAAACATACAAGGGGATAATTTTGCAACGTTTAGTTCGGTTTTATCAGTGCTGTGCCACTAATAAATTGAAATTGATATTGTACAACTGTTAAATTGCCCTCACTCGGCATTACGCAGCTATATGTTGCCAGACCTCCCTCAGGGTTGGAAGAGTTCTGCAGCACCGTTACACTATTCTTCCATTATTTGGTATTTTGTTGATGTTGGTGGTAAAATGGCTCCAGAATGTCCCATAGACTGTTTCCCTCCAGTTACCATGTGAGCAGAGAGATGATCCCGACATATGATTTATATTATGTTCAGCTTCATGAAAACATTACTATGAGCTGGCAGTACAAATCAATGTCAAACAAAACAGTTTGCATTTTGTTGATGATAATGACTTTTTGTAGCCTATTTAGGTTTAAACACAATAAGAATGTCTGGTGTGGTCTGTTGGTTCACGCTAATTTAAAGTTGTTTAAAATTGCATTGTGGTACTTTTAGAGGTCCTATTACAACATCTGTTTCCAATTACACGTGTGTTTATCCAGACATGACACTCACAACAGTGCATTGACTCTGTTAAATGGCTTAAAACTACATGATCCCTGTAACAATGGATCAGTACACACAATTACATTCACTGCCAGGCTGCGGCTTAATATCCATAACTATAATGAAGTAAAAGTCATGAATGATTTATGTTCTTCCCTTCTTTCTTTTCTGCACAGATTTTCTGCACAGACTCTCTTCTATTCATCATCATGGTAAAAAGTATTTTTGTGTGATTAAATTATATTTATATGTCATATTTTGCTTATATTATGATCTACAGCGAGTTGTACTCAGGATTTTAGTATAATACAATGTCTGCATTATTTACATTATTTTAAGTATCTAATTTCATTCACCACCATTGTGGCCACAAATGCATCAATGACAAACACGCCTTATTGCTCACATATGTCTGAGGTATTATATATTGTCCAATTTCTGCTATTTTTTCATAATAAAAAAGTGTAACATCATATTAACAATTAGAATAAAAGGATGTATTGTGCAAAACACAGTTATTATTCTTTTCCATATCGTTATCGTTACATTAACATGATGCACTATATAGCCTTCTGTCGAGCAAATTACAACACAGGATAATTATGATTTATTGCAAATGCTTGGCACGAAATGTAGCAATTGAGACAAATAAAACAAAGATTAATAAGAGCTAGTGGACAAAAAGGCTAATTTTTGCCAATGATTTATTATCCACAGAGTAGAGCATGTCTCTCAGGAGACAGCAATAAACTGTGTGATGCTGTTTAAAACATATATCAGTGCTGAGTTTGCTCAACAACTCATTAAAGAAACGGTTCCCTCTTTCTAGAGTCAAGTTGCCGTACTTATGAATTAGTTTTCTGGGAACCAAACGTGTATTTTGTGAAAATTGGGTTCTTGATGTCAATAAACTTACTGGCACTGTTGTTTCCTTTCGGACATATTTTCCAACTTGGGTTTTGCCGTTGATGAAAATACCGACAGGGGGCTCCAAGGGTCGGGTTTCAATCTCCAGGTCATCGACATAAAGAGTAACATCCTCCTCAGTGACCAGCAGCCGCAGCTGGTGCCATTTCTCATCAAACAGCTTCTGTTGTCATAGAAAACCAACAGGAAAAACATGGTTAATATTATGGTACGTGCTTGGATGTGTGCTGATGAAGACATTCAAAAAAACCAATCTGCCCCCTGCAGGAAGCGTTTACATTGCTGTAATTGTTGTTCATAGCAGAAAGCAAAGGAACTCAGTTACTCATTAGGGCATTTTGATGTGTTAAGACCCGGACAATACAAATTAGTCATGGTTAAGAAGAATTCATTCAAATAATTGTGGCATTTTAAACCTTTCTCGAGCTCAGACTCATTTGGTAATATTATGAAGGCACATTGTGATTGTGAAGATTAATATCTCGGAAACACAACACACAGTTTCCAAATAAAGACTGTTTGTTTTTGCAGTTTCTGAACAAATTGCAATTGAGATAATCGTCTGTCTATCTCTCGAAAATAGTTAAATGATATGTGCTACTTCTTCAAAGGCAAGTTTTTAATCTGTTTATCATAGAGATGTCCATTAGCCTCTGTAAAAGTTGAATAGGCTACCAACACTCTAAAGGCTCATACCAGCTGTCTAGATATGTGAATAGGAGGATTAGGATTGATTGGTTACATAACAGGTATTATGTGTGGCTAAAAGAAAGTGCCTAAACCTTTGGGGGTGCATCGTTTAAAACAGTGTGTTGATACAATGAAGAGAATACCCTTTGAATACCATTGATTACCTGTATGAGTGTGCTTTCTCTTGGACAAGCTACAAGCATTTATATTCTGAATTTATAGCATAAATGAATCAATCAGACCCTTAGAGAGGTAATCCAGCAATTTAACTTTGCAACTACATAAAGATGGGAGACTCACAAGAGACAGGTTAAATTAAGAATGGTTGAAATCGACGCGACAAAGGCCAAAATATCCTACTTTTTAATTTCTAGTGAAAAAGGATGGATAGTACATTTGCCATAATGCTTACTTAGTGTGTCTCTTTGTGTGACCATCTATGTTTCGTAAACACCCACATCGTAGTTTTCTCAGGCTTGGAAAAGCTCCTACACAGCCGAAGAAGGCTAAATACAACTGTGTAGCTTAATACTCTCTTTGAAAAGTGTACTGATCGTAATGTGTAAACTCAGTGGAGGGCCCTTCTAAGATTGTTTCAAAGAAATAAAACACACTGTTAACGTACCCTTGCTGTTTGCTGTGCAAATGTAACCGTTTGAGTTCCACTAGATGCCTCACTGGTTGTGGTGAACTTGACGGTGCTCTCCACTCCATTTAGAGTGACCGCCATCTGAGGTTTCCCATCACGCGTCTGTATTCTCCACACGTCCCACTCCTCTATCACCACTGATCCTTTATACCTCAGCGTGGCCACAAAAACATATGACGGAGGCAGGCCATCAGGAAAAAGGGTCCTGGATGACCAAATATACAAGTCAGTCAAGTTGTGAACACACTGGTAAAGATGAAGAAAGAATAAAAGCAAGGCGATTACCGGGTAGCTTCACTCAAGTCGAGACGAGATGTCACCTCATAGGCCTTAGTGCCATAATATGTCCCTTGTATCTTCTTTGCTTTTTTAGCCAAATTTAAATGTAACAGAATATCAAAACCCTTCTCATCGCGGGAATCTATGGGAATTCTTGCTGGACAAACAGTCTCTGCAACAGACAAACACAGTTAATTGGAAAGATAAACAAACATAGGTACAAGTGGAGAACAATGGAGGGACGGACAAATGGATTAGGTGAAGAGATACCACTCAAGCAATATTTGACCTCATAGTATTTCAGCAGAACAACACTTTCAGCTCCAGACACTGATCAGCAGTTGCTTACCTTCACAGAGTTTCTGTCGTATGACCTGTATGATCCTGGAAATGCCTTTGTAGTCCTCAACAGAGAAGACATACGTTGAAAATGGCTTGTTTGCAATGTCTTGCAACTGGGACACTTCTGTCTCTGGCCCAACACCGATTGCAAACAGAATTATTCCTTTTTTCCGCGCTGCCTCGGCCGCTTTCAAAACATCATCTTGAGACTTCCCGTCTGTGAGGACAACAGCAATTCTGGAAATGCCTGACGGGCCGCGCTCGGACAGGCCAAACAGTTTGTCTGTTGCAAACTCAATGGCTGTCCCTGTGTTAGTGTTTCCCCCCATGTACTCAATGGACTCCATCGCTTTGATGAGGTCTTTGGTAGAGAAATGCTTCCCCAGAGGTATTTCTAAAACGGGTTCACTGCTGTATTGGACGACTCCAGCCTGGGTAAACTTCTGTCCAATATTGAAGCTTGTTGTTATGTTGACAAGCCAACGCTTTACTATTTCAAAATTGACATCTTCAACACTCCACGAGCCGTCTAGAATAAAGACCAAATCACATGGTGCGGTCCTACAACCTGAAGCAGACAGGAAATAAACAGTCAGCAGTTTAAAATGATGTTTGATTAAAAAACATTAAAATCTAGTTTGGTGGAATTTACAGTACATGAAATCACCTTTGCCAGTTTTTAATGTGTGGACAACAAGCATAACAAAGTGTGAGACAATGAAGACAGAAGCATTCTTACTTCTTATGTCTTCATCTTGAGCTGCACTAAACAAATGGAGAAGCATGAAGCACAGGCATCTTAAGACACAATGCATGGATGTTGCTCTGTAACCCATTATGCAGCTGTACCAAGTTCCAATTGTGCACCTACAGGGAAAAGGGAAAAGGAAAAACATGCTTTGTATTGCAGAGAAAAAGAAAAAGGACAATGCAAGCATTTGAGACGGTTAATTCCTCAGACGTTTTTTCCATTATCGAGATGTTTGGCTGCCATTTATTCTGGCCCATCCCCTCTCCATAGACTTCAATCACAAAACTATCCCACTCATTGTATTAATTATGAATTTATTCTCAAACAATAAATTATTCAAGCATTGTATATACATGCAAAAAAGCCGCATTTGTGCATTGAGGTAAAGTTGACCCTAAATGTTATATGAAAGTGATCTGATTAAGCTTTGTATGAATGTGTATGACTCAAGCATGACAGCAGGAAGTCCATGCATACATTCACACTGTAATCATTTGTTTCATTTTCAAACATTTTGCATATTAATTTGATCGTTGCTAGTTATTTTTGGTTAGCTTTTGTGACTCAACAGTTTTATTTTACAGCAGGACAGGTTATGATTTCGATTTTTCATCAACTGAGCTGTGCATTTTGTAGAAGCCTGGCTGTCTCCAGGATAGGCATTAGTACAGAGGAGTGTGCACATACTGTATAAGCTGCCTTGGTGTAAACAATACTGTCTGCATATTGCACTTAGGTCAAGGCACAAGTGAAGCACAGATAAGCACGGTAATTCAAATCTTATTACGAAAGGTAGGGTAAAAAAAACTGAAACTAGAAGAAACGGCAGCTAAATGTCAAAATAATGGACAACACTAAACAATAAATCTAAGACAGAGAAAAATCATTTAAATACTTATGGTTTAATCAGACAAGATCTTAAAACTGCATTGTTTGATTTTTCGCCCACTTGAGGCAGTGCAACAACATTGACATATCATCACCTTATGAAGTTGATATGGCGAATGTCCATTCATATGAAGTCATTACTATTCCCTTAGGGGGTGTTAGTCCAATATTGTTAGCTCTGTTTTTGGTCTCTAGCGCCAGGGAAAGATATCTTGCTCTTTAGCTGCTAAGTGCTCCACTATGTTCACCAACTAGAGGCTAACTTCTGCTGTTTGGTGCTGAGCAGGTAGAGCGCAGTGGGTTTGTCAGAGTTAATGCTGAAATCAGCTGCAGGCAGTTGTCACTGGGGCCATCAAGTGCAAATTCAGCACTCAGCCCATGTTTGCTTTTTCGTAAGTGATATTCACTTACTACCTCCCACTGCTGCCACAGACTCTGCTGTACTACCCACAAATCCCTAATTCACTTACTTGAGCCACAAAGTTATACTCTTGAGCTCTGCATCCAACCTCCATGCGGCACGCTTCATCTTTCCAGTCCTGCTGCACAGCCACAGTACACCTAAGCATTTTCCTTTCAAGCCTCATCCACCACATCCTTACATGGCACTGCCAGCTTTACTAAATAAACAACTTACTGAACTTCTGACCACAACTGCCCTTAAACCAGTGCTCACTGTTTCCTGTGGGATTATCGGCTGTTTCCTCAAATCTGCTGCCATTTGCCAGTCTCTGCCCACCTTTGGCCAGAATACTGTACAACACGACTGCCCAGAAAAGCTTCACTCCTACACTTTACCTCCCTAATGGATAACACCATAATACCTTCCTTCAGCAGATGAAGACATTTCAACCAGTTACCATCACATGCTGCTAAAATACTTAGTTATTAAATACTTAGTTGCAAGACATTGCAAATACTTAGTTACGTGCCAAATTGCAGTTTGTCCTTAAACAGTGATTAATGTCTAAAAATGGCATGTTGCATACCTGCTGTATTTTGCATGTTTATTTCAGTTACAGCTGAACAATGATATCACTAGATGTGCAGCAAACAACATGTAGTATTATTGTGGAGTATAATAATGGTTATGTTCATGCTCATGGAATTAGAGATGAACTGAGATATGAGGAACCAGGTGAAACAATAAAAGTTGGTGTTTACATTGTGCATGTGAGCAGAGGGTAGACAGGGTTTATCCTGTGTTGTTTCTGTGTTCAATTATCTTCTACATTTTTCAGCATGTGAAAGAAAGAAACTGCTGATATCCTAAAAGGAGGGAGTTGCAAATGAAGACCAGATATGCTGCATACAGTAGAAGAAGCAGGACTAGTGGAAGGAACTTGATAGGAAGGAACTGACCATTGTCCTTATATAGCTATATCTGATTGTGAGGGTCAACAAAACAGTGGCTAGGACATGACCCCTTGGCCTCCCAAAAGCTTTTATTCCTGCGCAGCCAAAGAGGGGTCACACTCTTTAACATGACTGAATTTTTCCACCCTGTAAACTCAGGGTTGAAGTAACACAGTTGAAGGAGGCGTTTAGCTGCCATAGTTCTCTGCAAGCCGTTTTCTTCAGAATTTTCCCCCGCTAGAGAGCTGGAGGAGGTTGTTGGAAAACCCCCTCATTGGCTCCAGTCAGGATGACTTTCCCCTCGACTGACTTTCCCCAAACGAAGTGTTTCTACACCTCTGCTCGAGCCACATGGAATTGATTTACACCATCGGACAGTGAAATTCCGACTGTGGACTTTGACTAAACACATGTAATTTAGTTACAATGAAGGGAAACAACCTTCCGTCCAGGAATAAAGATGCAACATTACGCATGCTATGCTATAATGCTTAATGCATGCATAATGTAGTAGAATAAACAGGTGCACTAGTGTTGCAGGTTAGTACCAGACTCCACTGATCTCTGACGTTATTGGGGCAGCACAGACACTTTGTAGCTCAAGGTTTTGATGTTTGAATGGCAGAACTGTAACTCTGTGAATGTAACCACCACATGGCATTGATTCTAGGTTGAGCCAGTTGTTTTGTTGCAATACTTTTCAATCTCAATAAGATTCATGTGAGACTTATTCACAGTTTAGTTCCAGCTGGAAATGTCGTTCAGGAAGCTGCTGAACAAATGACTTCTCCCAATACACTAACATTTCACTTGTTTTCACATTTCCCTTTCAAGGTGGGTGACACTGAGTCATCACACATATGTTAAAAACTGTACCACAGATTTTGTGCTTAACAAGTTATACTTCCCTTCAACATTTACATTTTGACATGTAGCAGGAAACCATAACAATGTGTTTGAATTATGAAGCTCCGAGAGGAAAAAATAGATCCTTTCTATTTGTTTTGTACCTTATGTAACACATTTGCATGCTTTAACTCCCCTTGACTTGCTGAAGTTATACTTATCTGCTGCAAATTTCATTCCAGAAACAACAACTGCTGGTCTTGCTGAACAGTTGCCAAGATCAGGGGGATTTATTCCTGCCAACTTCTTCAAGCAGCAAGGAAAAGCCAAGCCCTATCCGTAGAAATCTGTTTTTGACTAATCCAAAGCTTAAATAATGTCTTGTAGAACCTCTGCTCATATAGATCTTATCGCTGCCCACTCTCAAAAGCTTTTGTTATTTGTGTATATGCTGTTCTCACATCTGTAAAAAAAAAAACTGTACGAGTACAATACATGCAATACAGTGGTGCACTGTGCAGGAGGCTTGCACAGATTCAAGAAATATGAAAGACATTTTTTTTACGAGAAGTACAATGGCCAGGAAAGAAATCTTGAGCGGATTCCATTCATTCTTTGCATGACAGTAGCACAAACAAGGGACTGATAACTGGACTTAATGTCTTCAATGTGCAACTGCGGCAGCACAGAGTCAAGGACACTAAAGTAAAAGTTGACACTGTGCAAAAACTATTACTTGAAAAATATATTAAATACACTAAAATCAGCCCAAAAAAAATCACTTTAATGATCAAAAACTGCCTCCGTAGATTCTAATACTCTGAATGTAAATGTCTATTGATAAAATAAATATGACATTTACATCGTCATGCATAAAAACACACCCAAAACCTCTAACTGCAAATGAGACATTGTTTTAAATTCTGAAATACAATAAGTTTCCAAACAAAAAGACAGAAAGTAAGCAAAAGGTTACCGGTAAGCGTCCAAGCCCTTGTGTGAGTTCCTGTTAATCCTCTCATTGAGAGCCAGTGATCAACACTGTTCACAGCCCTGGGTTTACAGAAACTGAATTTAGGGAGAAGTGCACATGTTTCTCTACTGAATGAAAGCCTGCCCTTTCCAGCAGCTCTCTGTCTCCCCCCCCCCACCCTCGCTCCGGACTTTTACTGGCCTACAGCCACCCTCAATTACCATGGGTGGAAAGAGAAGCAGATAAGGAGAGCATGCAATAGTGAAGCAGACAGCCCATCTGACAGTCCAAAAGGAAAATAATAGTAATGAGCACTGCCTCCTTCCAAGTGTTAAGTGTTTGGATCGTGTGTGGGTTGCTAGGGGCATAACCAGAGAACATGGAGTTTTCTGGATGCAGAACAAGCACCGGATCAGCCAACAAACGTTAGTATACTGAGACACAAATACTGTACTGCTCATGGTACCTTCAGCAGGTCCTCAAGTGCTCAGCAATGTATCACATTACTCCTTTTTAAATTCCACTTCATCACCCAAATGGACAGCAGATTATGTTCTTACAAGTCAGCAATGAACAAGGTGTGAAAAGCTACTGCAGTGCTGTTTCTGCACGAACAGCTGGAAGTTGTTAGAAATGCAGAACTGAAACTGCTATCTGTAGAGCAGGCGGATCTCAGTTGAATCCACTCTAACAAGTTGTATCATGTTTGTGCTCAGTGACAGCCTGCTCTGCATCGACAAAGAGCAGCCTCGGTGTTTGCAGGCTCTCTTTGTTGTTCACTACAGTGCAGTACAGGAGAGTATATAAGATTGATTTTCTCAATATTTTAAAGTCATTTTCAAAAGTAAAAAAGCAACTCATTTTGACAAGTTACGGCATCGGCAGTTTTGGGTCGTTGTTTGCTCCTGTCACAGTCCTGAACCTCTATGGAAACAGCACGAGCAGGGCTACAAGAAGAGAGAACTCAAAACTGTCTTTTGTGCAGTATAACAAAGTTACCATGCCATAAATCATAAAAAAAGGAAAAAATGCAAGTTGAATTTCTTTGATAATTCAACAAATGAACAATTAAATCTTTATCTAACATTAGTAAATAGTAATAGTAATTAGTAGGAGTAAAAAGAGGCTCTGCGTGCTATACATATTGAGCTATTAACATTTTTACAACATCTACTTGCAGCCTCTCCTGTCCTCTCATCACTGTGCTCAGCAGCATGCAGTTCTGTCGAAGATTCACGGAATTATTGTTACGTGACTGTTGGTCTCAGCCGAGTCAATCATGGCTTCAAGGACCTTCAGAAAGATGAAAATCTGATGATAGTGACGGTTATTACAGCTTCTGGCTATGATAAACAGTGTAGTTTTGAGATTGTTTAAAGAAAATGTGATTTTCTATCCCGCTGGTGGATCTTGAGGTTCAGAGGGCTGAGTCAGATGAATTAGAATAAATAACCTTTTCAATACATTAAATTATAATATTTAAAATACAGTTAAATCAATACAAATTTAGTTCTTTATGGTTTCATTATGGTTATGGGTGCAAAGTATTTACTCACATCCTATACTTAAATATGATTTTAATATCATGCCACTCTGTACTTAGACTGTACTATACTAGTTTTCACAAATATTGAACTTTTTACTGATTTTTCTATCTGACAGCTATAGTACAACTAACAATTACTTTACTATGATTTTACATACAATACATATGATCATCTTATAAAGTCACCAATTGTTTTAACATGCTTCACATGTGTTAATAATGATAATCCATACTTTAAAATACTATATATAACAATATAACACATCTGAAGAGGGCCTTTCTCCATAAAAATAACTTTTGCTTTTGACAGGACTTAAAGAGTTTTCAAATTGGTTATTGCTTCCTTCACCTTGAGGAAACGTTTTCTTCTCCTACTGCTGACACGGTCAATGAAAATCATCAAACAATGATGTGTTAAAAGCTCGCCTGACAGAAAGTGCAAAAGATATCATCAGACGTCATCGCATGCTGATTGAGCAGCAATGGTGTCGGTGTGACGGCCTCGTTGACCCTGAGCCTCAGCACACTCTGTTGGATCACAGAGGCAAATACTGAGTTGGTGTTTGGAGCCTGGGAGTGGCCACCCTGCTGGTAAGAGTGGACTTTCCAATGCTGACTAATCTTCTGTCTCCATGTACCGGTCTCTGGTTTGTAACCAACATGAAGGAAACACAGAAAATCCCTGTGCTTATTTTCCTACAATACGTCTTCTGAGGCCGACACATTGATCAATATGAATGTGGACTGTGTTCATAACTGGAAATGTGACAATGATTGCATTTAGCAGTGAGCTAATCAAGATTGCATGGTAAATATGTTGGCTAATTAGGCCCATGCTAGGAGAACAGGACACACTGTTTGTATTGCACCCTTTTAAATTGAAGAAAAAAAGCAGCAAATCTGCTGTAATTGAAATAAATTGCCAAAGCATGATTGAGTAAATTAAACACATGTAAAGACAGTTTAGAAACTTGATCATTTGACAAAATTGAACAGCTCATTATCTTGTGGGAACAGGTGACATAATTAGTTTACGTAAATTGTGTAATTGCACATTCAAAGTGAATAAAGTAGGGGCGCTACCTAAACAAAACAAAGCAGCTATAATCAACATGTGCAATCAAATCCTAACAAGTCAATGAGCTCAGTTTATTTTGTATTGAATGGGCACATAACATTATCTCAAGCACAATCATGGCCTAAAAAATATTTTCTTTCTATTTGTTCAATCACTCCAGGACTTTGTGATCCAGTGGCAGCTTATTATTCTTATTTCATAACAGGATAATCATTATGTAACGCCCAAGGTTAATTTTGAGAACCCCTATAGGGGTCCCAACCCCTATGTTGGGAACCACTGGTCAGGAAGGAAAACTGCTTTTTGCCAACATAGCATAGTAGTTTGTGCATTCCACATGGTTTTGTGTGAATGGCATATAAAACATCCGCTCCTCTGGCATACAAAGTTTTAAATGGATGTAAAATATCTATATTGGTGCAGTAAAATCAGTTTGATAGGACATTTGCCCTCAGGCATTCATGTGGGGAAAAAGACGGATCAAAGAGGCTTGAAAACCAGTTAAAAGTCTCTTTTCTGTTTGGCTATTCATGGCTGCAAGTTAATAACTGCTCCCATGGTATGGCCCAACAGCTTCAGACAAAATGAATAAAGGCCTTTTCACAGAGTCTTGCACTGCCCTTTAACTTTTTTCCACATGATCATGAGAGAACATTTGTGTACGCAACTCAAAAACTGAATATTTTATAACCGAGAAATCAGTTTTAAGTCTGCTAATAAGCTAAATTAATGAAATGATTAATATGCAATTGGGGTGCACAAAAATTTTACATTAAAATAATGATAAATCAAATTAACCATAAATGCTCATGTCTCCACTCACAGAGCAGCATCTCATTCTGCCAATATGTTAAATATTGAATGTGGTTAAAAAGTTGTGTCAGGATATTTAATTAAATCTACAGTTGGGCATAACAGCATCTGCACTCTGCTCACTGTCACTTCTAGAAAACACTTTTGGCTTATTGCTGACATCAACTAACATTTGCAGTGTCTGGCAGTTGCTCTGAAACTTCTTAAAGAACTGCCTGAGGACAACATCAAACCTCTCTCGTTAATATCCTCCGATCCTGTGCCATCCCTTTGAAGCTCAACCGTCCTGGATCGTTTTAATCAGCTCACATGCATTAAGCCGTATTTATCTTGATCACTTGTATGGTTTGCCACAGAGATAAATAGTGAGCAATGTCTGAAGCAAGTGGTTGAGCCCAGAAAGAAAAATTAGAGGATAATCGTGGATTAGTAATAGTTTCCATGACAGAGGTGACCGTAGCATCCAGGGCAGCATGGCACACATGATGCTGCAGTCGCAGAGGGGGTGGTGGATGATGATCTACAGTCGATGGGCTTCTCAGAGGAAACAAATGAGAGCCAGGAAAGACACGGAGAAGAGCCACATGCAGACCTCCCTGCGGGTTTCTGCCTTTAGAAGTGTTTCTCCATTAGACTGGAGCTGTGGAAAACAATAATTAGTTTAAGTCCTTTCTCTCTCAGCATACACTGATCACAAAGCAGGGAAAAAGCCCTGGACAGGGCGTCGCTCCATTGCACGGCTAATACAGATCGACAGACGCCGCACCTCGAGCAATTCAGAGTCTCCATTCCACTTGACCGGCAGGTTTTATTAGCTGGAAAGTTGTCACATAGGCCAGGAATCAAAGCAGCTCTGTGTTGCTGTGAAGCAACGGCGCTACAACAGTATCTGCCGAGGAACCATGTGGGAAACATTGCTGTTTGTGTCATTGTTTGCTCTCATTGCCACAACAACGTCTCAAACAAGAAAAAAGCACAGGTTGTAGGTCATGAAGTTTACTGTGGACAGCTAAACTCATGTATAATCCTTGCAATCCAATAAAACACAATTGGCAGGAATCATTATGATTTACAAACCTTCCACTTGTGGAGATACACTGAGCTTCATTAAAGTTAAAGGTACCATCCCTTATTCTATTACATAGCACACCACTGCATCCCCAATCTCACAATGTGGGGTTCTGGGGCCAACAGTGAGTCTTAAGAAATCTCGATACTATGTTGCAATATGGCGCCTCATTCGAGGAAAGTTGTTCACTGGCTGCATACACACCAACAAAGTTCTTTAGCCTTCCACTTGTTTTTTTTGAGAGCATGCTCATTCGAGGCCTTCTTTGTGAACAAGCTAGCTGAATTATTGGCTAACTTTTCACATGAATGAAAAAAAGAAATGTACGAACAAGACTTTTATTATACCAAAAGGATATATTTCTGATGATACGAAGAGTCACGTTGGGGTCCTTGTGGCACTCAGAAAAATGTATTCCGTGTTTTACAGCCAGTCCAACAGTAATGATTGTTACTGCAAAAAGTATTTTTGTTCAAGTATGCATCAGTGATGCTGCAATACAGAATGTGACCACTACACTAAAATCACCTTACAGATCCATAAGCTGGATGCACTGCTGTCTGCCATAGTGCACAATGTATAGTTTTTTTAAATCCTACATTTGGGGGCTTTAAGAGAAAGTTTAGTCTGTATGCTTTCACACAATGGTCTATAAAACAGGAGTATAAGTTAAGATTTTTTTATTATAAAGAACAGATGTTTAAAGACAACTCAGGTATGTGAAATCATTTTAAATAAAATGATGGATAAAAACGCAGACGGCCTTTTTATACAAATATATGTTGTTACCACTCTTCAAATCACATAGATCAAACTGTTCCCAGAAGTTCAGTTGGGATGCATATTTACATGAAAATGTCAATATATTCGAAACAACCATACATATTAACAAACAACAATCGACCACGTTTTCCTCCTTTAAGCTCAATATTCAATTCACCGTCCACACAGCCTCTTTCTTTCCTCTATGGGCGATTCCTCAACCTCCGCGGTGCTGGCTGAGGGGTCCCGCTGATGGTGTTCAGCTGAGTACACCCAGAGGTGAGACAAACACCTGGAGATCCTCTGAGACCTGCGTGGCCCCTGAGTCCAGGCCGGCCCACGTGTCCCCTCTCACCCTGCTTCCCTGGCTGGCCGTTAAAGGCTCTGCCAGGACGTCCACGCTGACCTGCGATTAAGACAAACATGTTTAGTCTTCAGGCCTCTCTGTCTGCTGAGTTAGCAGACTAAGACTATTTCACAGATTCCAACAACAGAGCATTTACAGAGAAAATTGTTTTCTTTTTTGGCAAATATCACACTCCTCTTACAGTGACAACTCTACTCTCCCGCTTCCTTGGAAGCACAGACTTGGCTGAATATAGTTTGTAAAATGACGCACGGGCCCAGATGTGGACATCTATTAAGGCCTCATTTTAACCGAGTCATCGAACAATAGTATCGTAGTATTGTATTAAGTATTGTAAGATTGATTTACCCTTTGATCCCTGGTCTCCAAAGTAGCCAGGTAGGCCATAACCCTTGGGTCCTTTATCACCTTTCTCTCCTCTGTCACCTGCAAGCCACACACACACACACACATTGGTCTCGACAGCAGACAGGCAGAAATGCTATTCCCCCAGAATTGAGCTCCACTCAATAATGTTAAATACATGTTGATTAAAGACCATATGTGTTACTGAGATCGTTGTTAAATAAACATTTGAAACACCTTGTAAATATTCTTCAATTTCATTGACTTGGCACAGGAATGTGGCATGAGTGTGACATCATGCCCAGGCCTCCAACCATAAATTAGAGCCGAGAATGTACACGTTTGCCTACCAGCTTTACAGTGTATGATTCGGCAGTTTCGTACAGTGCAGTTCATGATAGAAGGTATATTCCAGTGGTGGAAAGAAAAGAAGAAGGTGCATTCAAGTATTTCAATGACGTGCAATTTTAGAAAAACCTTGATTGGAGTCTGACTTGACTGCATTTCAGAGGGAAATACTGTACTTTTGCTGTTTTTTTGTGATAAGGCACATACTTACTGTACTCTACCTGCTCAGCAACAGACAGCAGACAGAAAAAAATGAGCGACTAGCAAGTAAACAGTATAAAACAGTAAAGGTAGATTTTGTAAGTTCATCAGGTAGAGAAACAATGTAATGTTGCTCCATATCTGCTGGAAGTGTAAATAAACAAATGTTTGCTCAACTTTATAAGGTGATAATATGTTAGTGATATGTTTACAGCTTGTTCTCCTGCCACTAATTGACCAACAAAACAATTAATGCAGGTTTGAGTAAAGGATCCAAATCTGTCAGGTTTGTTTTTCACACCTGTTTCTCCTTTTCGGCCCAGGTCCCCGGCTTCTCCGTAGAATCCCGGCAGGCCCACTTCTCCATCAACACCATTATTACCAGGGTCACCCTGTCAACACCATCAGTAGGAAAATACATTGTTAATCTTTTGTGTTTACTGTATGAATCTTGCACTGTTTTCTTCTTAGGTGCTCTTTTCAAGTCATCAATTTAGGTTTCACACACTTCTGACCAGCTGAAAAACTGAAAGGATTCATTGGCTGATTATATAGTACATTGTTGGGAAAACCTTGCACACTACCAATACATCACTGTTCTTGGTTTGGCATTGAACACCACAACATGAGGCTTACTGGCCATAATCTAATATAGTAGAATATTATTTCATATAGTCAAGAGCATTTATCAGCCTGAGAGTCATTGTGATTAAAGACGTTGTGGGACATGAATCGGTTCTACTCTGTATAATAATGTGGAAAAGGCTTTCCAATCCAACGAGAGCCTTGATACTCTCCAAAAAACATTCAACACAGACCAAGTGTCTATGTCTGTGACTCCTTATTTGTCCTCATGGAGACGTGGAAAACCGTAATGTTTTCATTCCAAGCTTTTCTGCCAAATACTTCAGTCCAGTCCAGACCTTTTCAATGTGTTTGCATTTTACTCAGCCAGGGAGACAAAGGTGAACAACGTATGGAGAATGTACAGCGCTCCGGCAGCGTGTCTCAGCTAAAGGTCCTAAAAAAAGAGGAGGTGAAACCTAAGGCAATGATCGCTGCAGGCTGATTGAACAATGAACACCCAAACTGTAAAACTTACAAGAGGTCCGGGGGGTCCTTTCTGTCCGATGGGACCGGGGGCACCCATGGGCACGTCTCCATACAGAGGACAAACTGCAGCACAAGTCCTCTTCACTGAGTTGGCAAAGGTGGACATCTGCTCCAGGATCACTTTCTTACAAACCTCGATCACGTGTTGAGCAGGGAGGGTCGGGCCCTGTGTAACAAATCATTACCACATCCATCACTGGAAGGGACCCAACTGTGGGACATGTAATAAGCAGTGTTACAGGACGGGGCACGCTGAAGCAATGGCTGCCACTCAGAGGAAATGCGATGAAGAACTGAAGCCAACAATATTTCCTGAGGCTCATTATGGATTTATAGCCACACTAAGTGAAACCCTTGATGTGAGTCATGTATAACTACAGGCTAATATGGAACTCTTTAAATGTGGTTTTGACACCAAAGCTGTTACCGAACACTGTGGGTGCCAGTCAGTTAGATAGATAGATGAAGTGTCGATTATAGTAGAGACTGATACTGTAGCTCTGTAATGTTTGTGGTATCAGCCACATTAAAAATACAGGCTTGTATTTAACTTACTGGTGGACCCGCGGGCCCTTGAAAGCCATCTAGTCCTCCTTCACCTCGAACCCCCTTGACTCCGACAGGACCTGATTGTCCAGGTGGGCCCGCCGGGCCGCGCTGCCCCCGTCCTCCCTGAGGACCCTGCTCAGCCCGGTCTCCAACCTAGAGCCAGTGCATCCATCCATCAGAATACAATGAGATATCTGTTCAGCATGGACACAACAGCTTAAAATGCTTATTGTGCCATATGAATATAATAATAAAACATAGTAACTAACACAGTAACATAAACAGTGAAGCAAACTAGCAAGTAGAATCTCAGTGGTAAAAGTCATAAAATGGAAGTAAAAGTGTGAACATAAAATGAAAAATACACAAATGCATAAACAAACTGTACATTTTCATGACAAACAAATCAAACCTCCTGGAGAGCATTTAAATGTGTGATATTCATTTTGGTGGAATTGTGGGTGTGACTGCCCTCATCACATCTACAGACGCTCTACATATGTCTGCAATGTAATTTGGTGGATTGATGTTAGATTTTTCAGACTATTCAGATTGCAAACAGAGAATGTGATGAATGTAGCATGAAATGTTGATAGTCTGGCAGGAATATCAAAGTATTACAAAACACACACCCGCATGACTGCTCCATTCAGTGACCCAACTCATCGCAGTTGACAAAAGAATCACAGCTCACCTTTCCTTTTGGGCCCTTAACTCCTTTTTCCCCCTTAAAAGAAAAAGTTCCTGTTAGGTTTGGCCACAAAAAAACAGCAACCACAAAGTGGATGTCATGATGAGCAGAGAGGATGGAATATATTTAGGTAGTACCTGGCCACCTTTAACTCCTTGGATTCCCTGTATTCCTGTGTCACCCTTCAAAAGGCAAATAAAAAATGGTATTTAGAAGCTTGCAAATATTTGATATATCTGAATTTCACAGGTGTTCTGCTCCATGAATAGAGTATCTATCAAACACATTGATGCTGAAAGTAATTTTCAGGTCAGGACACTATACAGCTTTTAAGTGATCCTGATACGATTGCATTCAGCTCATGAACCAATAAATATTTCTTGAACAGCTATTTGTGGCACTGATTTTGATGTCATTTTTTAATTTCTAATGGGTAATGGATGAGGATGTATTACCTTGGACCCTGGTTTTCCAGGCACACCCACGTGTCCCTGTGAAGAGATGACATGGTTCAATGGCCTGAGGAAAATGAACTAGTCTTTGGAGGAGTTCCGGAAATTCATCTGGAGTACTTACAGTAGGTCCCGGTGGGCCGATAAATCCAGGTCTTCCTGGCTTCCCAGCAGAACCCTTGTAACCTCTTGGGCCCTCGAGAATAAAACATTTATTAAACCGACCTAAGGAACTGCTTTATTCTTTGTTGTCTTCCTTTAAGATGGCAAACTACTTTACGTACAAAATGTATTATGTGCTTGTCTTCTGAAAAAGTGACTTACAGTTCGGCCTTGGGGACCCATTTCTCCTGCTGGCCCAAAGAGGCCTTTCTCTCCCTGTGAAAGACACAAAGCACAACAAATGTACCCGCAAAAAAACACCTCAATTGTAAACTTTTATGTACAAAAACAAACAAGAACGGCAAGTTACCTTTACTCCAATTCGTCCGAGTTTTCCACTGACACCTTGTGGTCCTTGATAAGCCTGTGAGGGATAGATAACACTTAACATAACACGCCTGCACTGCTTCTGAACTTCATCCTTAACATATCATCATCAGCAGAACATAATACCTCTATTCCTAGATCACCATCTCTGCCAGGTAGGCCCGGATCTCCAACAATGCCCTGGGTAGACAATATCATAATAATAATAAAACAGGCACATGATTGTGGGGGTGTAAGAGAGCACTCAGGTGTGTCAGCAGTGAATCACCTTCGGTCCAATGGTGCCATCTCTGCCCGCAGGTCCATGGATCCCCTAGTTTTCACAAGTTCAGACAAAAAAACAATTCCATCAATATAAAGCAACTTTTGAATATTCATGAAAATCAAATTGAACAAATAGGAACACATCATTTCCATGCCAATGTGATTAATTTGTGATACATACAGGCATCCCCTTCTCTCCATTAGATCCCCTCTCTCCAGGATCTCCCACAATACCCTGTCGAATCATCATATGGAGTATCATAGGTTATACATTATATGCAACACATTTACTTCAGTGAGCAACATGATGAAGCAGGGAGCCTGCCTTCATATACGATTTAGTAGGTTATCATTCTTTCAGTGTCTCACCAGCTTACAGATCCTCAGATCTCAGCCAAAATCCAGCCACGTGAACTAATATTGTAAGCCAAAAACATTGCTCTATTCCAATGTTTTACCACATTCAAAATGATTCTCTGGCTAGCCGTGCTCACGTGAGGGAATTTTGAAGGTAGCGGACAAAGAATAAGGAGAGTCCCATCATGGATTATTGAACAGACAACAACCCACCTGCTTTCCTCTGGAACCGGCACGCCCCGCTACACCAGTGGTCCCTTTTTCTCCCTAAAAAAATCCAAGCATGATGGAATTCAATCACAGTATCTAGATTAAAGAGGAGACAGAAAAGAAGGAAACATGTATACCTTAACTCCTTGAAATCCGGGAATCCCTTCGTGTCCTTTGTCGCCTTTAGCACCCTTTGAGGAGGCCAAAATATTATTAATACTATAATTACATTGCAAAGGGGCTTACCGCTGTGTCTGAAAGGTTAACTCACAACTCCTCCCAGGTGTCCTGTCTCTCCGATGTCTCCAGATGGTCCGCGAACTCCCTTTAATTAGTCAGAATGCCGACATTAAGGGTTATCCATGAAGTTTAACTGGGAACTGAACAGAAATCCAATGAAAAGTCTGCAACTTCATTAGCTGGCTGCATAATGAAAGAGGTCTAATTAAAGTCTGAACCAGTGCAGGAGTTTACCTTGAAGCCCGCTGCCCCTCTTAATCCTTTCAGCCCTTCAGGACCTCGGTCTCCCTGTTAACACAACATGTCATTAATACAGATTTGTGACATTTCAGGATAAAGAAAATGATAAATCTGAGTGTGATGAATTACCACTTGGCCCCAGAGTCCTCTCAGTCCTTTCTCGCCTTGGATTCCTTCTTCACCCTGGGGACATGTGTGAGGTCTCATTAATACGTTCTGAGAACAAGCCAAACTGAACTGAAACCCTGGTGGGAGCATAATGGCAGATCTTACCTTTTGGCCGGACTCGCCAATGTTGCCATAGTCTCCTGTGTTTCCCCGGATACCCTGCAAGACAAGTTTTACTCAACCTCAAGACGGCAGCTATTTCTTTGTGAATTGACCATCTTGGGAAATAGGACCGTAAAATGTAAAACGTTAAGGATTGTTTCCAGAGAGAAACTCACGAATGACTTCTGGGAGATTTTGGAAAAACATCAGACAGAAAAACTGTTCAGACATGACAGCATTTTTTCATCTAGTTAAACATCCAGAAATTAGAAAGGGGAGAAATTAGCAAGTCTCATGCTTGCATGGGAAATATGAAGTGCAGGCCAGGAGAGATTGGCTTAGTTTCGCATTAAGACTGGAAGGAGGGGGAAATTTAAACTAGCCTGGTTCTGTCCATGTCCATTTCCAAAGGTGTCCAAGGTAACAAAATCCACTTAACGTTAACAGATCCTCTAAAGCTCACAAGTTAACATGTTACATATTGTTTAAGCAGTGCAAAACTTGTGTGTACCATTTAACAACAACAGAAAGTGTGACGGTGAGGGCAGGAGTCACTGTGCCTTGGCAAGAAACAGCACAGCAGATAACCCATGTAAAACAATAAAATGTTTCTATTGTTCAGTTTTTGTACTAAAGTCTTTGGAGAGCTGCAGTCTAGCTGTTTCCAGCTAGGCTAAGCTAACTAGCTGCTGGCTGTAGCTCCTATTTAACGGACAGTTATGAGAGTGGCATTAATCTTCTGATCTGAAACTCGACAAAAGCTCACTTTTTAAAACATATATCTTGTTTGTATGGATTTGCATAAAACCAGAGAGTAAAAACGACTGGCTCACTATTTCCCTCTGCTTCCAGTCTTTGTGCTAAGCTAAGCTAACCATCTCATGGCTGTAGCCAGCACAGATATGAGATGGATATTGATCGTCTCATCTTACTCTCGGCAAGAAAATGAGTGTATTTCTAAAAACGTTTCCTATAAGCTGTAAAAAATTATAAGGCAAAATGAGGATAAATGTGAACATGTTTTCAAGTTTCAGGCACACTAACATTAGTGGAAACTATACAAAAGCATGTTCAGCAGGATTTAGGGAACATAAGTCATAAATATAGCAAAATGGGCCAGACTATTGTTTGTACAGATGCTGACTTCCTCAGTTGTACAAGGAAAAGTGTTTCCCAGTTGGCAGTATTTCACTGAGTCAACAAACAGATTAGACAATTTCCAGGATGCCTTTGTGTTGTCAGTTTATTTGACCACCTCACCTAACTTTATTAAGCAGAGTCGGCTGGGCGAAGGTTAACCTCAGAGATGGCCGACAGTACGGCGTGAGGCACATCCGTGAACTTTACCACGCTACTAAGGCAGTATAGCTCTGACGAACAAAGGACCACCCACCACCTGAGATGGACAGTTCATATATCTGTGCCAGGAAATGCCCTCCTTGGATGCCAGCAGGGGAGAAGATAAACATGTTGGGGCTCTGTGATTCACAAGCTGGCAGGAGGTCAAAACTCCAACGAGTTACACAAGACAGATGTTTACTCCCAGATGAGCTACAGCTGCTACTCAGGACATGAATATGTAGCGTGTACAGCTCTGGAAATGTGCTCTGAATGTACGTGGGTCTGGAGGCCTACATGTGTTTGCTCAGGCAGCATGGGGGATTTCCTTGAGTGCAAAGGCAATGTTAAATGCCAAACGATAACATAAAAATAATCCTCCTTCTTTAAACACATGTTCTCTCGACTGTTTTCAAAAGACTCTCAGATCTGCTCCAACATACCACCGACTGCTAAGCATGAAGAGATTAACAAGTTGTAAATTTAAAGTGGAAATAATCACGGCTCCCTGAAGGACACAATGTGAGTGTATTTGTTCATTCATTGATGCATGAGTAACTGGCTCCTGCAGCAGACTACTTTGTTCATTATCATTTTCTCAAACATCTCCGCTCTTTCACAATTTGATCTTCCTGTGGGGAATTAATTAGCCTTATCCACAAAAATAAAGACATTCAAGAGTCAAATTCCACACACTAGTTAGGCACACTAATGCTACTCATTACCAGACACTGGAGGGTAGGGTTATTTCTCAACTGCCTGGTGTGTGGGATTCATTACATTTGGCTCAGTGTCCTCCAAATGGAAAAGCAAAACCATTAGAAATCCTGTGATCTCTTTCCAGTTTGAGTTAAATCTTATATTCTAAACAGGCAGGGCTTCAGTTTTAAGATGCAAATGGAAATTTCAGAACGACAAAAACTAATTTATTGTCACATCCGTATTAGTGTGTGTTTACCTTGGCTTCCTCCTAAATCTTTTTTACAAAGCGGACATGAGTTTTTAAATTATGAAAGGAGCCTCGATGTTTACTGTCGCCAAGCGCTTTCTGCTTCCAGATCTGTTTCCATCCTGTCATGTCTCAGTTGTACTTCTATTGCCACTTTCCACAGCTTTGCTGCTGTCTCGCGAATACAAGTTTTACTATGCCACTCACACTCTCTTTATTGTACAGCAAGAGGAAGGGGATGCTGCTAACGCTAATGCAACAAGTAAACACCATTTATCCGGTCTTCTAGGGTTGATATTTCATGAGAGGCATTTAATAAATGTGATTACCCAGTTTCCTTGTCTTCCTTGGTCTCCGGCTTTTCCTGGAAGACCTATGTGACCCTGCAGAAGAATAAAAAAAATACGTCAACATAGATTCAACTTAAGGATGGTCAGCCAATATTCACTGTACAGGTAAGTTAACCTTTGTTCCTGGAGGTCCTTGAATGCCGGGTTGTCCGTGCATGCATTTGCAAGACGCTCGTCCAGCTGTTAGGCCGATCTCTGCGTACCCTCCACACTGCCATGGATAGAAAGGCAAGGCAAGGGTATTAAAACCAAAAACACATCTCCAACAGAGAGAGTGAAACCATGTTGAATGGGAGCTGACTCACCACACTGGAAAGCTCACAGCAGCCCTCTGAATAAGCCTGCTCTGGGTCACATGACACCTCCATCTGCTGGAGGTCGACCTGGAAAGAGACAGGAGATAATGTGAGAAACAAAGTCGTATCCCAAATCAAAGGAAGTTGAAAAATGACTTAAGAATATATATATATATATATATATAAATCTAGGCTGTGAACGTACAGACACAGAGCGATCTCCTGCAGCCCGCTTGACGATGGAGGTGTACCCCCGATGGATGACCGGCCTCGGCCCATCAATGGACTCCGCACTGACCTCTACACAATCTATCAGCAGCTTCACCCGGCTGCCCTTCACGCTCAGCGCCAACTTGTGCCACTCTCCGTCAAATAACTGTTCCACGCCATGGAAGGTCCGCAGCATTTGGCTCCCACGGGGGCTGGTGTAGAAGAAGTCTAAAGAGCGCGTTTCACCCTGAAAACGCAGGCCGACCTGCTCCCGACCCTTGGGGTCACTGACCTGCCACAGGTCCCAGGATTTCTTGGCAGCGTCCTTGGTCACCTTAAATGTTGCGATGACGGAGTAGTCGGAGGGAAGTCCATCTGGATACACATCGCTGTCACAAAAGAGTGAGGGGTTAGAGAGCTAGGGGTTTTATATTATATAAGAACATGGATAAGTAGTAACAGAGCTCATGGATTTTATATTCCACTTTAGCAGGCAACACATTTCTTTGTAACTTTTTGTAAACTTTTTTTTGACGATGCACTATTTAGCAGACAGACATTCTTTGTTTCTTCAATTTGAACAAAGCACATGTCCACTTAAGTCAAGGGCAAAAGTCAGGATCTGTAGACAGCGCTGCGTTCCCTGCAAGGGCTTTTTTTTAAGATTTCGTTAAAAAACAAGACAAAGAGTCGACAGCAGCTCTGTGAGGCTTAGCGGTGCTTTGAGCTAAATACTAACTCTCAGCATGTAAACATTGTCACAATATAATGCTGGCATGTTTATGGTTTTAAGAGTAATTTAACACCAGCCTGAAAGGCATTATTTTGCTACAACTCAGCTTGAACATTTCAAGTCTCTAACCACATGCAGCAACGCTGCTGGGTGTGCTTTGTTGCACCTATAACCACGCCCAGCAAATGGGAATTTGCTGGGAGCTGTGTTGAGAGTCAGCAGTACGTTTTTTATTCATTCGTATTAATGTTATGTAAGCTAATGGGGATCCTATATTAAACTAAACTAAGCAGAGTTGTCACGATGTATTACACTAACACACCCTGGAGTGCGCTTCTATGTCACTGCAGCCAGGTGAGAAGTTAAACTACTTTAGATCTGTAAAAACAAAGGTTTCAGGCGGTGTTAAATTAGTCTTTGATCATTTTTCCAGCTTCATTGGAAATAACAGGGCTCAGGCAGTCTAATACTGTACCTCATGGTCCTCCGGAGATGGATAGAGGGGTTGACGCGGTAGGCCACCGCCTCAGGTTGAGAACCGTCCACTCTCCTCACTCCTTTCGACTCAGTCACATGAAACTCCTTCAGCAGATCAAAACCTGAACAAACACTGAGCTCAGTTTGACATCACAACGATTCAGCATCAAAGCTGCAGGACTACTTCTAAGTCATTGATATTACTGATTCATTTTTAATGAATGCATTACTCATTGTCATTAATAATCCCATCTCTTCACAGGTAGAATGAGGTCATTTATGAAACCCATTAACAGGAAGAGGCTGTTTATCGGATTTAGTGGATTTGGCTTCTGAATTTCAAACACAGGACGTTTGTGCTGCAGTTTGAATGAGATCAGCTTGGCTGTGGTGTTACGATTAAAATGCGTGGGTGAGAGCTGTTGAAAGATTCTGATTACAAATATTAAGACTCAAGTAGAAAATAACTCAAAAGACGAATCTATAACAAAGAAGAACTTGATAGCTCTTACTGCATGTTAACAAGTCACCCGTTTGATTTTAAAATCACCTTCTGTCTGCGTCCTAACTCTGCAGGCTTGTCTCTCACTGCCATGTTTTACAGTCAATAGGCCAGCATAACAAAATAAAATCATCTTAAAATTGGCAGCAGTTTACATTGAAAAAACATTATTGCTGGTTTTAATATTGCTCAGCACTGCTTACACTATTTCCGACCGTTTTATCAGTGAGTAGGACACCATAGGTAGAAAAAAACATTGGCTTAACAAATGTATTTATGGTAACAGGGAGACTAAGCGGAGACTCTGGGCTTCAAAGGTTTATGTACACAGCTTAACCCCAGGATGATCTCTTGACCTACTAGTGTCCCCACAGGCACTGAGAGCAGGAGACATGATTCTGGGTTGACTGCTGTGAAGGCAAACAATGGACTATGAACTGACAAACACTGGCATCTGCTGGTCATGGTGCCGTAGTACACTGTTCAGCCTGGAAAACTATAGTCACTGCAGATAATGAACATGATGCCTGTGATTATTCTGTTTTATATAATGCGTTTATTAGGCAAGAAAAGGCCTACTAAGATTGTGCTGGCAAAGATAGCAGCAGCACGTTTAACAAGTCCAACAATATAGAACCAGCGTATTGTTTTGGGGGATGATCCAGTGTTAGTGTTACTTTTTATACAGTGGTAAATATGTTGTAGTCATCAAATAAGTATGGGAAAAAATTAAAACTTACTTGGCAACTTTTGACATTGGGTCAGTCCGAGGAAGGCAAAAAGTGCTGCAAACCCCAGCATTTCTTTGTAGGCTGGCATTTTTAAATGTTTGAAGTCAGGGGCTAGAAGTGCCTGCAGTACAACAATTAAATAGATCAGTAATTCAAGAAATCAGATTAACTGATATATGAGTGTACAGTAGGCTGTTGAATTTAAGTCAGGCACTCAAATTAGTTTGAAAGTATTTCTATGAATGAATCCTAAAGATTCATTCAAATCCAAACTGGTAAAATTGTCATTTTAAGATTTTTAAAGATAAAATATTTTTAATTTCTTTGTTTACCAAGGTTACTGATATCTATTTTATGATAAGAGTGTGTCCACTGAATTGCCCATGCAATCGTTCTCAAGTTTTACCAAAATAGAGAAAAACAAATACGCTAATCATAAAATAATCCTTCTTTTGATTAGCAACCTGACATCATATACAAACCCTATTTATGTCAAAATGTATGAAAAAAAATAATTAAGAAAAAATGAAAAGAGAAATATTTCAATACTCACATATTCCTGAAAAGTAAAGTCCCAGGGCTCCTGCAGGCGGGTCTTTTCCAGTTTGTGGTGTGCGGATATATCCCACTCTACAGTGCCATCCCCGGCCCAGTGTTTGAGCTGAACAGGAGGACCATTCAAAGCTTTGGGTCTCACACGAGCCTGACTCCTGAGCTCCACTCCACCTTTGGTCCCCAGGGGATCTGTCGTTTCTCATAGGCCAGTTACACCTACAGTCACTACAAGTCCAGTAAACGGAGTCATCACATTCAGCAAAATGTAGGTGAACATATCAGGGCCTTTATGTTGCTATTGAAAGGAGAAAAATAACACTAATGTTTAAGAGTAAGCCTATGCTTCAGCAAAGTTGTGTACAATGCATCTCTCAAAAAACGTAACTGTGCAGTGTCTTTACACATCCACTGGTACAGTTATAAAAAAATAGACTTTTGTTGGGACTGTTGTAGAAACTTTAATAATTGCTTTACAAAACAGTCACATTCAGTGTCTGTTCATTCAAGACAGTGTTTTGCCATTCGCCGAGTCTCACTAAGAGAAAGATGTAGTATGTCACAGCTTAACACAAGATGCTCTGCAAACATTCCACCCAGAGTAGACCACATCTTCAATCTAAACCTCCACACTGCATCTAACAACCGGGCTATGAGAAGATTGTAGAAAACTAAGGAATAACAGAGGTATACAGGTATTCAGGTATACAGGTATACAGTTGGTAGCAGTTTCCAGTGTCAGAAATGAAGGAGGCAAAGGGCAAATGCCCCAAGAATCCTCAGAATGTTCACTCCTGCTCAGCAACTTTTATATCCCATGAAATACTTCCTTCCATTTTCTTTAAAAAAAACGTCAAGTACTTTTAACCAATGGCTTGAATTTTAGATTATTCTTTAACACATAGACACATTAGAAATACTTTTTGTTTTTAAATGTACTTAACTGTTTTTGGAACATGTGCTCGATTTTACCATGTCCATAAAAGTATAAAATACTATTATATTATGTTATATATATTATTGTTATTACTATTACTGTAATATTATGTGGGTCATTCCAAGCATTTTGTGCCATTTGAGTCCCCACTACATACGGTATTTTTTGTGTAAAGATGGGCTTATAATTCTTTCTAAAAGCGTGTTTTAAAAGGTTAAACCCCCTCTACCATAGAACACTGTGATATGTACGCAGGATTAATTAAATCAAAAATAAGTATTCCAATTTTAGCACAAGTAGGCTAAACTGCCATGTCCCCAATCATGTTTGATTAAATTATGATACAAATATAAGTAATTTAAATCAAACAAATTCTATATTTTTTATTATTGTTATATAGCGTTATTTATACTATTCCTCACCAAATGTTATTTTTTGTTGCGCTTTTAATGCTTAAAATGTTTAAGATATGTTTTGTCCCTGAGTCGACTGTCCCCCTTGTTACTCTGAGGCAGACCCCCCCCCCCCCGGCTCATTTTCCCTTTAATTAACCTTTTTTCCATTTTTAAGAATGCTTGAATGATGTCGTAAATCATAACATGTTATGCTTATCATAGTGGAAACCAATCATTTTTGGTAATTTTGAAAATAAGGTTAATAAATGTACAAATGTGCCAGCTTGTTTTTCATCTCATGAGTAGTAATGGCTAACTTTAGCATAAAATGTGTCCCCTCCTGTTACCGTCCACCCTGTTACTGTTTTGCACAGTAACAGGGTGGATGTTAAGTGTTGGAATAGTGTTTCCAGCATGTGTTGGTATTCATCGTTAATTGATTAGGAATGTATTTGTTATATACTTTTTAAAATATTTGTTAAAAATGGCATGCTTGCATTTGTTAGGAAATGGCGCCCCTGTCTGCTGCAGAAAAGCAGCGTTTCTCCTTGTCAATGTCATCATGACAAAAAAAACAAAATTATATAGATAATGACAGTGAGAGGACATGAGCTTCATTGGCCTTATATATAATATATTGAAATGTTTACTAAATGAGATGAGGCTGGTCTAGGACTCAACCTGAAGACAGAGCATCACAATCAGAGAGGAAGTTAGAAGCCATTGGTTCCTTGCTGGCAGGATTAAGGATCTTCTGACTGTAACCAGGAACTCAGGTGAGGTGTCTGGGAGGAGAATGCCACATTCCTGGGAAATCTGAACAAAAGTAACGGAACTACTGCAAAACCTGTAAAAAAACTATTGTTAATAAGAATCATCGTACATTCAGTAACGTTCTGTCAGTAATGTTGCTAGCCACATGAGGTAGCAAGCAGACATTAACTATTCAATAGTTTTCTTTATTTTGATGAGCATATCTGCCTTTAACAGTTGGAATTGCAGAGAGACAGGAAACAGAGGATCCCCCACATGTTGACAGTTCTGTATCTCATTGCATCGCCCTGTAGAACTGTCTAACTCACCGGGCCATGGCGTATCCAGGAGACAGAGGGATTCTGTGGTGAGTTCCACTGGGCTTTTGGTCCCGACATTAAAGGGACATCGACACTTGAGAGACTAAAAATGTACCTTTAGCCAAGCGATCATCTGTTCTGCCTGTTCATCAGAGATGTCAGACTCTGAGATCAGTCAGCAAATGTTAGGATTTAAGGAGGCTGATCCTATGAAGATAATGACAGCAGCAATGAATTTACAACAACTTAAAGTGAAAATGGTAAAAGGGTTATAGTCAGTGGTACTTCAGATGGGCAGAGGATCAAATTAAACTTGGTTCAGACAATGAAAAACGGTGTTCTTGCGCGTACCATGCCTCCTGGAAACAACGTTCGGTAAATAATGTATTATTAAAACATATATTATAACATGCAGCTCACATCTTGTATGACAGCACTGCAAAAGAGAATTGCCCTGCTCTAGTTAAAGATATTTAAAATGTTATTTATTTCATGCATAGTTCTCTCGCATCACTGATTACCAGGTGTTTTGTGGGAAATTTTACAGTTTCTTCTATAAACTCATGAATGCTCATAATTTTTATGTCTGTGCAGTTTTAATATATGTTCAGTTCCCCATTACGTCTGACACAACTCCTCTCTCTCTCCACGTGTCGAGACAATATCTTACTTTACTGTTTTTTCCTTACTCTGAGTTCTTCCAGCATCCTCTGCTCCTGTCTCTAAGGCAGCTGCTTCTGTTGAGTCTCCCTATTGTTAAGATATAGTATATATATATATATATATATATACTATATGAATATATATGCATGTATATTCATACTCATACAGATATTCATACATGTATAGATAGATAGATTAGTTTCCAAATATAAACAAGGATATTAGACATATCAAACACATCATATTATCAAAAACAATAGTATTGCCCGCATGAGAATAATGACATGCCTTTGCTATTATTACCCCCCAACCAACAGACTACTGCTAGCACGGCTAATAAAATGAGCTAAAACTCAAAGCAGAGAGGATTCTGTGGTCCACATTAGCCTCTGGTGGCTTTCTGCAAGCAGGTTTATTACAAAGTAATGTTACAGTGACAATTTCAGCTCTACCGAAATTAACCATACATTGACATGGATGCACAAGAGAATGTCTACATAGAGTGTCACCCCTTCAAGCACACACTACTGTGACGTGATCAAATGAAACAGGGACTGCAGCTGACAACAAACAAACAGGACTTAAAAGCTATATGATTACGGTGTTTCTGCTACTTGCCTTAAATAGTATTTTTCAAAGGTTTCTGCAGTGCTTACTGGGGTTTATTGTAGTATATTGCATTGCCCTTTAAATGCATGTTGGCAGTATATCATATCACTTAAATAGATAATTGCAGTGCCTCAAATGGTACCATGATGCACCATCTACTCCAAACATCAGCAAACATAAATCACAGTACATTCAGTAACTCTCAGAGCGCTATATCCCGCGTCTTGCCCTTCATTAGTGTTTTTAGAAATGTTAGCTAACCGTACAACATTCCCCGGTTTTCTAGTGTTCGTCAAACCTCTACAGGTTTTGCATCAATAGAATAAAATAAAATACAATAAAAACAATTTGAAATATTTCACAAAAAATTAAATACGTTAAAAACAAATGCACAAGGCCATTAACATTTCATTCTCACATAATATTAAACCATATTGCCTCTCAACAGAATATTTTACATCTTCGCAATGATTTAAATAACACTCAACACATTTGTAGTCTTTTAAGTTAGATGTCTCCAGTGTCCGTTACGTGTTTAGGGTGCAACTAGCTCCTGGGTTGTTTGTTTTCAAGGCCACTGACTATCGCTTGGATGCCTTGGCCAGTTTGCTTGTGGGAGTGGCTCTTCTCTGAGGAGTGGGGATCTTGGAGGGTTTTCCTCCGCGTTGACGGGACGTAGAACGCGGCGTCGCGCGGGTTGACTCCCCGACTGTTTCAGAAACGTCTGAGCACACGGACTGGATGTCTGAGATGTCAAAGTCAGAGGCGTCACTTCCTCTGCGACTGCTCCCTCTGCTTCCTGCTTTACTGCCAGGTCGGCTCGAATTTTTCCTTGGCTCTAGAAAGATAAAAGGATAAT